TACATTTAGGCGCAAGAGCTTGGCAGCGCGCAACAATTGCATGCTTAGCCACGCTCATGCAATCAAAATAACGGTACATTGCGAATTTAATGCAAATATTTAAATGTACAAAAGTATTTGGGAGTATGGACACACACACAAGAGTATACAAATATGTACGTATATAACATACATTAGGTTGAGCAAAAAATAATAATAAATAATAATAGTGATAACAAATTTATGTGTTAAAATTAACCTATATGCAGAGAAACAAAGAAAAAATTTTAACATCGCATACCGAAGCTATAATACCTTTTATAGAAAACAAAATATTTTATGAATAACTCGGTCTTGATTTTGATCGCTTAGTTTGTATGACAGCTAAAACCTATAATGGTTCGATTTCGGCGGATCCAATAAATAAGTAGCTTCTTAGCAAGAAAAAGACATGTGCAAAATTTCAAATCGATATCTCAAAAACTGAGGGACTAGTTCGGGTATATTCAGAGAGACGAACATTAACCTTAACTCTACTCGTAACGCTGATCATTTATATATAATATGTACTTTATAGGCTCTCCAACGTTTCCTACTGGTCGTGACAAATTTGATATACGCTGATCAATACTCTGATCGTTTTCAAAGCTTTCCAGTATACGAATTTTTGAATTGAAAAATGTCGCACTAAGGTAAACTTTTTCGGAATTTTTATACACTACTGGAGTCGACGTTGTAAAAAATGTTATCCTAAATTTTCAAAAGTTATGGTATTTTTAATGAAAACAGATTTTTTAATTTATTTCTAATATATGTATATATGAATAACTTTGAATGCTCAGCGACACCTTTTAAAATTAAACCTAAAACTTTACCTTGCAGGGATTTTTTTTTTCTATGGGTAATGATAAAAAGATATGTAAGTTGATTTCAAGCCATAAAAGCGATATTAGTTTATTTTTTGTGCTCACCCTAATACTCGTTTACTATATATACGTTTGTAGACTTCACATCTGCTTGGCTTCCATATGTTTACGAACTTAATGCCAGCGCTTATGTTTTGCTTGTCATATTGGCCATGAATGTAATGGCTTTTTCCATTAGTCCAACTACTTGTAATTTTCTAGGTGTCAATTTAATGTAAAGAAAATTTCATGAATTGTCACGGATATTTGAGGTGTTTGACGTTTTCAAATTTTAAACACTGTATACCTCAGCAATGACGGTAGTACTTGTTACCAGTGCATATACATACTTGTATGTATGTACACTGACTTACTTACGCCACTTCGCCTATCGAAATCAATAGTTGCCGGTTCCAATTGCATTTCCAAATTCGAAAATTTTAAACGGATAGTGGAATACAAGTATATCTTCCATACTGCAGACTGTATTAATAGACTTGTAGATTTTGACTTGAGGCTATACTTTTTATGCTCTCGCGACAAGCTGCACAGCTTATAATAATCTTACTCAGCTAACGATTGGATATAGAGCTATACATATATTATATATGTATACTAAAATAATAACGATGGCGAGATTAATTGAAATCTATCTATTTGTCCGACGACCATCCATCTATCCAACCGTCTGTCCATGTAAGCGATAACTTGATTAAAAGTGGAATTCGATGAAGCTTGATACACGAATTCCTTAACACTTTGAGGAGATTGGTATTACAGATGAACAAAATCTGACCACTGTCAGAAAATGTAATTGATCCGTAAGACGTAAAGTTCTATAACAGATTAAGCTTACAAAATCAAATTTGATATGAAAGTTCATAGTAGAGTTGCTTTAAATTATTTTCAAACTTGTCTGCGTGACAATCTAACAGAATAAGAGGATTTTCAAAAAACCAAAATATTATTTTGTGTCTTAAAATACCGTTTAGGGTTCTAAAAACATTGCTGAATTGGTAGAATAGTGAAAACCAGTTTTTTGTTCTTGTATATATCCGTCACTACCTGAGAAAAAATTTAGCAAAATAAAATGAACATACTTTTATAATCTTTGCTATATTATTGTATTGTGGGGAAAGTAAAAATTAGGTCCATGAATTAACCCAGTTTTAATAACTATAGTGATCCGTTATGGACGCTGCCGACAAATAAACAGCTTCTTGGGGAGAAAAGCACGCGTGCAAAATTTCAAATCGATAACTCAAAAAAAAAAGGAGGACGCTACTAGGTGTATATATACAGACGTACGGACAGGCAAACGGACATGGCTAAATCGACTCAGCTCGTTACGCTGATCATTTATATACAGCGTCTACCAACAGGGATGACGTGATTTTGACAACTTGTAGCGGCCATGTTTGTTTGCTGATTTAATTCAAATTTCGTCAGTTCGCCACATGTTTCACATCTAAACATGAAGACATTGAGTTCAAAGTTTGACGCCTGGTAAATTTGATTGTTTTATCTCATTTTAACATTACGCCCATCTTATTGGTAGACGCTGTATATTCCTCATGAGTTGGCTGAGGTGACAATTTCACCAAAGCGCAGTCTGTCTAACGAAAGTCAGTTCGCGTGTTTTGTACAGATCTGTCAGCATTTCAAGCTTTTATTGCTGTTATTGACATCTTAAATACTTGATTTTTTTTTTTTTTTTATATATAACGCGACTTAGGTTGAAAAAGTTCAGAACGTGAGCTTTGATCTTTTCACACATGGTCGCTTGGTGTAATTTAGTATATAGTTATGTTAAAAAAAAAAAAATTAAATAAATAAATGTATCGCTTAAACGCTTTCAGCCGAGAGCAATTAGATAATAGTAATTTGTACTAACACTGAGTCAAACATAATAAACAAACATATATTCATACAAAATCTACAGCATTCAATCGAGTGTGCTAAAATGAACGGTAGTTTATTGTTTGTTGTTTTTGTTGTGTTTATTTTGGCGTACCTTACTTATTATTAAAACAGATTTTATAATATTTCATAATTATTATTTTTTTACTCTACTTTACTAGATTTTATTTAGTGACAGCATATGACGATTTCTCTGTTACAACAATAATAAATTTAGTATTTATTTCTATAGCGGAAACTTAAAAAGGTTAATATAATTAAGTGTCTTAATTACTTTACAACGCACTTTGACGAATTGTAGCAGGTTTTTTTAAGTAATAACTCAGTTGCTAATGGCACAAACAGTCACCGACATAAAACCGTGGACCGAATCAGCTGATACGACCTATCTTATGAGAGCGCAATTTTAATGAACAGTCACCACCGCTTCTACCGTCCGCTTCTACCGACCGTGCGGTAGGATATCCGCAAAAATTGGATTTTTTCCATAGAAACGAGTGAACTGAGAGTGAGAGAGCAATCTCTTGCAACGCAGGGTTGCCAATCTCGATATTTTGTAGAAATTAAAAAATGAACTTGAATATATTTCAAATATTCTTAAAAAAACTCAAAATCACAGTCGAATACACTTATTTATAAATAGGTAAAATATTTTAAATAGTTGGATTTAACAATCGCAACATTGGTGAAATTAAAACAAAAGAGAACAACTGATTTCTGCGTTGCAACTACGGGCATAACTTTTGTCAAATTTAGTTTGATACGGTAAGTACGGAAGGGAGGAATGTCGGTGACTGTTTGTGCTATAATCTGCGTTAAAGACAGGATGAGTGCAGAGTGAAAAAGAGAGAACCTAGAACATATGATTAAACAAGTAAAAGAGAGTTTAGTTTGTTTAACGGTTAATTAATATGTTTTGTTAATATTAATTATATATAATATATAATTAGATATTTACTTTAAAACTTTAGACGGTGTAAGCCCAAACCCAAATGACTTTGACAGCTGATCTTTTCATTAGCTGAAATCCCCACTCCGTCTATTCGAATTTTTCTGAAAATAAGAAAAACAAGTAAGGCAGAGCTAGGTGCGGCTGTAACCAAACATTTTATACTCTCGCCATTTTCAAAGGTCAAAGCCGGGGGCATATTTTCAGGTGTAAATTATTAAGTAAACTGTTAAAAATCGACTGTATAGAGGTTAGAAGAAGTATTGGTCTGATTATAAGCATTTTCAACTTAAGCACAGATAATTATCGTAGAAAGACGCTCCCTTAATTTCATTAACATAACGTAGATATTTACCGTTGGTACAGTTTAAAGTCAACCGGAAATTCAAAAATGTTTATAGTCGTTACACGGGGACTAGGGAAACTATTAAGCCAACTTTATATACTTTTGACACGCGGACAGCTCGAATTAGGAAAAGGTTATACAATATAAAGTCAGCCAAAAGTTCGAAAACTTTTATATTAGGTACACGGCGGCTAGGGTAACTATTGAACCGATCCATTTATGACGTAAGGGCAAATCAATATTGGAAGAAGATTATTTCCGAAATTAATATTCAATAGTTTCGATAAAAAGTCAGCCATAGGCATTTTAGTGAGGTGGTCCACTTTTTGAACATTTTTGTCTTCAGTTGGAGCTTAGTAAAAGCACACTTTTAGTAGTTAGCAGTTAAGGAACATAATCCTTTAAGTTGCATAACCTTTTTAAAATAGCTTTGAGTCACGAAAATTGCACAAAATGAATAAAAATAAAATTGAATTTGCACTTCCTTTTCTTCTTTGCTTTCAGCTTCATACATCGGCTGTTTGCGTATTCTCCAGATTTTTGTGCGCACGCACAAATATTTGTATCTTTGTGGGAAGACACATAACATTTTTTTTCTATAATCTCGCAGCTGAGAGAATGCGCACACTGTCGTTTACGTGCTCTTCTCTCAAAGAGTAGGTATTTTACTTCAACATGAATTCGATCTCATTTCAAACTTTTTTCTATTTGCAATTGCCAATCAGCCTGTAAATCTCTGTTTTCTAAGGAACGATATCACTTTGAGATATATTAATAAATTTGTCAACTTTTGCAATCATAAAACAGGGAAAACACCTATATATAAAAAGTATAAATATATTTAAATATATGTATGTATGTGTGTATGTATTTTGTATTTGTCGCTAACCACTAAATGGGCTTAAGTGCAGTAATATACTTTTAATTATGTTAATAATAGATGATATTGCTCTTAACAAGGTTGGGTGCATATTTAAATATTTACTCTGCTTATATACTTGCTGGAATTCACATATTTCAAATGTCTAAAAGTGGTAATATATATGTAAATACATCCGTATGCATGAACTTAGGTAGTTCTATACAATAATTTCTTACGTATTTTTATACCCGCGCAGAATGCTGCCGAAGAGTATTATAACTGATTTCTGAAGAAGCTGCTTCTGTAAATTTTCGTAAATGGCCGGTATTGGTACCTTGCCACGCCCACAAATCATACGATACGAGAGCAACCGTGGAAAGTATGTGTGCTTGAAAAACTAGTTTAGTCTCTTTCTTTCTCTCTACCATTTATTGGTTCTTTGCGTACATGTGGTAAATCACACCCATTTCCATACAACCGTTATGTCAAAAACAACTAAAAGAGTAAGATAAGGAAACGTCAGATGCATTAAATTTTAACGTAAAAAGATTACAGCTGATTTGCATGCGAATAGGTACATGCATATAACAAATGGTCAATGGGCATGGCACCGAGCTAAGGCGAAATCGCATATCTCAGCAAATACCCAGCACTAAATTGTGCATTGGATTAAGGTACATAAATTCTAATGACATCAAAGTTCGTTTCATTGAAAATGGAGTTGAAAAGGCTAAGCACATTTGAAATTTTTTGCATATTTGCATGAAAAGCATATGCATAATACTCGTATAGGCTAAAATATGCAAAACATTTTCTATGTTAAACTAATATAAAACTAATAAAACAATAAAAATTGTTAACTTCGGCTGCACCGCAGCTAGAACACCCTTCACAAATAAAAAAATGCCTTACAAGCACTTGATTTTGATCGGTCAATTTGTATGGCAGCTATATGCCATAGTGACTCGAACTGAAAAATTTCTTCGGAGTTTGCACCATTGCCTCAAACAATAACATATGCCAAATTTCGCGACTATATCTCATCAAATACAAAAGTTTTCCACAAAACGACTGGATTTTGATCGAACAGTTTGTATGACAGCTATAAGCTATAGTGGCCCGATATTGACGGTTCCGGCAAATGAGCAGCTTCATGGGAAGAACAGCACGTGTGCAGAATTTCAGATCAATATCTCATTGCTAAATCGACTCAGCTCATCACGCTGATTATTTCTATACATATGTATATATAATACTTTATAAGGTCTCCGACATTTCCTGCTGGGTGTTACAAACTTCGTGGCAAACTTAATATACCCATTACACAGCATAAATATGTTGTGTTAGTTAGCGACTATCTTAGGTTTGGCAGCGTTCGATTTTACACTACCTTACTGTTCAATTCATTTTGTTTTTGGTCGTAGATCACTGTCAGCGTACAAACTCCGATTTATATTCACAATAAACAAACAAACAGTTAACGAATTTCGCACAGAGCTCACAGCTCGACTCAGAGCTATAATACTGATTGATTAGACGCTGAGCTGTTTATTAGTAGCGCTGCAACCGCTTGGTGCGTTCGAAAATTGTGTTTAGTACATACGAATAACCCTAAAGCGTACAAATGTCGCTAAGTTTAGAAAACATATTTCCCGAACGCGGTAATGTCAAAAAATAATTTAAAAATAATTTAAAATAATATTTTTGACAATTGTCTACAACATTTTTCTACCATACAGATCCTGTGGCGCAGCAATTGCCGCTACTCGGCTCACCTGTACCAATCATTGCGCTAACATTGGCCTATCTCGCCATCGTGCTGGTCATCGGACCGATTTTCATGCGCAACCGCAAGCCGTATAATATCAAAAAAGTGATTTTGGTCTACAATTTTCTACAAATAATCGGCAATTGCTGGCTAAGCTATCTGGTGAGTTGCGCAACAAAATCCGTGAAGAGTTTTGAAAAGCATCAACGGGGAAAATTCAAATTTTTTCTCACATTTTCAGTTCATCGTCACATTTTATACGCGCCGTGCGGAAGTGCCCGATTTCGGTTGTCTTTCGAAATATCCTAACACACCGACGCTACAAAAGCTCAACATACGTGGACTTTACGCGTTCTACCTCTTCAAAGTGATCGATTATGTGGAGACGATTTTCTTTGTGCTGCGCAAAAGCTTCAAGCAAGTGTCATTCCTGCACATTTACCATCACATCATGATGAGCATCTTTGTCTACTATCTGGCCACCTATTATGGTAGTGCGGGTCAATATGCCAGCGTCATTATAATGAATTGTGCGGTGCATGGTTTCATGTACACGTATTACTTCATATCGGCTCTAAATATGAATATGGGTTTGTGGTGGAAGAAATACATTACAAGATTGCAGTTAACACATTTTGTGCTAGTTCTACTGCATCACTCCTATCCGTTGATCTTTCGGCCGCAATGTGACTTTCCCAAGGGCTTGCTGTGGTTTGCTGTGTGTCAATCATTGATAATGTTGTGGCTATTTGGCAATTTCTATGTGCGCACATATTTGCGAAAGCATCAAAAAGCGGCCGTGTCTGCTGATAAAAATAAAACTGTTAAAACGTATTAAAGCCATTTAAAGCGAATTAAAAATATTAAAATAAAATCAGTATATGAAAATTTTAATTCAAAAATCTATACAGCCGTGTAATTTAGTAGTTAGTTTGCAGGATAAAAATAAAAATGATTTCATGTTGTTGCCTATATTTTTAGGCGATTCGATTTTCTGTACTCAAAACGTCAGCGAATATAAGCTGGGTATCGATTTCTGTCTCTCGGTTTGTTTCGAAGACTTATGACATAGAATTTGGTCAACTATATATTTTTCGGATTTAAAAACAAAGTAATTATATTCGATCACTTACTAGGTGCGAAACTTTGCTTGAATCTCTAAAGTCGCCAACATATCTTGATGCAGTGTAAAAATGTGCGAAGACGGATATTAATCACGCCAACCATATATAGGTTACCGATAACCTCAAAGTAGTACCTTTATGGCTAAGAATCGTCGAAATCGAAAATGACGACTTCTGTGTCTGAGTTTATACCGAAACTTTAGGTTGGTGTTAGGTGTAAGATATGTATCTTAACTGAAAAAAACTAGGCAAAATCGGTTTAGTACTTCCTCGTGCACGTTACGCTTCTTCTGCTTTTTTATTCTACTACAAATTTGACTGCGGCGCGTATATCGTCAATTATATGAGTTATCTAAATGATTTGACTTTAAAAATTAATAAGTACCATTCAAAACTTAGTGTAGCCACCATATACCTAATTAAAGACTTTCGCTCATCGTTTCTAATATTTTGCCGAATGTAGCGTTTAATATGTGAAATATTTTGGTAGCATGAGGTTAGCATGTATTATTAGACATATAACACCTAAAACTAAGCGAAAGAGATACGGAGTTATTTATATATGTATATATAAATGCCTACACTGACAAGAAGAGTTGAATTCCTAGTGACTGTCTGCCAATCCATCTGTCGGTAGTAGTAGTGAGAAGCAGCTGCAGATTGATAATTTTTGAGAAGTGAGCATGGCCCCAATACCTTTCCTTAGGTTTAGTCCATATCTCATAAACCATTTTAGCAATTTCAACCAAATCTTATTGGCACCTCCTTTCAGGGGAATGAATGGATGAAATCAAATATATGCTCATATACCAATTTTCAACTGTCTTTTAATCGATATATCGGCCATAGTATGAGTTATGAAAACATGTTACCGCATATATTTGAGTTATGTTAAAAGTTAATGCAACCAGTCCAGATCTTCCACTAACCCCTATATAGGCAATTTACTGATATCCATTCATTTTGACTTTCCACCTGACTTTAAGGGGGTATTCTGGTCTAGAGGCATGATTTTTAGGTCTTTTTTAAAGTGCTGTATAAAATAGGCAATTAATATTTTTAATATCCATTTTTTTAAAATGTTATTTATTAACCTTTTAGGAGTACAGAAAAAAATTAAAAAAATTTTTTTTTTTCAAAATCCAAAATTTTAGCAGCCGATGAAGTGGGGGTCTCGAAAAATTGTCAGGTGGCCATACCCATGATTTCATCCCTTCTAGTGATCTAAAATGAAAAAAATAAAAAGATTATTAATCTACATGAATGTCGCAAGGTCATGAACTAGGGACAAGTTAAAAAAAAATTTTTTGGATAAAACGGCGACTGTTTGAAAAAAAATATAATTTTTGGACCATTTTTTTGACTTTCTCAAATTTTTTAAAAATACTAAATTTTGGAATTTGGGGATGACCGAGAGGAGTCTATGAGGAAGATTCCCTGAAAATTTCAAGTCAATCGGTCCAGTAGAACTCGAGATATCATGGGTATCAGGTTGAAAAAGACAGTTTCGAGAAAAACGCGTTTAAAGTTTTGCCCGCCAGCTTTAAAGCTTTTAAAGTTTGAATGGCGCGCCAGCAAAATGCCTATATCTCCGAAAATAATTCGAAATTCCTCGCGTACACACATACTTGAATAGTTAAACTTTGAAAATATGAAAAAAAAATTGATTTTTTGAAATTTCTAGACCAGTATACCCCCTTAAAACATTTATATCGATCACTATGTGCAATATTTTAATGAAATTGGGTTGACGATTTTTCTTAAAAATAATGTCGGAGAGTTATGTGAGGTTTTAACAGAATTTTACCTTATTTGGTATTGTGGCGAGACATAATTTCATCAACCATTACACTTTTACTAACTACAACTAGAAAGCGTACGCTAAAATTACGCTCGCTTACATTGGCGCTACTGCAGATATCGGAATAATGATGTTAACCTTTGTTAAATCGCTGAGAAGTATTCCCAATCGCGTTGAGTGTGCAGTCTCCCACGGCTCACAATGTCCAACCTTTATGTGTCGCTCAGATATAAATAAGCTTACACATTTTTAAAATCTATAAGCTATTTATTATACTACAATAATACTACAAGTAAAATGCTTATATTTTTCCAAATATATGAAATATATATTGTAACACTGCTTTAGTTATCTACCTGAACACAAAAGTTATATATATAGTTATAGAAGCGCAAAGTATTTTTTGTTAATAAAATCCCAAAGGATAAATAAAAATGGTAGCTTTCTAACAAATACAAGAGGAAGCAATTGTAAGCTTACAACTACACACTGGAAAATTGCTATATTTCATACTCGTACATGCTGACACCACTTCGCCAAAGTTGTTATTAACGAGATGGAATGTTCGCAAAGCAAGTTCGCATAACGCGTCTAATAAATACCAATGCATGAAATAATATTTTCTTATATTAAGATTAAGGGTAGTTAAATATATGTTAAACTTAATTAGATATATTTAAACTACTTTTCTTTATCTACAAAAAGCAGAAAAAATGCATCTAGTAACAACTGCATATACTCGTATGGGAGTCTGTCTTATTTAACAAAGTTTATTGTTTACAGTTTTACACAGTTTGTCACAATTGAAAGTATTTTTTTTTTAGTATGCAAAGTTTATTTAACAGTTCACAAAATTAATTGCTATTGAATAAGGCACACCCTAAAGCAAGTATTTAGACCTGCATACATGTTGGAAAAAAATACGCATACGCCACGTTGGCCGGCTCAACAATCTCATCAACTTTAATGATGGTAATATCAATAGTAATAAAGTCGATGGACCAAAAAGCACTAGCCACTACAAATTGGAAAACAAAACACAAAATAAATGAACACCCAGTCGGACACAGATGCTGTGAGCAGCATTAATAACGAATAAGTGGATAACGAGTGAAGTTAGAGCTTTCTGTACAACTGATTAAAAGCTCGTCCCATTACCATTATTCTTAAAACGTTTTTTTGTACACTGACGCAACTTTTTAAACGCATGACCATGCGAGAATGCTACCAAAATTTGTCAGAATTTTTTTCTTTCTCAATCATCACAGCTATCACATTTTTTGAAAAGCTATTCGAAACGTAATTAATTAATTTATGAATCTAATCTAACCTTAAATATAATATATATAATTATAAAACTAAACTAAATGATTTTTATATTTAACCCAATGAGAATACAACGAATATTCCTACCCATACGTGTTAGAGAACAGCGGTTATCGTCTCTGTATTTCACTAATATGTATTAAGTGGTTCTATCCACTCGAGAATTTAAAAATAATCGATTTTTTTGAAAATATATATTTTCCGTAAATTTGAAGTTAAACCGATAAATAGTTTCGAAGATATGAGTGTATTTGTAAGATGTTTTTAACTTAGTATAAACGGCTAGGTGAGCAGATTTTTCTCCAAAACGGATGCACCAATAGGCTTGAAATTTTCTCACGCCCTTCCTAAATATATTTGTCAGGTAATGACTGGAGGTATAAAGTTTCTGATAATAGTTACGTTAATAGTTTTTTTTTAACTCTGAAGTGTAAATTTTTTCACAAATAATGCATTTATTTTTGAAAGCCGAAATTTTGTCTAAACTTTGACTAGTACTTCGATCATTACCTATATAACTACATCTACAGTAAAAACCAAATTTTTTTTTTTGGTTTTTGGTTGTAAAATATTTTCAACAGAAAAATCTTTCTCACCACGAAATACCGTTTTTCGGAAGTCTTCCTGGTGATTAGCCAAGGATTCCAGGGAATCTAAAACGTATGCTTTAATTGTGTCTCATTGGGAGCTCTGAAAAGTACTCCTCAAGCAAAACAAGTAGCGTTGTAATCCACAAAACAGTTGCGAAACGAAGTTGCTTTCCGTCGATAGGCTTCTATTGTATATACGAGTAGTTGTTTATAAATTTATATGAAAGCAAAAAGGTATGACTATATATAATTGTATATGACTTAAGATAACGAAATGTATTCAATGAAAATTCGGTTATACTCAAGAGGCAGGAAAATTGGAATATACATACATACATACTTGTAACTGAGTGGCATGAAAATGCTGAGGAATTTTTATTATATTGTTACACACGAATGCGCATATATTGAAAACATGCATATGGATTAGTACATACATACATACATATGTGTATATCTACTTAGGTGTCCATTATTTCCCAAGTTGATTTTTTTTTGCAGACACAAATCTACTTATGTGAATAAAACATGAGCTGGTACTAGCCTGTACTGATATATACCTATATATTATATATTTATATATGTATATCTGAAGTAAAAGTAGTCTAATAAGCAAGAAAATGCGAGAAATCGAATTGAACGTAACAAAAAGATTAACAGCAGCAACAATAAAGTAACAATAGAAATCTCAAACGCCCTTAACAAAGGACATGCACATAAATGATTATAAAAAAATGGAAGGAAGTTAGGCAAACAAACACACACGCACGCACACAAATACACGTAAAATATAAGCATACAATTTATGGGTTGTAGTTGCCATTACACACATACATATACATAAAAATACACATAGCCCTAAAACGACAACTGCAAATACAACTTTAATGCGAGGCTGTAGAAAACGCCGGAAGCCGGAAGAAAATCAAACAACAACAAACTACACAAATACATACATATGTACATATGTACAATACATAAAAGAAAGCACAATATAACTTAACTTCTGCCTTTGGAAATGGAGATGCTCCGCTGAGCAAGAAGAAGAAAAAGCAGAAGCATGAAGAATAACCGCACCGAAAGACTTGAGACTTTGTCCGCAGACCGCTTATCAGAGCTCAATGCTAGAGCAAGCGATTTGCCCTCGCACCGCCGCTGCCGGCAAACGGAAGCAGACAGTCATGTGCCGTTATAGGCTGATGCTGCCATTCATAGTTGTAAAATAATAATAATAAGAGCAAAATACAAAAAAAAAAAAACTTGGAGGTGAAAAACGGCGCTTGGCTGAAATATTAGACTTATCGATTGAGGCGGCTTGCACACATAAAACGGATAAATTGTTAGAGTGCTGGTAATGGCCGAGTTATTTGAAATTCATTTGGATATTGACATGGTCACTTAAACTATCTATTGCCCATTTTACTGGAAGACTTTTGATAATAAAATTGTGCAAATATTTGCAGTCGTCTTTCATGTGGAAGTGAAATAAATCAGAGTTGTATTTGTCATGATGTCGAGAACGTTTCAGTAATACGTCTTTGAAGAGTTTTGGGAGAAAAAGCGCATTGGAAATTAAATTGGAAGTCTGAAGTTTTTGTATGGGGAAGTGAGTGCTTTAAAATGGCTTCCCAATAATTAACTGATGTTTAATTTAATTTCTCGCTGCTTTAGGCATAAATTCCTGGGTATACCCACATCAGCAGAAAGATCTCTCTTTGAAGAGTACGCCAGAGACGACATACTAATTAGTGAGTACATCACCACAGGCAACAAAACCTGCATAAGAAAGCATTAGAAACAACTTGAGCACCCCCGCTTCGAGCCAAAACTCGGAGAAAATCGTATAAAACAATAGCCGTGCGGGATTAGGATAGGACGCTAACAACAAATGTTGCCATTATGATGTAGAAATAAAGATATATAAAATGCTAAGAAGAGTTGAACGACCAGATGAGAGCAGGAATGAGCAGAGCCAAGTTCAATCAGTAGTCTGAATCTGTAATAAGAAAAATTGCGTGACAACTTTGAACAATGCAGGAGACTGAGAGGATTCCAATACCCGAATTGAAACGAATCTTATGCAGGCAAGTGCAGTTATTTCGGCGATCTAACCCAGTTTGATAGTAGATGGAATTGGTGCTGTTATAGTGGGTCCACGTAACCAAACTGTCATTGTCCATGAACACTTTTCCAAGCATTTTTCAAGCTGAGATTCATGCCTTTTGCTATCACGATAATCGGATTATCATTCTAAATTATAATTAAGCAGAGCTTAAACCACTTCTTCCTTTGGAAATCCAATCCATAATGTAACTTGAGCGCTTTGAAAAGCTTAACAGGATCGCCAGGAAAAATCGTGGATTACTTATTACGTGCTAAATTAGTTTAAATCCGCCAAATTACTCTCTATATACATTTTTACGTTACTTAACTGTGTTACGTATGTGGTCCGTTCAAAATTCCCAATTGATGGCATGGAACTCAGAGCAAAAAGATATCGAAGGCAATGCATTGACAGACCATCCAATCAAAGACTCGGCAGCAATCAAGCCAATAGAACCGGATCCTTAAGCTTTAAATTAAACTTAAAAAACTCGTTCCCACGACAGTCGGATCTACGTAACCGAAACGGACCTGGATTTTTATCCGGCCAAAGGCTGACAACTTGGCTGAATTTTGCCGCTACAAAACAACAACAACTTTGGAAAGAAGAGCGGAAAAGTAGGAATCGCTCTTGGCTGCAAATTCCAGGACTTTTTTTAGCAAAATTATTTCTGGAAGGATGCAATCCGAAAAGCTTCAAACAGATAATTATCCTCCCCAGAGAAAAATAAAGTCAAACTGAAGCGCGATTTATGCAAAATTATAAAAGAATGTAAATATAAAATCATAACAAAATAATAAATAATAAAAAAATAATAATTAAACATAATTAAAATAATTTTCCGACACATATATGGTATATTAATAATAAAAATTGCATTTTGAATTTATTGAGTTACACAAAATCAATTCTTTGGGTCACCCTATACTTAGGAAACGTTACGTGATTACGATAAATTATTTACTATCATCGTAACTAAACTTCAATCAGCTTTGGACGGACGTGGGGATTAAATTTTTCGATTGTGGAAAACTTAAAAATACGGACTGGTGTCTAATTATTTCATGCTAAGCCGCATTAGCATAACTTTAAACAGCCAATTAGCATTTACGATAACAAAAACCAAAAAGTATAGCAGACCGTTTTTACCAGCGGCTGATAACAGTCGAAGAATCCAGTGTACATAAGCAAAAAAATACTAATACACAAAAGTGGTGAGGCAGAAGCTGATGACAGGGGGTTGCAGTAATTTGTAAGATTCACCTGTGCCGTTTTGTGTAAATGACGAATGAGGCAATTGATTTACACAATATTATTTCTGCACTGAATTACGCATAAAAAAGTTTAAGCAGCAGCATTGAAAAATGTTTGCTTCATTAAAAAATAAAATTAAAGAGGAGACAGGTTCAGACGTGGCTCCAACAGCCACGAATATACGGCACATCAATCATAACAATAATCGAATACGTAGCCGTTTCTCTTCGACATTAAGTGTAAATTCCACTAATGAAGACGCCGGCGGAGGTGGCAGTATGGACGCACAGAGTTATGGGGTGGGCATAAAAACATAAACAAAATAGAAATAAAAAGTGCATTTAAAATAAATTTAATTTTTCAGGCGGAACAGCTCTCCACATTGCGTAGTCAATGTAATGAGTTGACCACCAAGGTGACAGATCTAACTACACGCTTGCAAACAATTCAAGAGGAGAAGACACGCATTGAAAAGACGAACGAAATCCTATTAGAAACTGTGAAAGTGGCGCAAACACAAAAGGATATATATTGCGAAGAACAGGAGAAGATACAAAACCTACAACAAAGCGAAATTGAGAAATTAAAAAATCTATTATCATTCCGTGAGCAAGAAGCTGTTGATCGACTAGCAGCTATGCGGCAAAATCAGCAGCAAATTGAAAACTTAACCACAGAACTTGAACGACTGAAGCAATATGAGCCCATGGTCGAAGATTTACAGGTGAATAAGTGTGACTGTTTGCCAGCGTAGCTTATATGTGTTTTGTGCGTTCAGGTATTTAACTTTTTTTAAATACCACAGTGCTTATCTATCAATTTTTTGGTTCTTTGTTGACTTAAGTAATACCGATTGGACTTAATAGTAAATTATGTGTTCTAAAATGCTGTGTATAAACCAAGCGTATATTTTTATTTGTAGTTACATTGTGGTTGGTTACAGTCTGTATTATTTAAGAATTTTCTTTCGCCTTAAAAGTTTCACATAATTTTAGTTGGCCACATCGTTATCTACCTTTTTCACATTTATGTTATTTCGTCAAAACAAAAAGAAAATACACTATGCTATTTACATTTTGGTGTACAGTTAGTGCTGACGCTGACTCATGCTGGTACGTATAATTGTTAAGACTGTGCGTGGGTATGTGTATAACTACGTTAGCATATCTACACCTTAGATTATTACAATATATATATATATATATAAATACCTGCTAACATTGCTTACGGTTTGCTTACAGGATGAATTGGAACGCCTACGCCATTCATCTCAACTGGGAAAAAATAACTTAACAACTACATTGGCCGCTGTTGAGGAAGAAAATCGACATTTAAAGATGCGTCTGCAAATCATGGAACAAGCACGTTTAGATGCGATTAACTCATTCAGTGCTGACGAGAAAATGCAAGCGCTAGTGCAAGAACGTAAAATGCTCGAACAACATTTAGAAGAAGCACATCTTCAGTTGTCCGACATAAAGAGTACATGGAGCGGTCAGAATTTATCATTAGAAACGCAAGTCAGTCGACTGTCAAAACAAGTTGCCGAGGAGACCACCGAAAAACGCAAGGCGTTGCGGGCCCGTGACGATTTAAATGAGAAAGTGAAACAATTAGAATTCGAAATGTTGAAACTTAAGGATGATATGAAACAGCGCGAAGATAAGGTATGTTTTAAGCAACGCGCTTTAATAAATGGTGTACTGTAAATTGAGGTTCGGTTAAAAATTATGCGAATGAAATTTTAATTTGAAAAAAAAAAAATGTTTATGCGTATAAAGAGCATGCTATGCTTGTGTTTAAAATATTTTGCACAAATTTCACAACAAGGAAGGAAGCATTTAAAAGCACGTAATATCAAATTGTAAATTTCGTAAAATTTGTAACTTAAACTCTTCTATTTTTCCAGATAAAGTTGCTTGAGGAGGAGATAGACGAATTAAACATGGCGCTGAAGGAATGTCGCGAAGAGAATGAACAACAAATTATTTACGAGCGCAATAAGGCTGTGAGTATACCCGCTGATGTTGATGATTTGCAATGGGATAGCATGTAACTAACCAAACAAAATGTTTTAAAAGTATTTAATACCTCCATACACGTATTAAAATTGAAACGCTTAAATTAACCCAAGCACGCATCACCAAATAATTGCTTTCTTTTGGCGGCATATACGTATAAATAATTTACAAGCGCCAACTAACGCCTATTGTTTTTTTTTACATATATTTGTTAAGTGTTTTATGTTATTTACTTATTAGTTAAAAATTGTATCATGTTGTTAATTTTGAATAAAAGATTTATTTTCTGCCAAAAAAAGTGATTTTAATTAAAATGCGAGTATTAAATTTCGCAATAATATTTTTATTATTATTTGATGTTTTTTTTTTTTAATTTTTTAATATATTTTTTTATTTTGATAATAAATTTTTATTTTTTAATACATTTTTTTAATACATTTTTATAAGACATTTTTTTAATATATTTTAACTTTTTTTTACTTTGTTTTAATTTTTTTTTTATATTTGTTTTAATATTTTTTTATTTGTTTTAATATTTTTTTTATTTGTTTTAATATTTTTTTTTATTTGTTTTAATTACAATATTTAAATTTTTTTTGTAACTTTTATATTTTTTTTAGATTTCTGTCTATATTTTTTAATTTTTATATATGTATATTTTCTTGAATTTCTTTTATTTTTTATTAATATATTTTTTTTAATTTTTATATGTATATTTTGTTTTACTTTTTATATATTTTTTTAACTTTATATGTATGTTTTGTTTTAACTTTTGTATACATATGTATGTATATATTTTTTTAATTTTTATATGTATACCCTTTTTTAATTTTTGTGCATTTTTTTTTTAATTTAATTTTAATATGTACATATAATTTTTTTTTTTTAATTTCTATATATTTTTTATTTTTTTTTATAAACTTTTTTTATTTATATATATAATTTTTTTAAATTTTTAGTGTATATATATTTTTTTAATTTTTTATATATTTTTTTTATTTGTTTTAATTATCTACATTTTTTTTGTAATTTTTATATTTTTTTTTATATATTTTTTTAATTTTTATATGTATTTTTGTTTTACTTTTTATATATTTTTTTAATGTTATATGTATATTTTGTTTTAATTTTTATGCACAATGTATATTTATATGTATACCCTTTTTTTAATTTTTGTGTATATGTTTTTTTTTTAATTTTTATAAATTTTTTTTTTTTTTAATTTTTATAAATTTTTTTTTTTTAATTTTTATAAATTTTTTTTATTATATATATAATTTTTTTTTATTTATATATATAATTTTTTTTTTTATTTATATATATAATTTTTTTAAATTTTTATTGTATATACATATATATTTTTAATTTTTTATATATTTTTTTTTAATTTTTATATGTATGTATATTTTGTTTTTATACATACATATGTATATATGTATATTTCTTTTAATTTTTATATATATTTTTTTTTAATTTGTATATATACATATATATTTTTTAAATTTATATATTTTTTTTAAATTTATTTTTTTTTTTTGAATTTTTAAATATTTTTTTTAAATTTTTTTAATATTTTTTTTTTAATTTTTTTAATTTCTTTTTTAAACTATTTTAATATTTATATATTTTTTAATAAGTTTTTGATGGTATTGTACTATAATATTTTTTTACTAAACATTTAGGAGACATTAGAAAATGAAACGAAAGATCTCAAGTTGCGCATCAGCACGGCAGACGAACGTTTTAGTGAATATGCCACCAATGCTGAACATGTGGCACAATCGCTTCGCCAACAAACTACTCAATTGCAAGAGCAGCTGAACGAAGCGCAAAACATACTTGAAACCGAAAAGGAAGAAAAACTCACAGCATTGTTGCGTAATGCCGAAATATCACAGAGTGAGGAGATACTGCGTAAAGAGTTACGCATGGAGCGTGATGAAGCTAACGAACTGCACGAAAAGAACGAGCAGCTAACTGGGGAAATGGAGGCCAAAATACAAGAGATAAAACAGTGTAAAATCGAAATGGAAGACTTAAAGACTGTGATGTATAAAAATGATGAGAAGCTGAAGGAGATCGATGAAATGCAACGCGAAATAAGCGAGAAAAATAAGGTAATTTTTCACATAATAATTCTTATTTATTATTGTTGTTATAAATATTCTCTATGTTTTGCTTGCACGCCACAGACAATAAAAATTCTAAATCAACGCTTGGCTGATCTCAAGAAAACACTGCAGAAGGAATTTCACAGCGCCAAATCCTTTGAAGCTGAGAAAGAGCGTAACGGCAATTGCATTGCTGCGAAATCGCCAACTACCGCAAATGTGGTTGCTGTCAGTACGGCAGTTGCGAATGATACGTTAGCTTGTGAGCACTGTGGTGGTATGAGCGCAGCCACAAGCAATAGTATAGTTATGGACGAGGTCAATTTTAAATATTTAAAGCACGTAATTGTGAAGTTTCTTACTAGTCGCGAGGTTAGTGCAACATCAGACGTTTTCTATTTGATTATTTTTAAAACTAAATTCATTTATCAACAGGTGGAAGCACGACATTTAATACGCGCTGTTGCAACTTTATTAAAACTTACCAAAGATGAGGAGAAACTGCTGCAGGACACGCTGAATTGGAAAATGAGTTGGTTCGGTTCGAAACCAAATCATGGTAGAGGTCAACATTCCTTCTCTATACCACCGAGTTAATACTAAAACCAGCTACGCGTTACATATATATTATATACTAGTATAATTTAAAATCCAATTGTTGCTAGTTAGAAATGATCTAGCCAAACGACCAATAGACTTTTAAAACTTCAACAGCTACGAATGCGATTTTGCTCATATGCAGCGTTTAATATAAGACCCTTATTGACTTTAATTATTTTATATGCCACATATTGGAATTTGATTCAACACTACCAGCACCCTATCTTACCTAAAATGCAAAAGGAATTTATAATAATACTTATTACGTGCTAAATTAGTTTAAATCCGCCAAATTACTCTCTATATACATTTTTACGTTACTTAACTGTATTACGTATGTGGTCCGTTCAAAATTCCCAATTGTATTATTTTTATTGAAAGACTATGTGAAATTTCGATTATTTAAGTTTAAGTGAAAATCCTTAGTAGGTTTTAATGTTGATTTAATTAACGTGCATATTTTTTTCCTGTTAGCTTATCATTCCATTTTGTACGTATAAGCATTTTGATACATATTTATTTATATATTTATATTTATATATTTGTAAACTTTGTTAATTTATTTTGTTGTCAAATTTTGTATATTAAAAGAAGTTAAACACTAAAAACAGCAAATGCGTTTGTATTATTCTATAAAATGCCTGTAACCTTACAAAATTATGAGGGTGCAACTGATATATATATAATATATCGTGAGGGGTATATGCATTGGTCAAACTTCTGACTACAGTTAAAAAAACTTCTGCTTTGTAATAAGTGTGGCAACACATTTGCGGCTAAGCAGCTGTCAGCGACAAGAATATTGAGGTTATGTCCATGTCAGCTGAGATTACATCGTTGCTTCAATAAAATTTCATGAGGGTCATGTCTTTGGGTTCATTTGGAAAAATAGCAATTTGTTGGTAAGTAAAGTGTAGTATTGTTATTGTTTTAAAACGGTATACTTAAATATATTTTTAATTTTTTTTTTCAAAAATCTCAGGTGCGTCATTACAGTTGCTGGTGTGTCTGGGTTTATTTTGTCGAAAAGTTCTGTAGATCAGCGCCGTTATCAGGACATGCAAATACGTGAACGCATGCGAAAGTCGAATACTGGTGAATACGAACCTGTAGGCGAAAGAAGCTTCAGCGGTTAAGTTAATTAGCCAGCCATTATTTACTATAGTTTTGTTGCACGGCAACTAGCAGCTCCTTGGAACTGTCACGCATAGTGTATAATTAGCAACCATCATATATTAATTTAAAAAAAAAACCATACACGCACAATGGCCATGCCACAGATAAGCCAAGCCGACCAGGCTAAATTGCAGTTAATGCAAGAAATGGAAATTGAAATGATGTCTGACTTATATAATCGTATGACAAATGCCTGCCACAAGAAATGCATACCACCACGTTATGGCGAAGCTGAATTAGGTGAGTTAGAATTCGTCACAAAATTATTTGTATATGTTTTGTTTTGGCAGCTGTGATAAAGAATTGTGTATGGCACATTTATAAGCCGACACTTTCAGCCGTTCCCACGATAGTCGGGTCTAGGTATACTAAAAATTATTTGGAAAATGTTTTCTGGCAACAACAAAAAGAACAACCAAAATTAATGAGAATTATTTATATTTATGTTCGCAAATCTGACGATTTTTCTTTAGCAAATGTATGACTGACTATCGTGGGAGTTTTTTTTAAATAGTATTATGTATTTATAAAAAAAAAATAGTTTATATACTGTAGAAAAGTAGTTGTAGCGAAAGTAAAATTAGTTAATTTTATGCGTTTAAGCAGTTGTACAATGCATAACTAAAAAACATATGTTTCCCACAGGTAAGGGCGAAATGGTCTGCATTGACCGCTGTGTGGCCAAATATTTGGATATACATGAAAAAATTGGCAAAAAACTTACAGCTATGTCCATACAAGATGAGGAGCTTATGAAAAAGATGTCTGGCTAAGCTACTTCAAACAACAACAACAACTCAGGCCACTAAACCAATTTGAAAATAAACAAACCAATAATTTTTACTAACTAATTTTAAGTTTGCTGCGTTGTTTCCAACTTCCTTATTTGTTGACACTTTCCTCAGTATGTCGTTTGACACAACACCATTGCAACATTTTGCTGTGCAAAAATAAAATATATGAATAAAAATGTAAATTTGATTGCATTTCATATGAGTACGAATCCTACTCTCAATAAAACAAAAAAAAAACATTTTGTTTTAAAATAAAATTAAAACGTTTGTTTATTTTATTTATTGGTTTTTTCTTGGTTTTTTGTATACGTTTAAAAGTTTAGAAGTTATCACATATTTTCAATACCAATACTAAGTCATATAAATATATATTTAGATATGTCTGTATATATGTATGTACGTTTGAGAGCATATTACAGCTACCAAAAATACGCTTAAGTCCATATTGCGCATCATTCATGTAAAATTCGTTATATAGCGTGAAAGTTCTGGTATAAGCATGGAAATATCCTGCAAATAATGAAGATATTTATTTATTCGTATTAATAAAACTTGGGTAATGTTATAAACATAATTACCTCTAAGTCATTTTCGGGACCACTCTCATCTGTCGTATCCAAGTCACTAGTTGCTATACTATTCTCCCAATCAGAGTTTACATCACCCTCATCTTCGTCGTCATCTTCACTTTGGTCCGTATTACGCGTTCCCAGACGCTGTTGTCCAACCACATCGAAGCGCTCTTCACATTGAACATGCATATGCTCCTGTAAGAGATATTATACATTAACATACATGATATTTTGTATATATTTATTTTTGTAATATTTTAAGATTTGCATGCACATTTCCGGTGTGCCACACTCACTCTAAGCAGCTGGCGCGTTTCCTCCGCATTGCATAGTGGGTTCTCACTCAGATTGAGCACACGCACAAATCGTGTGCTAAAGAGATCTTCCTCTGCGGGCATTGTCTCTATGCGATTGTTATTGAGGAAAACAAATTGCAATTTACGCATATGACGCAAACAAGCGGGTACATTGGTGAGTAGATTATTCTTGAAATTCAGATGCACCAGTTTGGATAGTGCACCGAGTGTGGCGGGCACATCCGTCAGTTCGTTCGATTCGAAAGTCAACCAACGTAAATTCGCCAGCAAACCCATACTGTTTGGTAAACTTTTTAACTTATTGCCACGTGCGCCCATCGTCTCGAGGCGTTGGCAGTTGCCGATCTCTTCGGGTATTTCTAATAGACCCGTATTATTGCACCAAAATGTTTCTAATTGTGTTAGATGGCCGATTTCCGGTGGCAGTTTAGCGATTTCATTACAACTAAGATTAAGTATACGCAGGTTGGTCAGTTGACATATGACCATTGGGAAGGCATCCAGACGATTGTAATCCAATGTTAACACCTGCAGGCGTGACAAATTGGCAATAATGGGCGGCAACTGTAATGGCAGAAAATTTATATGGAATCAAATTTTGATGACTTTTATTGAAAATATGCAGGCAGTTTTGTATCGCTATTTAGTATATTGATGATACATGTAATACCCTTCACGGTCAGTTTGTATTGAATAATTTCTTCAGAGATTGTAGCGTTGCCTTGGACAATAATATATGCGAAATTTCGTGAAGATATCTTCACAGATAAAAAAATGTTCCATACAAAAGTAGATTTTGATCAGTCAGTTTGCAGGGCAGCTATACGCTATAGTGGACCTATCTAAACGATTTGTTCGTATATTGTAGCGATGCCTTGGACAATAATCTATATTGAATTTTTGTGAAGATATCTTGTCAAATAAAAAAGTTTTCCATACAAGGACTAGATTTTGAATGCTCAGTTTGCAAAGCAGCTGTGTGCTATAGTGCACCGATATCGGCGGTTCCGACAAATGCGCAGCTTTTCGGGGAGGAAAAGATTTGCAGCTAGATATGTATATCAAAAACTGAGGAGCTAGATTGCGTATATACAGAGATAAGCTATACTTTATATAGTCTCCGATATTTCTTTCTATGTCTTAGAAACTTCCTGTCAAACTCAATATACCCTGTTTAGTATATAAATATTAAAAGGAGTATACATATCATACATTTTTCGACAGTTCGACATAAAGTGAATTTCGTTCAGACAACAATATTAGCGACTGCCAAACGTTCTACTTGATATTTCTACATTTGTTATCACCTACATATAACGCTGATAACGAATAAATTAAAAATAGACCTCATATCTGTTTATGCATTCATAAAAATCGATATAAATTAATATTACAAACAGTATAAGCGATAGCAGAAAACATTAAATTGAACTCTGGCTTTAAATGAATTATGCTACATTTGATTAGCAGATGTTCAAGATTTCAAAATTCTAAACTGTTGACATATGCATTATAAAATTTAAATATTTTTGCTTTAATTACTAAGATTATATATTAATTAGTAACTCAGCTAGCACAGATAGGCTCTCTTTTGAACCCGTACACCTGTAAATTTTCTACTCTGAGTCTTTATTCATTCTACTTTCTGTTAGACCAGAGAACTTCTACATTCTCTGGTTAAACTAAATTTCATTTCAATTTGTCTTCTTTCCGTTTCGTTTTCAATCTTTCCTATAAGCCATTGACCATGACCTTCTCAACAATATGATAGTCAATATGCAACCCACCCTCTTCAGCATATTTCTAGCCACAAAAGTAATCTGATTTGTACTATGCAACTATTTTTAGTTTTTAACAAATACAAAGTCTCAATTTTTACTAAAAATGCAGCATGCAAAGGCAGAAAATACTGAAAAATGCCAAAGAATCAAAGTGATTTACACATTTACACTTGCTGTCGGATGATGACAGGAGTAATTTGTTTTGCTTATGCTCCTTTTTTATCCAGACAAAACACAAACAAAAACTTTCCATGCACAAGGTAGTTAACAACTCAAAATAAAAATATTCTACAGGGTACATACATATGTATATCAATCAAAAACTGTGTTGTATTTACGTACATAAATACGCTGAATTTGCATATTAAACATTAAACACAACATTAACACTTTATTAGTGTAATATTAGGTATACGCACCTTGGTCAAATGATTGTGATTCAGGAAGAGTTTCAGCAGTATTGGACACTTTTCCACCAAATCAGGCACATCAGGCATCTCGAAACGTGACAAATTCAACGTAAACGATTTGTTATCAATGGCATCCTCGCATATGGCCAGGACGTGATTGTGACGAAAGAACTGGTAAATTCGATTCATATTTACGATTTAGCGAAAATTGTTTAAACGTTTGTTAGTACGGCACGCTGTTATATAAATTTTTGCTACGTCTGTTTTGTAATTTGGCTTTTATTATTGCATTAAATTGCTGTTTTGTATGTTTCCCCTTTCCGCTTCCTCAGCGATTTATTTGCTTTCGCTTTCGAGCAACATTCGAAGAAATATTTCACGTCACACAAGTCAACACTTTTGAAGACTTTTATAAAGTTTTATTAAAATACTCCATGACATTTACAAACGGAAAACAATTGTGTGTACAATTTTTTTGAAATTTGTAAGGTTTTGTTTTTGCACATTTATAGTATAGTATAGCAACACAACAAATGAAAGCAGTTATGCTACTGAAACAAAAGCAATAGCGGAGACCTAGGCAGACAGTGCAGCGTTGAAGCAGCTGGTCGTTAAAGCACTGATTATGTGAGCGCACTAACAAAATATGCACCGAAATTGGCAAACAACTGAGGAAATATACTTACATATACATATGTATATTATATATGTATGTAAGTACATAGTATTTGTACACAAATGTGTGTCGCGTCACTTGTGTGTGTTAACTTGTATTATTTTCGTGTGTTTCATGTCGGTTGTGCGCTTCTGCATTTTTAGTAAATACTTTACACAGCAATAAAAAAGAATTTATATTATTTTTAGTATTGTAAAAATATGTATATGCATTTAGTATATTTGTCTATATGCTATTTTTGCGTCCAGCACACGCGTTGACTTCAGCTGCTCGCACAGGTGTAATTGAAATTTCAAACTGCTTCGCTCCATAACTACCTAGTTATGTGTGGGTATGCTCTTTACCAACTCGCATAGGCAGTGCGAGTACTCGGCGTATGCGTGTTTACGAATACCGCAGCGTCGAACGACAGAAGGCACGTCGTAACATACAGTTTCTGTAGCGAAATAGCATGCTAGAGTCTGCCAGAACTCATTTTATACCTTCTAAAAATATAAGTAAGCACATAGCACGTTACTAACACGTCACTAGCCAGTGTATTTGTCACTGCAAATCTTACTATTGCGTGCGAGCGTGTTTTACTATCGGCGTTTTATTGACGACAACCGCTCTTCTACACAAGTAGTGCAGACGTACTTACATACATAAGTACATATACATATACTACGTACTACGTATTCCAGCAACTTCGTCGTGGTTTATGAATTTCGCTGTATTTTGCATTTAGAGTTTTTACACAAATTTCGTTTTTGCGAATTTAAGCGTCGCAAAATGACAACGCCAATGCTTTGACTCTCTCTGGCTATTTTTGAAATATTTTAATACAAAACGTGCTGCTTTTCTATTCAACCGGTTAAAGATGCTCTCAATTCAAGTGCTGACGCACGTGCACAACGGTATTACTACAACAAAGCGTGTCACTTCTATTAATTTTCCATTTAAACCTATAATTTATAAATGAGTACGTATGAGAATTTATGGTCCGTAGACTCTGCTCGATCGTGCATACATACATACGTACAAAAACATAAAGGGTGGTTCAAAGTATATTTTTATAATACAAAAAAAATGAGCTTTTCTTACTCGCAGTAGCCAAATGATTTAAGGGCGTACATTCAAATTCTGAATGATACGAAACCAAAAGGTATAACGGGCAGTACATTGTGACCACTGTAGTGTCTGACAAGCGGAAGGGGCCGCCAGCAAGGTAGCAGTAATTTACTCCAATAGCAAAGCGGCTATACCTGCTTTGGGTTCGTTGACTGTGCGTTCAAATCTGGTTTAGTAGTGCCTGACCTCATTAGCAGCATCATGAAGCTGCTTCCATATTAGACTTGTTTGGGTGCCCGGTCTTAGCGGAATTGCTGGAAACTGCAAAGCCAATGAGCTTGCTCGGGAGGACAGCCTTACACCAATTTCATCCGATTGGAAGCGATTCCGTACTCCTTTATCCGCTTGCGCTCTAGCACTATGGAGCTATCTTAAGCTCGGCAAGCGCTGGTCAACAACCAGAAATTGTGCGGCTGCGAGATCTCTCTGGTCCAAAGTAAACTGTAGGTGGTAATCTGAACTACTTGTACTTAACAAAGTCAATCTCGCCAGAATTGGTGTTGGTAGGTGTTCTGACACTTTCCAGTAGGTTCACACGAGGTCCGTCTAAATATTTTGCCGGACGCTTTTTGTCAAAACTTTGTGGAGAAAGGCGAGGTGGAACCTTCTTGTCACTTTCTCTTCTATTGCTCAGCTTTTGCCAGATTGAGGTTGAAATATCTCGATAGGCACATCTTCCGCGAACCTAGCGAAGTAGGTGGGATTGCTTTTAACCGCCTAAACAAATTTGTTTTAAGTTCAAAACGCTTCGTCGGTCCACAAGGATGTGGTGATCGAACTTCAAGAGTTATTGGATATCAAAACTTGGTTACGACGCCATTTTCCGACTGACACCTTCTGACATAAAGAAACTATTATAGAATCCAACGATAAAGCCCTAAACTTGTTGGTTCTACCACATAACAGTTAATACCAAGCCATACTAGCTTACGAATAAAGGTTATAACAAGTAAGGAAGGGCTAAGTTCGCTCATAATCGAACATTTTATACTCTTGCAACTAGCAAGGATCAAAGCAGGCGAAATACCTTCAGGTGTAGCAAAACTTTATATTAAATTAGAAAAAAACGTTAACTTCAGCTGCAAAGAAGCTCTAATAGCCTTCACAGGCGCATTTCTCATAGTTTAAAAGGCTACAAAATAATCGTTATCTTAATATTGATAATCAGTTTGTATGGCTGCTATATGCTATAGTGATCCGATCTAAACAACAGAAAAATATCTTGTCAAATACAAAAGTACATACAAGAACTTGGTTTTAACCGATCACTTTATATGCCAGCTATATCTTATAGTGGTCGGATATTGGCAATTACCCTATTATTTACATTTTAACGAAGTAATGACCCCTTTGTTTACATCTTATGGGATCAATGACCCTTTTGTTTACCTTTTGCCGAGTTCATTGACCACTTTGTTTACATTTTATGAGATAAATGATCCTTTTGTGTACATTTGGCCAAGTCAACAACCTTTGGTTACATTTGGGGTCAATTCCCCTTTTTTTACATTTTATGGAGTCAATGACCCCTTTGTTTACATTTTATGAGGTCATTGTCCTTTTTGTTTATATCTAGCGAGGCCCACAACCGTTGTTTACATTTAGCCAAGTCGAAAACCTTTGTTTACGTTCGGAGTCAATGATCTCTTTGCTTGTATTTTATAGGGTCAATGACCCTTTTGTTTACATTTTATGAGATCAATTAGCTCTTTGTAATTTGTTCAGATCGGACTACTATAGCATATAGTTGTCATACAAAATGAACGATCAAAATCAAGTTTTTGCAAGGAGCCTTTGTATTTGTGAAGGGTATTATAGCTACGGTGCAACCAAAGTTAAAATAGTTTGATGTATATATATTTTGATGGGTCTTCGAAGTTTCCGTCGTGTTAAAAACTACGTGGCAAACGGCCTACGGAAATTACAACTTTTTAAGTATTTCTACTTAGCCTAGAATTGAAGAGTCTCTGAGCTTTCTTATCTATTGGTTGGTTAAAAAAAGAAATCATAATAGCAGCATATCTGCTTATACCCTGCAAAAGAATTCAGATTATTTCATAAATAAATTTAAAAGTGTCCGCATTTTAACAATCTATTATTTCTCTAAAATTCATAAACTATTTCATTGATTTAGCACTAGTTAAGGAGCGTACTTTTTCCACATTATATCAGCAAAATATCGTTAACAAACAAAAATCAAAACAACCTTATGCTGTAGTAAATAGAATAAATCAAAACAACCTTATCATGATCGTCATTATTGAATGATGATAATGTATTAAAAGAACAGTCAACAAAATACGCCAAAACAAGCTAATCTTAGAACATAGGAAATGTATTAATAAAAAAAAAACAATTTATTATATGTATGTAACGAAGCTATCAACAAGTAATAAGTAATCACACTAGTTAGTATTAATTATATTTATAGATTTCTATTTCGGGTATTTTTGGCATTATATTCTAAGTATAATTAGTTGAAGGGTGTAATTTGGGGTTTGCTGCCTCAAAGATAACTTTCAAATAAACTTACGGTTTTTCATTTTCACCTCCATTGTCCAGCTTTTGCAAGACTAAGGTGGCAACATCTCGGCAGTCATACTTTCGGCGAACCAGTAGGCATAGCCGACACTTTTATCCATTTCAACAAATTTGTGAAAAGCTCGGAGCACTTCGTCGATTTATTAGGTATTTAGTCTTTATGAGTTTTAGATATAACAACGAACCGACGTTGTAAGCTGTCCAAGTTAGATACCTGTTGGCACTTGTAACAGGATTGACCTTTTAACCTAACCTAATCTGTAGCTATGGTATTTCGAAATCTTTTCATTGATACATTCTATCTGAATTAATTTAAGAAGAATATTGGTGTCTTGGTTTCTGGGAAGCAAATTCATAAAAGATTATAGGCAGTGCCCTGAACTCAGAATTTCCATAATAGCAGCAATTATTTGTCCCCATTTTATAATAAAAAAAGGTCGAATACCTTTGTTGCACTAAAAGCAATAACGCTCTTATCAGAAATGGCATTAAACAATCTGTTTTAAAAATGTGATCTATGCATTGTACAATATTTTATATGTGAATATTTATAGATGACGTACAACGTCAATACAAAATCGTAGCCGCATACAGTGTGATACAAAATTATACACACCAAAAGAATTTGTTATTGTCTAATCACAATACAATAAATAAATTAGAAAATATATCTTATATTGATACGCACTAATACCCTCAAGAACTGTGTATGATTGCTGATCGTTTTGTGGAATTTACAATAGATTTCACGGACAGTGAGTGCTATAAATCAACCTCCAGAAGGAAACGTAGGAGATCGTATAAAATAGAGTCGATTTGGTCACCATATACGCGAACTAGTCCCTCGGTTTTTGAGTTATCGATCTTAAATTTTGCACACCTTCTTTTCTACCTAAGAAGCTGCTCCTTTGTCGGAACCGCCGATATCGGACCACTATAAGATATAGCTGCCATACGAATTGATCAAAATCAAGTTTCTGTATGGAAAACATTTTTATTTGACAAGATCTCTTTACGAAATTTAGCATAGAGTAAAGTCTTAAGCAACGTTAGAATCCCCGATCAAATTGTTCAGATCGGACTACTATAGCATATAGCTGTCATACAAACTGACCTATAAAAATCTAGTCCATATATGGAAAACTTTTGTAGTTGACAAGATATCTTCACGAAATTTGGCATGGATTACAATTTGAGGCAACGCTGTAATCTCTGCAAAAATTGTTTAGATCGGACTACTATAGCATATAGCTGTCATACAAACTGACCGATAAAAATCTAATCCATGTATGGAAAACTTTTGTATTTGACAAGATATCTTCACGAAATTTGGCATGGAATACAGTTTGAAGCAACGCTGTAATCTCTGCAAAAATTGTTCAGATCGGACTACTATAGCATATAGCTGTCATAGAAACTAACCAAGCGAAATCCAGTACTAGTGCACTTGTGAAGGATATTATAACTACGGTGCAGTCGCAGTTATCGTTTTTGCCTGCTTTATTATAAAGTCAAACTATATATGTATATGTACATGTATGTATTTATAATCACTCCATTTGTGAGTCTACAATCTGTTCACAAATACTGTATACACAACAACTATTTCAGCTAATCTGGTAATTATATAATTACGCAAACGCATGCAGTCCAGATGTACCGCACAGTACAAAGGCTAAGCATTCACATGTGGATCCGGTTGAAACTAAATATACATATATGCATACATATATATATATGTACATATGTATGTGCATACATACATATGAAGAACTAAGCACTTATGGTAGCTGGTCAACACGCTGAATATGAACACGCCTCAAACACTCATTACCCTAGCGCAGAGATAATTAAGCAACATTTGGATTGCAGGGCGATTGAATGACCACATGCTCTATTTGCGATAAGACTATGCATAATCGGTCGGGGCCTTACGTATGGACCGGCGTTTGAGCGCTATTATATCACCGCTAAAGGCTGTTTAGAAATGAATAAACGCTTCGTTTATAATTTACGATTTGTATTCACATTAAAGCTTTTATTTTTATTGTATTGCATTTTATAAATATTATTATTAGATTTAGATTAACGCATATTACAAGAGAACTGAGTTTGAAATTTATTATAAAAAAAATACTTTTGTAAGCATTGCTTGTATTCTTTTTTCATAGTTTATGGTTTTCAAAATGTAAGTATTCATGTGTGTGTTTAAGACTATTAAATATGTATATATTTATATTTAAAAGAGCTTTTTAAAGTTCACCTTAAAGGATGTAAAGCTGTAGTGTTCAATCAGACGCATTAGCAGATAACTATTGATTAAGAAGAATAAAACGCCTTGCGCGCCAATCCAGTAAAATGTATTCCACGTCTTGAATTCCAATAGATATGCGGGCAACAACCAAAGCGCTTGCCCCAACAACCATGTACCGAAGTAGATGAATGCACGCGACAGCGAAATCGCTTGCAAATTATTGAGGCAAAGCGGCAGCAACGCCAAATACCAAACAAAGTATTGTGACGTCACCACCGAGTTGTAAGTGACCATAACGAAGGCCAACGCAAATACACAGAATGTGAGCGTCTGTCGAAACTGTCCAAAACTGAAGCTCAGATAGAGCAGTAAGCCTAGTTGCGGTGCCAATATGAGCAGCTTCTCCACCAGCGACGACTCTGTCACATTGCCACTTAGATATTGCAAGAGAAAGTAAAGCGAAAAATTATGTCGCACATCGCGACGCACGAAATGATACAAATACGCCTCGTATATATACTGCCAACCGTAGAGGGAGTAGAAAAATCCGGTAAATGCGAAGAGCGCAATACACGTGCCCACAACGAACAACAACTGACGGTATGAGGGAAATAAAAGTTGACGTAACAGATCGCGTGCGCTGCGTGTTAGACGCGTCGACAAGCAGAGATAGTAGGCGAGACTGAAGAGCAACGGATAGAGGCGCAAATGTATAGCGAAGCCATGTGTTAGGCCGGCAGCGAAAATTAACCAATTCGCACCGCGTGCGGTATCCTCTGATTTGACGAGCAAATAAACGGTTAAAATGACAAAGAAACTGGAAAAGCTATCGCCATTGCCGCGTGTCGATATGATTGCCGTTAGTGGATTGTAGAGCCAAAAGCAAGCGCTGGCACGTGCAATATTCTCCGGCCGATTACGTGCATCGGTTTCATTATACTGTTGCGCCGATCTAATTTTACCAAACTTACTCAACAATGCATGCACCGCTTTGCGGCATTGCACTTGTAATTGCAGACGCACCAACAAGTAAATCAATATGGCCACAAATATATCGAATGCCGCATAGATCACTTTGCCGACGGCTGGATGTAGCAGCACATTGGGTAGTTGCATGTATGCTAAAATGGGACTATAACGGTAGGTGTGCCGATTGAAAGGACTGCCGTCTTGCAGCACATGCCGCGCACCGTCAGTGACCACTTTATAGTCGATGTCGGTGAAAGGCACCAGCGAGTGTGCGTCATGCCAATGGCCGTAGGTGATAAGCAGCAGACGCAATGCTATGGATATAAGCAGATGTGTGCGAAAGCTAAGCTCTAGTAGCAGTGTGCCGCAACGGCTTAGTAGCGTTTTAGTTGGTTGTGGCGTGTTTTTCGCTGACGCGTTAGACGTGGACATAGTATATGTATGTAATTGATTAGAGAGATTAGGTATTTTGTACAAATAGCTGTAATGCGTTTATAAACTATTTGGTTAGTTCAAGCATATGCAGTTTATTTTGATTGATTGTTTAATATTTTGACTTTGTGTTTATATTATTATATTGCTTTTGCATACAATATTACTGGAAATTATTACGATTTTTTTTACTAACCCATTAATTTCTTTCCATTCAACGTGTCAAAAGTAATAAATAGCATCAATAGTTTATAGGAAAAATTTCCATTTATAAGAAACCAGCATTTACAAGTACATACGTTTTACAATTTCGTTTTCATTTCTTTTGCTGCTTTCTGTAAACATTCACTGAACTGCTTGTATTCTTTATCGCAAATGTGATGCTGCACATTTAAATCTCGTGTCACACATGCCGCATAAACAGCTGCCTTATCAGCGCATTTGCCCAGTAGCACGGGATAATTGCGTAGTCTCTGCTTAGCTTTGCGCACTGATTCCATTCCTTTAATTATTACACAAGCTGTTGATCTTACTTGCTGATATTGTTCGAATTTTACTGCTCTTTAGTTGTTTACTTAACGTCTGTGACCTGGCGGTGCTCCGCCTTTTGGTGGCGGTACGGGATCGGCGATGAAGGCGTCGTACAAAGGCTTTGAAAAAAACACCAACAAAGATGTGGTGATAAAGGTTATTTGAAAAAGTCGTGGATTACGTTGAATCCAAGTGCGTTTTGGCAGCACTGCTGTACGGCGACGTTGTCCACTCTCTTGTTGGGTTTGTTGTTGCAACTGTTTTATTCTTTCTTGTATTTCAGCTGACAATTTGTAGGGCGGAATAGAAGGTTTTTGCATTATTCACTGAAATAGAAATGCCTAAAAATAAAATTTATAGTTAGAATCAATTTGTTTTTTGTTTTTTTGCTTTTACAAAAGAACTTGAGAAAAATTTAGAAAAATTCGAAAAAAATTTTTCTCTTCCTAAACAATAACATGTACATATATACTAAATTTTAGAGCATAATCATATTAAGTGCTTTATCACTACTCTATTGCATAATCTTATAGTATTTAGAGCAATGAAAATCTGACAGGTTTTTATGGGCAAGTCGCACACAAGAACTCATTCATATCGCTAGTGAATAGGTAAGTGATTAATGTTTTCGCGAAATAGCACTTAAATAAGCCCTGGGAGTTTTGGCAGAAAGTTATTTTTTTCGATGAGAGCAAGTTTTGCGTCTTGGGAAGCAAGGGACGTAGGATTTTATGCCGAAAACGGGCACGGCACTCGTTAAGAAAATCTCGATGCATACTGTGAAGAACGGGGGTGAAGAAGCCATGATATGGGGGTACATAGCTAGTAATTGCGAGGGCCAACCGGAATTTAGAGCACACCATGATTAAATATGCATACCTTAATATCTTAAAAATAAATTTGAAGCCAAGAGCGGAAGAACTGAGTCTTGGTAGTGACTCGTATTTTCTACAGGATAACCACCCGAAACATTCAACGTTCTCAAGCAGCTGCAAACACCACCAGAATCACCAGTTTTTAATTCTAAATAGCGCCTGGAGATTAGAGATTCACTGGAACGTAAAATCCGCCAACGCACAATTACCACTTCCCGTTACTTAGACCCGACTGTCGTACAAAGTGTTTCAAAAGGGATCGGCTTTGGCAGTGATGGTTTCTTTTTCCTGCAGAAACTGCTAGGTGACGAGCTCGTTATGCCCCTTGACCGTGATGGAAATTCCCTCTGTTAGTTGAGGGAATATCGAAATAGAGAAGTTTAACACCATATATAATTCTTCTTAAATTAGAGTTTTGTGCTCGACACAGTAAGAATGGTTGCCGACCGCTCAGATAGTTCATGTTCCACTACTTCAGCTCTGGGAGGAGCGTGGATTATTCAATGTCCTCTAGTAGCGTTGTATGATTGACTGTATCAAAGGCTTTTGACGAGTCCACAGGGTGGATTTTGAATTAGGCCACGAAATATCTGGTCGTTTATGACGCTAAATGCTGTGATGGTGATGTGCACTTTACCAAAATCCATGTTGATGAACTGCTAGACCTAGGTGTTGATTGAATGTCGGGAGTAACATGGCCTAAAGTGTCTTCAATACTGCGGAAAGCAGATTTACCGGGCAATAAGAGTTCCCTTTGTTGGCGGGTTTCCCAGGTTTCAGTAGTGGGACCACTCTGCCAACTTTCCACACGTCGAGTATTTGAAGAATGGTCAGGGACAGGTTGTGGACCTTGGTAAGATAGCTTACTCCCGTCGAGTCAAATGTTTTAGCATCAACAAACTGATTCCGTCTGAGCCAATGGATTTGGATTATGTAGCCTTGTTGATGACATTTTGAAACGCGCTCTCTTGGCATTTTGCCTGCCACCGAGCGGGTCTCCGACGACGATCGTTTTTTTTATGGGTTTTAATGGGAAACCTATTAACCAACAAACCAAGTCTTGAATTTTTATAAATAAAAGGCTCTTATAGCTTGTGGTGCAACTTACTATCAAACCTATACCTTAACAAAGAATGTAAACTTACTCACCTTTTATTACAGTAAATTTAATATATATGCCTTTATGACTTCTGTTTTTGTTCGTCTTTGTCAACGAGGTAACTTCTTTCTAAAATTATTCCTGAACAACAATTTGACTCTTTATGCCACTTTAGGCAACATAGACGCATTTGTTCCAGCACCTCCAAGCACTTGCTCTCTTGATAGTGATTTTCTGTGAAAGCAAACCAAAATTATATAATTTTTTTTAGTACTTGCATGTACAGGTTTTCAAAAAAAATATATATCATCCACTCACCACTCAAGCAAGCCTGTATTTTACATGCGTTTGCCTTACAAGGATCTTTACGCTTGCTGGACATCAAAGTAGAAAATAATTTAAATATTCAATGTTCATTTATAATTTTTATTTACAATTTTTTATTCTACTGTCGGCTTTTTTGCGGTGCGCCCTAACAATGCTGCCAGGTATAATTTTTTAAATTTAGCATTAATTTTCTGAAATTGTGACATTAAAGAGGTTTTAATTAGATATTCGTGGGAGTTTTATAGTGCATCTATATACGATCAATATCCGTTCCCATAACAGTAGGGTCTACGTAACCGAAACGGACCCAGATTTTTTACGGCCAAGGACTGTCAACTCGGCAAAATTCTGCCGCTACAACAACAACGATCGGAACTATAACTTAATCTATAAAAAAATGTATTTACAGTGAAGGTTAGAAAGCTTGCTAGCAATATACCCAAATAGTGTTACATATATATTTTTTTTCATTTTAATGACAAAAAGTTAAGAATATTAAATATGTATATTTTCGAACCGTTAACTGAAACAGTTAGATTTTGTAATGCTACTAATGACTCTTATGATTTTACCGTTCATTGGTAACAATTTCTTCTAAACAATATAATACTACAACACACTACTTCTAGTATTATATAGTATTCCGTTCATTCGAATTATCTCAATACAAAACATTAACGTTATTAATTTTACGCTTTTACGTTTTACATTACTTAATGTTGATGTACTAAAACGTTCGTTAATACAACTCTGTTAACTAATTTGACAGCTGCTTCGGTCGTCATATCAAATAGAGGAAAATCTAAGCCGTGTCAATTTTCTTGTCTAGAATTTTTAACTACTGAGAAAAACAATATTCTATGTTATAGTTTTTCATATTTTGTGCGTTTCAATTTGGATTAAGTGTCGTGGGGAAAATAGTTAGTTTATTTGTTAGATGAATGTGAACTATTTTCTCAATAACACAGTATAAACATCAACCCCTCCATTTAGAATTAGAACAACACAACCAAAAAAAAAAAATATATACAAGCAAAAGGCTGCTGTCGACGCCAACGCCAACGTTGTCATCGGTAACGACAGTATTGAGGAAGTAGTCAACGCAGAAGTAGTGATATTGGCGAAAACTGGCTGCAACGGCAATAAAGATAAAACAAAGCAAATCAAATAGCAATTGAACAACATTGTATATAAAAAATAAAAGTAAACGCATAAAAAAGTGTTTGTTTTTACAAATAAAATTTACAAAATCACTGAATTCATTGCTGCAGCATGCCGTCAAAGAAGAAGAAATACAATGCGCGTTTTCCGGCGGTGAGTGCTACATTTGGTCAAAGTGAATGGATGTGCGAGTGTGTTGCAAAAGAAAACGCGGTAGCTAAGAAACAGTAAATACTATTGTTTCTGCTAATGCTTTCCCAAAGCGTCGTTGTCGGTTCTCATACGGCCCTTGCGTTTATTCATACGAAAGTTGCGCGTATATAAATTACACGCATACATACTCATGCACTTTCATTTCGCACAACGGAAATATCTGATAAGATTTGTTTTTGTTTTGCAGGGTCGCATCAAGAAAATAATGCAGAGTGACGAAGACATCGGAAAGGTCGCGCAAGCTGTTCCCGTCATAATTTATATCCTTTTGAAAATGCAAAGCATGTTTGCTCAAAAAAGAAAATATGTAAATGCTTATGTTATACGACGTGATAAGTTTGAATTTCAATACTTTTATTATAAATTTAAGTGAATATGCTTTTACTAGATTTTCACTGAAAAGTTCTTCAACCTGCTAAAATCCTTAAAATTAATATAAAATATTATGCAACAGTATTTATAATATAATTCCCAATACAAGCAACCAAGGCGATAATTATGAAGATTAATTATTCGAATTTACATTATTATTTGATAACACTACTTTCATATTATTGCTTGGAATTTCGTATGAATCAAACATTTCTAGTGATTTTGTATGTAATATATATACACAAAAAATATTTCAATTCCCAGAACGTGACTAGGAATTATATAGTTTTTTAAAACTTTACATACATTATTATTATGCAATGTGAATTGGTGTTTGCTTGAGAACAAGTAACTCAGTGTACATACATACATACATATATGCAATACATATTTTGTGTATACTTTTCAAATTCTTATATACTATTTTATATTAATATCGTGCATGTAAATTTTTATAGCCTGAACGTTTTTCCTTATTTTAACTCAAAATGTCCATTTTAGTAAATATTTTTCACAATTGAAAAAATAAATAATTCTCACGTATATTTTTATAAAAAAAATTCTAAGCCATAAAAATATACACATACATACATTAGCGCAAAGAATTAGAGAAAAAGTACAGCATTCCCAAGTCATGAGATAGTAATATTATAGTCAACATCGGGCATATTCTCAAGAAAATAATTTTTCATGCTGTTTTCACGTTATGTAACATATTGCATAACAGCCTTTATAATTTTAACAAGCCTAGCAAAGCGATGGCGAATTTCCTTAACTGGTGTATTGTATATTTTAATTTCTTCATATATACCTAGGACATTGGAACTCTTTGTGGAATCGCTTTTGACGAAAACATTAAGAATTACAAATTCGCGTAATGCAAAAACATTGTCAACATCCCACATGAAGCAATGCATCATGTCGGAGCAGCGTTTCGACTTCTTGCGCGAATTGGTGAAGAATGTGCCTGATATCAGTGTAGCAGAAGAGGCAGCCAACTATAACGAAGAGGACGGACAAAGTTCACCCGATGATGTTTATCCTGATTCGGATACACCATACGATCTGAGCATGCCATCCACATCAGGTGGACGCAATCAATATCGTACGGTTTCTGGACAGACGAAAATCAATGGCGGACAAACACATTTCCAGTACAAACAACAGCAGCAATACCAATTACCGTCGCATAACGGTAGCGCTATTAACACTGCGTCCACTGAAGCAGATTTAAGGCAACGCATACGGCAACGCCTCAATAACACACAGAGTGTAATTGTGCATACGGCATCTGTTGCACAAGCAGCAGCAGCAGCAGCAAAGCCACCAACCGCCTCACCTGCAACAGCAACAACAACACCAGCCATAACGCCAACAACACCCAGAGCTGCTTATGGCAATTATGTACAGCCCATTAAGCTAATGCGTTCCGAATCGTCACCCGCCAATGCCGCCCAGCATTTGTGGCAGGTATCAACCAATTCTGCTACACAAAAGCAAACGGGCCAAAAGCGTCTGCGGCATCAGGCGTTATCAGTGCCGTGCAACAACAATAATGACAATTGTACCGGTACATCGCCAGCCAAGCGACAAAAGGCCGATTCAATAACACAACAAACACATTCACAAACTGCCATACCCGCGCCCGTTTTCAGCTACGATCTCTGCAATAAGCCCGTTGTAAAGATCGATTACAGCAATCTACCGTTAACGCCTGCCACATTGGGTACCAGCGAACAGCTACACACAACACCCAGCATGGGCAATTTGCCGTTGAGCGCGCCTGTAACAAGTGCGAATTTCAATTTCAGTGCTGCTGCACCCATTATCAACATTGATTTGTCCAACATAGTGACGAATAGCGGCGGCGATAGTAAATTGTTGAGCGCAGGCAATAAAGCATCGGTTCCTGCTGTGGCCACCATAAGCATTGGCGCTCTACCAGTTGAAATGGCCAGTGCTGTTGCCACACCACCAGCCAGTGGTGTGTGCAGCAATATTGGTGTGATGGTGAAAACGCCACCAACGTCCAGTACTCCGCCCACAAATCAATTAGCTGACTGTAAAATAGACGCCAACACCACAGCCGGTGAGTCTACATCATCAGCCTCGTCGTCCTGTTGCTCACCATCGTCATCGTCACTGGCATCGACGTCGGCCAACAGCCTACAGGGTGGTGGTAGCAAGAGCATGTTGAAAGCTTCAAGCGAGATAATGGCAAAAATGACTGCAGCCGGCACAAAAACACTTGCTGCAACGTGTAAAAGTTCGAATATATTGTTCGAATTAGACGAAGACTATGACAATATTTGAATTTATTGATTTAAGTTTTAAATCTTAACATAACCGTTAAGGATTTTTTCCTTTTTTTTTTTAAATAAATCAGACTACCAAAAAGTGAAGTTGTTATTATTTTGAGTAACTAGCAGCAAATAAACGTCGTCAGATTGAGGCGGCGAAAATTACCCAACAAACCGTTCCTGTTCCCAGGACAGTCGGGTCTAAGTAACCGAAACGGACACGGATTCGTGCACCACTCCTCGAAATTACTTCAGAAATGTTTTCTGTCGCTACAACAACAACAATTACAACACCTACCTTTTTTAACTGGAGTTAACGGTATCTCTGCGTGCCGGCGCCACATTTCTAGTCTAGCACATGCTGACACAAAGAGTCGGCAGTATACATACATATATGTATGTAAAATGAATTTGCTAAACGTCGGCTTTTGTTCAACGAACTAGTTCTTGAATGCTTAGCAACCCTTTAAATCGAGGCGATAAGTTGTTCAGTACTGCGTATTCATCTCAATGGCAAGATATAATTCTTCAAAATAACTTTAGAAATATTTTCTACAACAACAACAATCGTAACACATATATTTTAACGGATCACAATCACGCATCTGAGGTTCAGCAAATCGCGAAATATCTGAAGACACGTGCGAAGTAAAACATAGCTGTCTACAACTCTAATAATAGAGTATACATAACTGAAAAGGATTAAAAAAATTTAAACAAAAATTGTTTTTTTTTTTGTTCATGTTCCATTAATGAATTGTCTCTTAAATCCAACATTTCGAAAAACATGAAACATATGTACTCGTATGCCGACAATAAATATAGTAAATTGTAAGCAGTGATCGTTTTTGTTATTCGGTTATTATAATTTCGTTATTGAAGTTATTCGATAAACATCTTTGGTTATGTAAGTGAAAGCCATTCTAAACTCAAGCCAAACGGGTTTACTTAAGGTGATTGCTAGTAAAACCAAGTTCCTTAATAATCGGCGAATCATTTTGAATAATTTTGGAGTCCCTTGAACCTTTAGATAATTACTAGGAGAAGCTCCAAAAACGAACCGTTCCCACGACAGCCGGGTCTAAGCAACCAGCAGGGCACAATAGACCCTAATCTAATTCTAATTCTAAACGGAATGAACCCGGACTGGGCCAAGGACTATTAATTCGGCACGCTTCTGTCGCTACAACAACAGTACCTACGAAAAAAATCGAATCTGGAGGTGAGCAAGCTTTTTCTACTTCATATTATTTCTAAATTTAAATCTAAAAACCAAAAAAAAATTATTATTCACATAATTCAATACAGATAATGATCGAGGAACTAGGTAAAATTTTTTCTTCCAACAATATGGCGGTTTCACAAAAATACGTCGATTTTCGTGAAAAAATTTACACTTCAGATTGACTTAAAAATCGACATTATTAACAACGTATGCCTTCGGCCATTACCAGACAAATATTATCGCTAACATATCTAAGGTCGTTTGAAAATTTCAAGTCGATCGATCCAGTCGTTACGGAGAAACTTTGCTCACCACCTCTGAAAATTTTAAAGATTCTTTCTCCAACAATTGCTGGTTCAGAGACCCGCATTCTATTTCCTTCGCCGGTATAGTCCTTAGGCGTATAAAAATCTGCGTCCGTTTCGGTTACGTAGAACCCGTTATGTGCGCTTTATTTCAAACAAACAAACAATTATTGCAATATATATATAAAAAGATTTTATTTAACTTTTCAAAAATATAATTTGATTTTTTTTTCCTTTCGTTATCTTGTGGTTTTTCGCTCTTTTATACTAAACAAAAAATAAATATTGTTGCAAATTTCAAAAAATAAATGTGTCTGCTAATGTGGTCGATATCAATATAATGTGATTGTATTGAGTGTAGTTTATTATTGAAGACATAGTAGTTGAGTTTACAAAATGGACAACAAGAGCGTGTGATTGTTATGCTTTTATGGACTACACCAAATGTTTGGACTGTACTCGAATGGCATCGAATTGCAGGGTAGTAAATAATAATGTTATTTTTTCTTTTGTTTTTTGTTTTTTTTGTAATATTTAACAATTTCTTTCACAGTGTTTCATGATAGTGTATATATTATTGTTTAAAAACAAACATATGTAAGTATGTATGTATGACAAAATAGTGTACATTCATTAAAAATCTTCTTTACTACACGTTACACTTGTTCGCGTTCGTATTATTATCTCGTTTTTGTTTTAATTTCTTAAGATCATCTCTTTTTTTAGTTTAAAAAATGGAATAACAAAGTAGTGTTTTTTTTGTTTTTGTTTTTTTTTTTGAAGATATCTCCTTTTTTGCTTTTTTGTTGTTTCTCACGGTTCGGTGTCGTTTTTGTACTTTTTGCCGCAGTATTCTTAATGAGTATGAGTTTTTTTTTCATTTTTCATGTTTGTACGCATACATAAATTGCGGTGTGTGTGTGTGTATGTGTGTGCAAGTAATGTTTTTGTGCATTTCATTTACAGTTATGAGCATGAAATCAAGTTGCTGCACATTGCCGCTTCATCAGACAAACGTCCAGTCACACACCAACTCATGAAATTTCTATAAATTCTTATCATTTAAAACAGCCCATCCACACATCCATACAATCGGTCGTCAGTCGTCTGTCGCGCACGCGCTGAAACGCGCCAATATTCATTCGTTTTCAGGCACTCGCCATTGCAACTGCTTGCCACGATCGTAGAGGTTTTTCAGTGCGCTGGTAAACTTCTGCTCCGTCATCAATTTCAGGTAATGTTTGTACAGTTGCAATGTGGTGCGCGCATCCTCGACGGAGTCGTGTGTTTCTGATTGGATTTTGGTACCTTGAAATATGAAATAATTCATTTTTTATACAAATAAATGGATTAATAAATTAAAAATTAATAAATTAACAATAAAAATTTCTTAATTTAAATACCCAAAAATTAAAAATAAAATTTTAAATACCGAAAATCGTGTTAAAAACTAAAAACAAAATAATTTTATTCCCATGTTTATATTAAAAAAAAAATGTTTATTTAATACCGAATTTTAATACCAGGTTAAAAATTAAAAACGAGAATTTGTTTTAAAAAATAATTGAATTAACATTTTAATTAATCATGCTTTATTTAGTAATCCTGTAAATCGTAATTAAAAAGAATTTGCAAATTACAAATATTGTTTTGAAAAATTCAAAGAAAATTATTAAAAAGAATTTTCAATTTTCAAATATCGTATTGAAAATTTCAAAATAAATTTTGAATCTCGAAAAACGGATTAAAAATTAAAATTTCTAATCACAAATACTGGATTGAAAAATTTTAAATAAAATTTTAATACCAAAAATCGTATAATTTAAACATAAAAATTATAAAAAATAATTTAAAAATAAAAATAAAAATTTTGCTTTATTTTGTAATCCTGCAAATTCTAATTAAAACCAATTTTCAATTCTCAACTCTCTAAAAATAAATTTTGAATACCAAAAAAGGAATTAAAAATAAAAACTTCCAAATACTGGATAGAAAAATTTAAAATAAAATTTTAATACCAAAAATCGAATAATTTAAAAATAAAAATACCCAAAAATTAAAAATAAACTTTTAAATCCCAAAAATTGTTTTAAAAACTATAAATAAAAAAATGTTAATCACAAGTTTATATTAAAATAAAATTGTTTTGAATTAAAGAAAAAATTGTTTTGTATTAAAAAAAAATTGTTTTGCATTAAAATAAAATTTAGAATTTTAAATTATTTCGTGTTATACTTCGTGTTCTACCATTTTGGTCATCTTTGTAAAAGGCAAGCATATTTTTAATAAAACTTACATAGTTTAACACTTTTTATGCTATTTATATTTAATTCCTTTTAATTATATTGTTCAGTTAGAAATATGTACTGTTCAAACCAGCTTTTTTTTGAAAAATTATTTTTTTATTTATTACTCCAATTTTTAAACTCAAAAATATTTTATTAGTTTTTAATGCTCATTTCGGGATTAAAAATTAAATTTAAAATGTTTAATGCCAATTTTGAAAACGAAATTTTTCATTAAATTATGTTTCCAATATTTATTTTAAAGAAATTAGATTTTCATTAATTAAGTTTCCAAATTTGTAATTAAAAAACTTAAATTTTCTTTAATTAAATTTCCAAATTTCGAATTAAAAATTAAATTAATTAATGAATGAAAAAAATTTAATTTTGAAATTAAAATTTGGAAAATTATTTAAAATAATACAAATTTTTTTAAATTAAAAAATTCGCAACACTGAATGCGCAACTCAAAAACATTAAATATTTATTAATTAAATTTCCAAATTTGGAATCGAAAATTGGAAAATTAATGAATGAAAAAAATCTAATTTTGAAATTGGCATTTGGAAAATTAATTAATGAATATTTAAAATTGGATTTAAATTTGAAAAATTTTCAATTAAAAACTGAAAACTTGCTTAATTAAAATTTAATTTTTATTTCCAATTTCCAATAAAAACATTTTTTAATTAGAAAATTCGCAACCCTGAATGCGCAACCTAAAAAGCTTAAATTTTTATTAATTAAATTTGCAAATTCGGAATCAAAAATTAGAAAATTAGTGAATGAAAAAAATTTATTTTTGAAAAAATTTGGAAAATTAATTAATAAAAATTTGGAAAATTAATTAATAAAAATTTAACATTGGTTTTAAATTTGAAACATTTTTAATTAAAAACTGAAAATTGGCTTAATTAAAATTAATTTTTTAATGTGTGCTTACCCAAAAAGTGCCAGGCGAGAAATCTCAGCGATACCATGCGATGATGTGGGAGATGGAAAAGATGCACAGTGTCGATAATTTGCTCTGACGGCACATAAATATTTATAACTCTGAAAAACAAAAACAGCAAAAGCACATTGTAATTATTGTAATATATCGCACGCTTTCGAAGCGCTAATGCATGGTTAATTCCTATAAAATGCAAGTTCCACTTATTGCACTGGAGTATAACGTTATTTATTCTGCAGCGTTGTACAGTTACGCCTTTAAAAGGTAAACAGCATACTTTTATGTGTTGTTATCAACTGAAATGGCCTACACGATATGCCACAAGAGTTGAGAGCAGTCAACTGGTTTGTTATACATATATAACAGGTGCCACAATCCACATATTTTTTTACGCTATGCGCCGAAATAATTATGTTAATTTTTTATGCAAATGTACGTATGTAAATGTTTCTTGAATACAAAAATAAGAAAATATACGAATTTAAGCAAACCAGCAAATGTTCACACCTGAAGTCATTCTTCAATCCATGTCCCACAAATATAACACCAATATCCACTAAATATTTCAATTTTTGATATGAGTTTTTGAGCGCCGTCAGTCGTTTGCTGCTGAAGTTCGCATCCAAATCGCCCGGTTTTATGCCCGAAAATTGCGTCAGATAATCGACAACCTTCTCCTGCGTTGATATGTAATCGTCCATGAAGGGTACACCCTCATCGAGACCTTGACTGGTGGCAACAACAAAAATAATATGCAAAAAATATTTACAAGACATAACACATACATACTTATATACGAAATAGTTGCAATTTGAACACAACTAGCAAGAAATTAAAAAAAAAAATAAAACAAGAAAAATACTAAATCACATTAGACTAAAGAAATCAAAACAAAATACAAACAAAACTTAAATTAGCATAAAGTAAAACTGAAAAATCAAAAACATAAAATATTGTTGCAGCAATTTTGAAGCTGCTATGGCATATCGCATAATTGGTGGGTATTTGGGTTTGATATTAGCCAATTGTCAGCTTTGCAATTTTTTACTTTACGAAATGCCCGCACACACCAACTACATGCCAGCGGCAACTTCATATTTGCTTTGCACGTGCACGTGTTTTAACATATATTTTATGGGTTTTTGAGACGACAGCGCTGCTTATCCGCTTACCCGCGTATGCATGAAATACGCGCCACACTCATGTGACATGGTTTTATGGTTGCTGTTTTGCCATCCGGACGTATTTCGTTCTCTTCGGGATTCAATGTGACAAATTCAGCATCCATAGCGACCAAATCACCTGCCTGTGGCATTTCATTCGCTTGCAATGGCTTAAATATAACATCGCCCATGCTGCTTGGCGCTGACGCTGGCGCTAGCTGTACAGGATTTGTTATATCCTGCAATAAGGGGGTAATTATAATAATAAAATTGTAATTTGAATACGCTCTGCTTTGCTGCTTTAGCAAATACTAACAAAACAACAACAAAAATTAAGTATATGGATTTTTTTTTACATCTTTTGCAAAACAAAAAAATACGAAAAAAAGAAATGAAAAAGGCAAGATACACTTAGTTTACTTGTATGAATGGGTTATGTTGGGGTAATTCCGCTTCCGTGCTGTTTGTTGGCATATCACCTTTGGCGGCTGCAGCTGCAGCAGCCGATGTCGTTAACGTATCCATATTTATGCTGCTGTAAAAGAGTACGCACGGCACTTTCCAGTCCAGTGTGAACCAGACAGACTCCTGTATCGAAACTGGTGAAATGCTATTGTGAAAATATAGAAAAAAAAATTACTAACTCTTGAAACGTGCCAATCGATGAATACCGTACTTAGTGCTGTTATTCACTTGCCTGAAATCATTAAAAATGTACCACTGTTGTTGCTCTTCACCACTGCTGCCGCTAGACGCCATTTTTTGTATATGATATTTTTTACTTACATTAATCAGCGAGACCAGGTTCTTTTGGGTGCCATCGTCGATTTGACAGACCACAGCATGCAGCGCATATTCGCGATACGATTCGCTGGTAGACGCTGCAACAACAAAATGAAAAAAGAAAAAGGTAATTTAGAAGCGCGGTAGGTAAGCTTTACGCATGCTTTAAAGATTTCTCGCAGACTATTTGATATTTAAGATATAAAAGAAAAAACCAAATATAACTTTGGCTGCTGCTATAATACCCCTCACAGGTGCATTTATTATTAAAGATAAAAGTGTAAAATAATGAATCTTTAACTTGTTTTTGAACGATCTGTTTGAAGTTCAGCTATAAGCTATAGTGGTCCGTTCTGCACAATTTGTTTCGAGATTGTAGTTGTAGCTTTGCGCAATAATCTCTGCAAATTTCGTAAACATATCTTGTCAAATAAAAAAGTTTGCCATACAAGAATTTGATTTCGATCGATCAGTTTGTATGACAGCTATATGCTATAGTTTTCCGATCTGAAAAACATTTTCGGAGATTATAGGGTTGCCGACGGCAATAATCTCTGCCAAAATTCGTGAAGATATCTTGACAAATAAAAAAGTTTGCCATACAAGAACTTTATTTTGATCGATCAGTTTGTATGACAGCCATACGTTATAGAGGTTCGATCTGAAGAATATGTGCGGAGATTGTAGCGTTGCCTTGGAAAATACTTTTCGCCAAATTTCGTGAAGTTATCTTGTCAAATAAAAAATGTTTGCATACAGAAACTTGATTTTGATCGATCAGTTTGTATGACAGCTAAATGCTATAGTGGTCCGATATAGGCAGTTCCGACAAATGTACAGCTTCTTGGTGGGAAAAGAACGTGTGCAAAATGTCAGATCGATATCTCAAAAGGGTATAGGTCGGGTATATACAGATGTATAGACAGAATATAAATCACTTACGATTCGCAAATCGTTTCCTTGCACTTTCTGTACTCGTTTCATGAATGCATCTTCGATTCTCCTTATTTTCCGCGTAATTGTGCTAGAAATAAAAAAAATGTTCGCTACAATGCTTAGGAGTTTTCAACGGACATTTTCTTACCTCTTCTGTTTTCGTATTACTGTGTTCGGTTTGCACACTAAGTTCACCCTGTTCGCTGATCGACATTGAAAAGCTCAAGGGAAACCATGAATTCTGACGACCATTCGGCGATGTGTTGGGTTGGAAGGATGCGTTGTTGGAAGCGGGTGATTTCCTAATTGTCAATTTGATTAATTCAACATTAATTCAAATTCAAATATAAATAAGAAATTCAAATTTATGCAAACTTCAAGCCAACGCACCTATCGGGATGCACAAAATGACAGTCGCTGCGCGAGCAGTTGAGGCCATAACGACAGGGCTTACTTGTATTCAATATTGCTGGACTTTCGGATGGTGTGTGTAAATTACGATTCAATTGTCTTCGCAGGAATCCCAAATCTTTTTCATTGCTTAAACCACAATTGATTGCCAATATTTGTGGAAGACAAGTAACCTGCAATTTAGTCATATACATAACTGTTTTTTGTTTTTTTCTTTTTTATGTTTCACATAACTCACCTTAACACTTTGCTTCGTGGGTGAGAATTTTTTGCAACTTTCACAAAATGCTTGTATATGCTTTTCCGTACTAAGTGAGGCTTTCAAAATGGAACCAAAATGAAATTGCTCTCCTTCTTTTACTTGCAGCGGATAAGCGAGATTACACGCCAATAATATGTTCTGTTTGGTTTTCTAGCAAAAAAAAATAGGAAAAAATATAAAAAAAAAAACAGTTACACAAATTACAAATTGTTCAATAATGAATATAATTACCTCATCATTACATTTCAGACATCGATTAATGCAATCTTGTCTAGTGCCAAACAGTCGACTAACTTCCGTTTCTTCGTTGGTTTTACTTCGTTCGCGATCATCGTCTGTTAAATATTATTTCGCATAATAACCTAAGTACTCATATATGCAGAGACTTATATGGAGACTAACTTACTTTCTTTCATATCAATTGTTTGAAATATTTCGCCTGCTTTGTTGTTGATGTCCATGGCAGGTTTGTCATTGCCAGCCGAATTTTCATCTGTAAAAAAAAACAAATATTTTTTAATGTAGATAGAAAAATGTAGTCGGATATGTAAAAAGTCACTGTAAATTATAATTTTTGATTATATGTAATCAGGGTTGCTTTTAAATTAAAACTATTAATTAAAAATAATTTTCAAAAATCGATATAAACAAAAATAAATTTAATAAAAAAATATAAATTTAATAAAATATATATAAATTTAATAAAAAAATATAAAAATTTAATATAAAAATATAAATTTTATAAAAAAAATTTATATATATTTAAAAATTTTTAAATTTATATATATTTAAAAATATATAAATTTAATTAAAATATATACAAATTTAATAAAAATAAATAAAAATTTAATAAAAAAAATAAAGATTAAAAAATAAAAAAATTTTAGTATTAAAAATGTTAATATAAACATTAAATAAATCGGTTTTTGGCGTTTTAAATTACTTTGCGAAATTAAATTTTTAATTCCGTGATCAGATGAAAAAAATAAATCTTTCTATCCTTTTTTATTCTATAATTATTTTTTGAAGTAATATATATTTATTTTTTTAATTAATAAAAAAATAAAATTTTTACAAAGAATATTCTAAAAAAAATATATATATATTTGTAGGAAAAAACTTATAACTAATATAAAAATTTAAATTTAAAAAATTAAAATTAAAAAAAAAAATTATAATAAATAAGTAAATTTTTACAAAGAAATGTATGATTAAACAAAAATAAAATTTGTAATTTGAAAATTATAATTAAAGAATATATTTAAATTTGTACAACGAAAATCGTAACAAAAAAAATAAAAATTATAATTAATAAAAGAATAAAATTTTTCAATAAAAAATTTATATTAATAAAAAAAATAAAATTTTTACAAAGAATATGCTAAAAAAAAAAATATATATAGGTATATTTGTAGGAAAAAAATTATAACTAATATAAAAATTTAAATTTAAAAAATTAAAATAAAAAAAAATTTAAATAAAAAAAAAATTTAATAAAAAAGTAAAATTGTTACAACGAAATTTATGATTAAACAAAAATAAAAGTTGTAATTTGAAGAATATATTTAAATTTGTACAACGAAAATTATAACAAATAAAAATAAAAATTTTATTAATAAAAAAATAAAAATATAAATTATATATAATATGTATATATAAAATATAATTAATAAATCAATAAAAAATTTTAATTAATAAAAAAAAATTCTAATTAAAAAAAAAAATTTATACTAAGAAAATTATAATTAATATAAAATAAAATTTGTACAAAGAAATTTATAACTAAACAAAAATAAAATTTGTAAATTGAAATTTATAATTAAAGAAAAATTTAAAATTTGCGTCAAGAAAGTTATAAAAAAATTTAAATTTGTCAAAGAATTATAATAAAAAAATTTAAATTTGTCAAAGAATTATAATAAAAAAATAAAATTGCACAAAGAAAATTATAGATAAAAAAATTAAATTATCAAGTCTTATGTGAGGGTAAAACTGTTTTTCTCTACAGATTTTACATACAATTTTTTCCATTTTGATGAGAACTTAAAATACTTATTAAAAAAAGAAAGGTAGCTAAAAGTTTTACTTTTCTGCTCAACTACTAAAGAAATTTAACAAAATGTTGTTATTGTTGCAGCGACAGAATTCAGCCGAGTTCACAGTCCTTGGCCGGATGAAAATCTAGGTCCATTCCGGTTATGTAGACCCGACTGTCGTGGGAACGTTGACAAAAAGTCGCCACTTTTAGCTATTGTGTACGCCAATAATACGCTTTTCACTTTAAATATCTTCAAATTAAAGTTTTTTTTTTTTGAATACGAACACTACAGTAAACGACTCCTAAAAACGACTTTAAAAATGATGGCATTTTAAAGCCAACTCAATATTATAAGCAACCTTCTAGTGAGATGTAAACAAAAATGTGAACTATACCCGAACTACTTGTGCTTGTACCGCTATTCAAGCGGCTTTTCTTCTCCGAGTCCACCATTTCATAATGCATCTGATGTAAAATAAAACGGTTCCAATTCTGCAAAAACAAAATAGTGTAGATGAACGATTTATATTATGTTTTGTATTAAAGCAAATATGGCTGACCTGTATAAGACTTATTAAATTAACATTGGACGAACGATCGGACAGTATAAGGCCCAGTGCTGACGCCTCAGGCACTGTGCGAAATGAACGTAGAAAATTGCTGGCTTGACAAGGAGAGCCAGCTGCCAAAAATTTTAAAAAATTTTTTTATTTAAAATACCATTTTAGCAATGCATTATATTTGGTATATATACCCGAGCTTTTATCCAACATATTGAAGAGAAAACCGAGTTCACAGGACAAACAAAACTCCTTTTTGCAAGAATGTTCAATTAACTTTTGACGTAGTGGTTCAATAAAATATAAAATCTGAAATATAGATAAGACATTGTTGTGCGTGATATTATTAATAACGCGACTGCGTTAAACGCATGCGTAGAAGTTCGTGTTTACCTGTAGCATGGAATTACAATAGGAATTTGGTAATGTAGCCTCCAGACCAGCGAAGCATGTCTGATTGTGCTGTTCGAAATCAAAATCTTGCGTACCCAACTTGGAATATTTCAATTCCACTTTGCGATAACGGCGCGGTATGATTTTAACACCACTATCCGTCGTTTTTGCCGAACTGTTCATGCCATTACTATTTGTAGCCAAACTATTTGGTGTGTCCAATGTGTATGGTGTTTGATTGCGACGTACGGTACGTGGATTTGGTGAATAGCCGATGGGACCTTGCATTTTCATACTATTCAACACATCTGCCTCAATCGGTTTCGGTCGACGATATTGGTAACGCAACAATTCGGCTGGCCAATCGGAAAACCAATGTGCGCCAGTCACCAAATGTGGCAGGACAATCGATGAGAGCGGAAATGTGGTGTCTGTGATGGGTACGAAAGGCAACTGCGGCACTGGATCAGCAAACTCTGTATTCCGTGAGAAGGCATTGAATTGTGGTTGCGGTGTATTGACGGCAGCAATAACGCTTATATGACCCGATTGTGCGCCAAAGGCCATTGCCTGGGATGAGGAGCACACATCGAAACTCAAACATTGACTGCCAGTTGTATTTATTTGATACATTGATACACGTGGTTCGCTCAATTCAACCGTATCTACTAACTGTATTTGCCCATAACTCGAGACCACTGCCAAACGTGAAGTTTGTGATGGTAAGAATTTTAATAGCTGTGGATCAATTAGAACTTGTATGGGCGATATTGAACGCAACATACGCAGATCATACACCATGAGAAAACGATCGGCTGCCAATGTGCCTTGTCGGCCGCTATAACCACATGAGATAAGATAATTGCCCTGTACATCGAAATCAGATAAGCTGCCAGTATGAGTTTTGATGGTGTGCTCAACATGTAGCGTATTCAAGTCGCGCAAAGTTACCATACCAAATGGATCACCAGCGAATAGAAAACGTGAATTTTTACGTAAAACTGTACAGCCTGTTGAACCGACATGCTCCTGTAATACATATACGAAATATTATTTATTCTTACTTGCTCAGCTGTATTCATTTCTTACCACTTTTGTTTCTTTCAATGTACGCAAATCGAATTCGATCATTTCATCTTGTAGACCGGCCATGACCAGACGATGTGGTGTCAGCAATTGCATACACACCATTTCCGACATGCTCTTCGAACGGTGTGTGAATTTCGGTATGCCACGACGTATTTGATGTCGCAACGATGTTTGCGTTAGTACCAAAATACCCGCATCGATCGTTATAATCTGACGCACAATATCACTGGCATGCACTTGAAAAGAAGTGTACTTTTGCAATGTGCCGCTGTAGTATGATGTGACGTGGCCCTACATGAAGCAATAACACATTTAGAAATGTTTTTTTAACGAAATTTGTACAACTATATATTGTTTACCCCTTGATTACCCATCCAGAGCAACTCCTCATAATCGTCAAATGCTAGCGCTGATACACCAAAATTTTCGCCGCCATCTGCCAGTATGGGAACCAGTTCCATGTAGCCTGGGTCCCCGGAGCTAATATTGAAACCATTAAAATTTGGCGAAAAGTGACCCGTGGCGCGTTGGCCGCCGCCATCGTAGACATCTACGTAAGAGCAAGAACAAAATCGCATATAAAATTCAGACACGACTGGAGTAGCGTTATATGAAAAAGCGGTGAAAGTTGCTGCATTTGCACAACAACAATTCAGTTGTATATTTTTCCTTCAACACTTACTTAAAATGTCCTCTGGCGGTTCAGCGCCACAATAAACATAATCCATAAATTTTCTAACTCACGCAAAAACACTGTTGAATACAAGTGTTGTACCCACACAAAACGTTCTTATATGTATAACTGCGGTATTATTAGTAGAAATTTCTTAAATTTAAAATGAATTTGTAAAAATAAAAAGTTGCCCGTCTTTTGTTGCATCCGTGAACCCGAAACCAGAGAATTATTAAGCCTACGTTCTCTGCCAAAACTTTCTCAACAAATTTTCTTTGATTTCCCTTTTTTACTGTCTTTCAAATTGGGTTCATTGTTTTTCCAAATATGTTAATGCTACCATATCAAAGCATACAAATTGTCGTTTTTCCGATTTAATATAATCGAAGTGTTTGAGTGCTACTTATATAACTTGTTTAGTCAATATACAAAACAACTTAACATTTTATAAAATATTTATAAATAAACCAATTTATAGACATTAAAACTTTGCGTATTAACAAAATCAAAATAACGTTAATTACGTGCTTACGTTACGCACTCATTTAGTTTTATTTTCTTTATAGATATGGCAAGGTAATGAGTCATATGCAATAGAAATAAAAACAAATTAAAGAAGTGAATCGAAGAACACCAATATTTTTGTTCTTTGAAATTTTTTGTTGTCATCGAAAGCAAAACTTAAAATAAATTTATTATTGGTAAAAATTAGTACACTTTGCATTTAGCGTATCAAATTTTGTACATAAAATTTCAATCACTAATGCCAGTTAAGGTATTCGAAAATATGTCGCTGAAAGAAGAAGTTAATCCTGGGCAGGGAGAGCAGAATCCAGTTATAATTACCGGTACAAATGCACAAACTGAAACAAATGCTGATGTCAGTGATGCTGCGCAGGAACCGCAAGTAACCAGAGAACTGACACAAACAGATCGCATAAATAAGCATTTGCTAAAATCATTTCTCGACCGCATAAATGCTAGTGGTCAGCTCATGGAACAGTTTTCAACGAATACGTCCCAAACCACAGCAACAACTTCAAACGAACATGATGACTTTGAAGAGCAATTATTCATTGGTACCCAAATTATGTAGTTTGGCGGCATGTTTTGTAAATTTAATTTGGTTTCCACTGATGTAAAAAATCCTAATGTGTATTTGATAAATAAATTGTGTATATGTGCAATTTCGCAACATATGTTTTATTATCTTATACTTTTAAATTGTTTTCATAATATATATGAACAATATAAACAATTGATTTGGTGAGCTCTTGAGCATAACTTATATTCGTAAAAACAGCAAACAGTCAAAGTATTGTGATATTAAATTAGAATGAACTTAGGAACTACACATACAAAAAGTTATGTAAATATATTTAAACATAAATGTATCAAAGGATAAACTCCAGTAAAGATGCTGGTTGCTTCAGCACTATTCTAATTACTATTGTTATTCTAACACAATTTTTGATTGGTAGGCTTAATTACTAATTTTTTTTTTTTGGTATTTATATGCGCCGCCTCTTATTGCTTTGCACTGGTGGCGGTGTTGTGGATGGACTACTATTTGATTCTAAAGACATTGAACCACGCGTGCGTTTTGGTGCACGTTTCGGTATATCAGTCAGCTTTGCTGTATTCTTTTTGTCCATCTCCTTTGTATTATGACTACTGGTATTCGCTTTGTGTGCTGAAGTTTTATCTGCATATTAAATATTTTTTTAACACAATTATTTTACAAATGTATGTATGTAAACAGAATATATACCTGAATTACCGCTCTTTGTTGTATTATCAGTAGCAACAGCAATAATAGAGGGCGGACCACCACTAGAATCCACACTACTAAGCCGTTGTTTCTCTTCGCTCTCAGCACGCTTTTTTGACAGCAATGCTGAGAATTCGGTCTCCGGCAGTGAAAATTCCCTTTCTTCATTGGGAAATGGCAGCGGTTCCAATTCATCTAATACATCCAAATTGTACATGGTACGTAAATGCGCCCATATTGCTTCGGCTGGTACATCACGTTGTAAATTTTTCGACAGTCGATCAGCAATACAAGCCATATAGAAATGCTTATTTATCCCGACTGGCTTCAAACCTTCCAATGCAAAAAACAATTGTATTTCTTCTTCGGCCGACCATTCGATTTGTTCACTATCGCTGGGAGGCACCACAGCTAACGATGCCTTCTCCCGCGAAACCGTCATATTGGAAAAATTTGTTCAAGAATTTCACAATATTTGACGCAAACGCGCTTTTAATTATATGGATCAATGTGCCAGCAGCAAACGAATAGATGCCGGCCGAGTTGACAAAAACTTGTGCAATTCTCACGCAAACTCGTGTTTTTCTTCTGTTTGTCACACAAAAAATGTGCACAAAAGCGCAGAGTCGCATCCAACTATTTTGCAGGCAGTGTATGTGGAATTGCAGCAAACTTTTTGTTTACAGTGCTAGTCAAATGTTTTCGCACAACTTTTTGAAATTATTTCAAATGATTGCTTATTCGTTAGAATGTTTTTTTGAAGATTAAAAAATAAAAGCCTAAAATTGAAAGATGAAATTGTTTGCTGAAAGTTTTGTACTATAATTCACTAAAGAAAAGTGCCAATTAACCTATCGAAATGAGAGAATGTAATAAATATTATTAAATATTCATTAACATTCTCTGTCGAAATATGAAGCAATTTTTTAAGAATTATTATATTTTAACTTAGTACACATCGTAGCGTTATGTTAACTAAAAACCTGTTAATACGACAACTGCAAGTAAAATCTCTTGTTACTATTTATTTTTTCTGTGCTGTACTCCGTGTGCATCCATATGTGTCGACTGTTTGGAATATGTGCACAAAAACAAGCAGTGACTAAAAGTAATGAGCAAAACAAAAACAAGGAAATACCTCATGTACATATGTATATGTGTGTGATGTGCATGAGTTGCTACCTACTGCGCAGCTGTCGTATGTGGCTCACCCTGTTCACTGCCACACACTGATTAATTGAACATTTCGCGACACCAATTCTCATCTGTGCTGGCGCATAGACAAAGGACACGAACAGATGATACCAATTCGTTGCGTCTTAAATCTATCTGCCGATTGCGCTGAGTGCAGTTGAGTATTGAATTTTTCCCGTGTCGGACGCATTGAAACAGTGAAGCATCAATTTGCAGCGTTATAAAAAAAGATTCAGCAATTACACAAGAGTCCTGCTGGTTGGCTAAAATTTATCAATATCGTTTTTTTATACACCACATTGCATGTTTTGCAAAATTACTACAATAAATAAATAATAAAACGAGAGAGCATAACAAAAAATCGATGACTACAGGCTTTTTGCCGTTTCTGGCAAACATTTGAAGGAATTTTTAAAAGAGCATTGCACAATTATCCACAAGCAGCGTTGGGAAGAAGCGAAGTTACATGAAATTGTTTTCTACCTGTATACTTAAAGAAAAATATTCAAGCAAGTAATAGAAACTGTTGCCAATTAACACGGTAGAAGCAAATTAATTCCATAACGTGCCGTGCGTGGAGTGCGGCAGAAGGGAAAATATCGATTTGTAACATAAAACATATACGTTGGCAGCTTAACAGCAACAAAGTATAGGACAGCTATACGGCAAGAGCGGATCGGGTACTATCAGCGAACTCTTGTTACGAGTTGTCACGAAAGGACTAAACTAAACGGTGAAGTGAACTGGAACGATAAGTAATTGCAACAACAAACAAATATTGTGAACTTTAGAACAGCTAACTATATTTAAAGAAGGCAATAGTCACAGCTGTTGATAGAGGGGTGAGTGGAGAATACGGTGCTTCCGGTAGAGCGTTGACAACGCACAGCCAACACCGTTACTTAAAGCGAAAAGGGACACTTCGGGAGATAGAGCGTGCGGAAATAGCAAAGCAACACAAGAGCGTGCAACTGAGAGCTAGCTGTTACTGAGCAAGAGCGCACAACTACACTGGCAACACGACTTTAAAGCGCATCCTTAAACGAACGCAAAAAAATAAACAACATTTTTTTTACCGTTAATTAGCGTACATCAACTATTCTACAATTTACTACGACACTTTGCCTGTACGCCGCTGTGATAGTACGCACTGTCGTATACGTAATAAATTTTGTAACGCGCTCACCTTGACTCACATTCACCAAACGTGTAGCTCTAGCTCGGTTCGTCGACTTCTTGAAAACATAAATTCTATGCCAAAACCAGCAAAATGTTGCCATAAATTGTACGCACACGGGTTAACTTGGCCAAGCGCAAGTTGAATTTCCTCGTCGAATTTGTTCAATTTTTTTTGAAATTATTACAAATTTACCTGCAAACAATTGCAATACAACATATATAAACACAACGTTATAAAAGTAACTAAAATAACGTAAAATTTTGTGCCAAAGGCTGCGCCTGAAACGTAAATATTTTTACTAATATTCAAAGGCTTTTGGGTACAAGTGTTATTTACATTGTTTTCTTTATTCTTTTTTTTTCTTTTATAAAATCGTACAATTTTTGCATTGTTGTCGCGTTAATTATCGGTGAGACCGCCTATTAGCCATTGCAACAGCAGCTATAACAAGAACAACTACAACAACAACACTAGCAGCACATTTCCGCCGTTGCCGTTGTTGTTGCTGGTGTCGGTGTCGGCATCGTTCGCTGCTTGGTGCCGTCGCTCGCTTCGTAAGACAAAATAAAAATTCCGCCGACGTTGGTCCTGTCGCAACTATTCGCTTGCATCAAAAAAAGCCGATTTAAACCAATGCATTTAGGTTTCAAACGTGCAAAACGCCAAAACCAAAAACGTTTTTCGATTAGTAAAAAATGTCTTTGCCCCGAGAATGGAATTTTCCGGTGAGTACATACATATAAAAGGGTTACATTAAAATAAAATACATTTGAATTAATTTGTATTTAAATTAAATTTTGTGAAACCAAAAACCTTGTTTAAAAATAGTTTTCAAATTTCAAACTCCAAATACCGAAATGGAAAAATTTTAAAATATTAATAATATATTTTTAGTACTAAAAATCGAATAAAAATTTTTATTTTTTTTGATAAATTATTATTTTTTATTTTGGAATCGCGAAAAGCTTATTAAAAATAATTTTTCAAATTTCTGACCCTAAATAACAGATTGGAAAATTAAAAATAAATTTTTAATCCCAAAAAGCGGATAAAAATTTTTTTTTTTAGATACAATTAATTTTTTTTAATTTTGTAATCTCGAAGAACTCAATTCAAAATAATTTTAAAATTTCTGTTTCGAAATAGCGTATTGCAAAACAAAATTAAATTTTTCATCCGGATTAAAAATTAAAAATTTGCAAAATCAAAAATAAATTTTTAAGCCAAAAAAATTTAATTCAAAATTAAATGAATTAAAAATAATTTTTTTCAATCCTTTTTTTAAATCCTTTTTCAACGCAGCTTTTGATTTGAAAAATATTTTTTTTATTTTATATTTTAAATTAAAAAATATTTTCTCAATTAATAAATTTTAATTTTCTAAGTTTTAATTGCAAAATCGGAACTGAAAATAGGAAATTTAATTTTCAATCTCGCAATCAGAATTAAAAATTGAGAAAGTATTTTTTAAATTAATTTTTAATCACAATTCTGCATGTAAATCGTTAATAAATAACTGTTATTTTAAAATAAGTCTGTTAAATTGAAATATTTTTTGAAAGATTAATAAGATTTCAAAAAAACTTAAAATTTAAAAGAAATATTTTAATTTAAAAAAAGTTTTACTTTCACTAAACTGATTTTTCCAAAAAAGACTTGTGTTTAAGTGGCACGCCTAGTGTGACAGCCTAAAATGGCGGCTTTTGAGTATTAAACAAATACTTGATCGATTGTTTTAAAATTTTAAGGGCATATAATTATTTATACACATTTTAAGAATACGCAGTAATATTTTTGAAGAAAAATTTAATAATTTATTAAGTTACACGCGAGCTTCCACAGCCCTAAAAAAATGTACTTCCTTGCTGCAGTGATTTCCGGCTTCTCCGTGGCTGAAATCTAAAAAAAAATTTCTCTAACAGAAGATAATGTTTGTACAATGACCTACGCTAGAAAATCAAAAATTAACAAACTAGCGGCGCTTTTAAAAAAGTTGAATTTTACACAAAATTGTGATATTTTTTGGCCTGCCAAAATTCGTTTTTTGTTGAGATTAAAAAACGGGTGGGTATGGAGAACTATTATATGTACATAACATGCAAAAATTTAATGGCGATCGAGTTATTTGTTTCCGCGTAATCACTCAAGCAAATTTGAATATTGCAGTTTTGAGAAAAACGTATTTAAATATAAACTTTTGGAGCAGCTGCGCAGCTACTTTTTAGAAGGCTGTAACTCAAAAACTGTTTGAGAGATCGGTTGAAAATTTTAATATGTTATTTCTAAAGGTATAAACTAACGAAATTAATTGAAAAATCGATTTTTGTTTTTAAATTTCACACTAGATGTGCGCCTTAAAAACCAATATCTCGTTTTCAATTTCGAAAACTATTAAAAGTAGTTGAAATTTTTAAAAATGCGTGAAAGTAGTTGATATAACGGAGATTAGGAATGTGTAAAAACTCTCTTTTACAGCGTTTATTTGGCTTTTAAAGTAAAGCAGATGGCTTTTAAAATAGAGTAAATCCAAGCACGAGAGCTTGGTTCAGTATATTAAGTGTATTTTCTTAAAGAAACGCCACTAATAATTTGTTAGCTTTTCCTTTTTTTTTTATAAGTGAACGTTTTTCTCACCAACAGTGCATTAAATGCTGTTACTATTATTTTTGCGACATTTTATTTACGTTTATAACACGTTCTTGGAAGAGTAGCGAGTAGCTCAGCTGGTTTCAATGGACTCACAGTGGTTGATCTAGGCTCTCTATCAATAAAATCAGCATTTTTTATTCAATCGAAACCTACAGCACAAAAACCATTGTAGATATTTTATTTTTAAACGAAGTATTTTCGAACTTACTAATTCGCTGCTTTGTCTTTCCAACAGAGATTGCCTTTTAGAGAGTAATTGTTATATTTTTCTTGCATAAAAAGAAGAATTCGTCAGTTATTCAGAGGAGCTTCGAAAATTGTAAGGACTTTCATTTGTAATGCTGTTAATATTACTAGTTATTATTTATTATTAACTTATTTTTACTTCGCAATCACACGAAGGGCTTTTTACAATAAATTTTAAACTCGAAATATTTACATAAAATTGCCTCATAAATATGTCTGGTTGTGGTGAATCATAGCAAGAAGGTCTAAATAGTTTTGTGTATACATACATACCATACATATGTAAATAAATGTGCATAAATCTGTGTTAAGGTCTTTACAGTCATGCAGTTCCATGTTGCGATGACTAAGCTTTCTTTTTTGTATGCACTTCTTCTACTCGCATGTTTGTTGTTGCACAAGAACGCCACTTATTTGCTGAAATATTTCGCTTATTAATTAACTTTTTATGTTGCGAACTTTTCCATGTAAAACATTTAGTGGCAAAAAATTATTTTGCTGCGGTACACAATTTTTTTTTCGTTTTGCTTAAGGACGAACTTTTGAAATCGATTAAAAAGGCGAACTGTAAGTTACTATTCGAAGGTAAATTTTTTAAATAGCAGCATGGAAGAGTTAGTGTAGTTAATAAAAGAAAACTTATTACAACCGAGCCAGCATTGATTAAATATATAACAAAGTGTATTATGTCATAAGTCTGATTTATGTCAAATATGTTACTTTGCTGCCATTTGGAAGGTAATTACATAATGTCACTCTCAAAGAAAACCACGCCCCTATGGGTAAAAAAACTAGTACATCCCATTTTGACAAGCTTTTCTTGAGACAAATTTTTCACTAGCAAAATTATTCGTCATTAACTCTAATATCGATAAAATCAACTTCCACCCCTACTTTTCATATAAAGACATTGTAGGATTTGTAATAAAAATCGCAACTTTACTTCTTTTAATATTAATTAACCCATACTTATTAGGATACCCAGATAATTTCATTCCAGCTAACCCCTTAGTTACCCCAGCCCACATTCAACCAGAATGATACTTCCGGAAGAGGTAGTACTGCCTTGGTGCCAGGTTCACACTTTAAGTTGCAGTCTTATAGAAGCTTCCAATCAAGCTCGCGTAGCTACTTGCGTTGTCCACAACTCCTCTCCTAACAGTTTGGGCGTAGGGTAGCAGCTGATAGTATATGATTCCCTGCTAATCCCACCAAATACATAGAATAACAATCTCGACCGTCTATTCTGGCTTGGCGACCATTTTGTGTCACTGTGATTCGACCACGCTTGATTTCGCTTGACATTGTCGCAAGTGACACACATTTCATAACTGGTAACCATCAGCTTCAGAACTGGAACGATTTTCTTGCATTGAAGCAGCAATTGGCAGCTGGAAATTCAGTTCATGAGGTTTATTTTTTGTGTTAACTCATGGCGCACTCATGTATCCAGGTTTCTTTTTATATCTTATTTTAATGTTTTTTTGTTCAATATTTAGCTTCTGGATATCGACACAGTGCTTTAATGATATATTTGACAATTGGCTTTCCAAAACTTGTTCATGTTTACATCAAAATTAATGTTATGGAATCGATAAAAACAAAATTGCGCGTGTTTGGCAGTTACTGTAGCAAGATCATAAGCACTATACACATTTTCAGCGGCCTGGCTTTCGTTTTCGCCTTTATCGCAGAAAAACTGTAAAATATGGCGTATTTCTCTTAGCTGGTGTCCATTTTAGACTCGTGCTCAAACAATACTGCGTTACGCAATCCCAAAACTGTGGGAGAAGATTTTTTAGCACGAAATCTTAACTTTCTAATGTCATATAGCATAACCCAATCGCACTTATACAACGCGAGTTAAAAATTAGTAAAGCCATCTATTGCAAAACTAATGGATTTATTTTTACTAAACCTTATATATGTATTTATGCTAGTTAAATCGGACCATGAATACGATTTTTCCAATATAAAAGTATTTTAGTATATTAGGTACAAACCATAAACAATTATAATATTTGATTGAAAAGGGATTATATAATACCTATATATGGAACGTACAAGCAAATAAGCAATCACTATTTTTACTTTAATATATTATTACCACTGGCATTTTATAAAAATATGCTGGTATTATGGTGAAATAGCGGAAAATAACGACAGCTAATGGTCAAATGCTCTATCAGGCGTAAAATTCTACTTATACTAAATAAACATACATAAACATACACACATAAAAACATAATTTGATTGATATTCATAATTGCACATCCCCATGTTCCATAATTCATGTGGGTGTGAATCAACTGCCTAGTTGACGTCAGCAGTTGTTAAGTGAGCTGTATAGTAATTATTATTATAATGAAATTATCCATTTGATAGTTTTTGCTATCGATATACGATATTTCAAATGCGCGTCATTACGTATACGCCCTGTAGTACCCTGACCGCTACTTAATAGTAGTAAAAAAAAAATCTTTGTAAATAAATAACTTTCATCGGAATTCGTTAACTAATGCAAGCGCTTTAAGTAAAATAACTGCATTTAAAGTCATATATAATAAACACACATACATACAACCGCACATGCACACTTACACACACAACTAGTGAGCTGCATAAAAACAGTTTTACTTTCAATACAAAGCCTTTGCGTCTAAGAGAAGCCAACATGCACGTATTTGGAGCACAGAACAGATGTTCTTGAACTTTTACAGCTTCCTGCATGCCAATAATAATTACACACGCACATACACACACCGCTAAATAAAACAAAATAATAAAAATAACACAGTTTGTTCAGAATGCAACTCAATACATACATATGTATATATATACGTATCTATTGTATGTATGTGTGTTTAAGTGCTTGCTCGTCAGCCGGCAGATTACCTCACACAACTACAACACAGTTGACCAGTTTTACTTTGTAGCTGTTGCTATATTGCACTACTATGCATTTCTCTCACTCGCAGCGCGCTCTTTGCGACACAATTACTGCGCATGTTCAATACATGGTTCTCCGTTTAGTTAATCCTTTTACAAGTATTTTCGCTTTTAAATTTTTTTTTTGTTGCTTTTGTTAATGGCTTCGCGTTCAGGTCCATTGACACCGCGCTGTACGGTTGCGTACATACAAAGCCAGAGAAACTGCAGTGGCTTGTATACCAACTAATGGTTGCTTCTTGACCTTAAGGTTTCATGGGGTTGTGCGTACCAATTTGAGGTTATGTTTTATGTGAGTGCACGAAATTCACATATTAGTGCATATGCAAGCATGCAGTTACTATAATTGTAATTTATATATATATTTCATTATATATTATAAGTATATAATATACAAACAGTTTAAGTAAATGCTGGGTGAAGTTCAGTTCAGGGCAAACCGGTTCAACGGCGTCTGTAGAAGTGTGACCTCAAATGCCTATTAGTAACTGTATACATATATATATAGTACATATATGTACATATTTATATATACAGATATATATGAAAGTATACCAAAACTATATATTAGTGCATATTATTTGGTGAATAATGTTTTACTAACTGTATGTCTGGTTAAAAGCTTGCTGAAAGCGACTTTCAAGCGCCTGCATAACATTCACATATAAATACATATATCTCATCATCATCATAATAAGACGCGAGGACCCAATGCTCATACGAGCGGAATTTACCGAGTCATGAAGGACAAGTCATTTTTTTAACATCGAGAACTAAACCGGCTCAGCTAAAAAAACAAAAAATTAAAAAATCAAAGCATCGTGCTTGGACCGATTATGATCAGCCTTTTGCGAAGCCAGAAAAATATCTCTGGCAATTAGATCAATTGCAACTTCGATGGCAGTAAACTCGGGTTGAAAGACGCTACAGTAGCTAAGAAGCCTGAATCTGGTATTAATGGATAGTTGCCGATAATAGACATCTTCACCACCACCACCCACAGCTTTTACCCATCCGTGAAAAAGCTTACTGTTTCTCTCTTTCAACGGCTTCTTGCTACCGACATCACGCTATTAAGTGCTATTAAGTGTGCTGCCAGGGAAAGGACCGCCGGAGCTTAGTTTGACGACTTTATGATCCAAGTGGTCTGGTATGAAGTCAAAGCATGCGAGGATTTCAGAGTGTTCAGCACATTTTCATTTGGAAACTCATCTTGTCTGAGTCTGCGCCTTCCGGCTATATCGCCGGTTAAGCATAAAGAAACAAAGACGCATCTAAAACCAGCAAGGCAGCTTAAATTCATTTTAAGATGCTGTATCACATTGGAATTATACGATTAGCATTAAATACGATTTTTTTACTTTACACAGTAAGGAAAATTAAGATTAATAAGACTAAATGTGGTTTATTTTATATATGTGAAAGTTTCAGCTGAAACCTGGACCAGAAATATACACTAAAGTCTTGACACAAACACCTTGCATTACCTTTATATATTTGACTCTAAAACACAAAATTCTAGAACTATGACAATATTGCTTGGTGATCTTCCTTTTTGTCTTCTTCCCTCTCTTCGGCTGTCGTGAAGGCATTAGCAGAAGCAAACAATTTTCTGGGATTGTTCTTACCGTATCCAAAAGGTGTTGAATTCAATTTTCTTGTCACATTGCTAACTGTAATTTGGTAACTTAGTCCCAGTTATATAATATTACTGAACGAAGCTTCAACATTACTTAAATGTTAGGGATTTCACTTGAAAAGGTGAGCTAAAAACAACAAACCCTTGCAGGCCATAAATACCCCAATGCCCATTGACAAAATACTCTGGATGCCAAAAAAAAAATATTTGTAGAACTTGGCTTCACTCTCCACTTAAACCTGCATCCACTGAAGAATTTGGGCTTGCATCCGTATAAAATTGTTCTCACTCTAGAATAGAAGTCATTGTGTAAAAATGTGGAAAAAGCATAATTGCATCGGGTGAACTTCACATTAAATAAAAAACATTCGAATTTCTTTAACAATTAGTTATTTGTTTTTTGAAAAAAAACCATATCACTCTTATTGGAAAACCCTTTACATATTTGTAGTTACAAATTTCTTTCACCTCCCACCTCATTACCGTGAACTTACTGTATTTGGCCTTGCTTAGTGAGTCCTACACTTTGACCTTGACTGCTGTGCAGGGTAGCGTGTTTGACAGACGCGAAGGGCTTACATTTGAGTTTATGGAATCTTCCCGAATGCCGTCATTTGCCTGCATTTATTTACTTTTTCCGATTTGATGAGTTCATTTATTTATTTGTTGATTCGCCCATGTTGTACTGGCGGCGCTTGTTATTAAATCGATTAAACAAGTGAGGTAAATTGTAGCTGTAATTTAAGTAATTGATTGAGTGCAGGAAACTATTTATGAGACGATTTCTTAGATATACAAACATATGTACATACATTAATGGTGTAGGTACATATGTATGTAACACAGTTTGTGTAAAACGCTTTTAAAGCAAAAAAAAGGCTTTACCAAGAACAGCTGGTTATACAATGTAGAGTTGAACTTAATTCTACCGCTATACATGCCATAAATATACAAGCTTGTATTCGTATAACCGTAAAATGAAATAATGAAAATATTACTTTGCGTGTTGTTCGCGCTCTCCAATTTATTTATAAGAAATAAATATCAAACTACTTCAAATAATTAAAAGCTTATTGCCTTTATAACTTATGTGCTTGCTAATAAACTATGGGCGTGTGTAATAAATTTGAAAGCGAGACAAAGTTTTTTTTAAGAATTTTATCCTTTTCCAAACAAACTATCAATTCGTGATTGCGTTAAAAGTGGTCCGCGTGATTTTTGTCGTAAGGAGATAGAGTTCAATTATAGTTGGTACTAGGCACTAATCTATGAAATCTTTACTGCAAATTATTTTTAAATTTAAAACTTCATATATAAATGCAAGTTTTCAACTATCATGATTTAATATAAGCCATTAATTATTGTTATTGTAATTAACACAATTACGAAGCACAAAGAAACCTTCAGTTACTAGTTCAGATATTTTACGCTGAATTTATCAAAGAATAAGAAAAAACATTAACTTCGGCTGCACCGAAACTATTATAATCTTCACAAATACAAAAGGTGCCTTACAAGAACTTGATTTTGATCAGTGAGTTTGTATGGCAGCTCTACGCTGATCCGATCGGAACAATTTCTACGGAGATCGCATTATTGCATTAGATAATATACTATGCCGAATTTCGTAAAAATATCTCATACAATAAAACAGTTTTCCATACAAGCACTTGATACCGATCGTTCAGTTTGTATGGTAGCTATATGCTATAGTAGTCCGACATTGGTGGTTCCGACAAATGAGCAGTTTCTTGGAAGAAAATTAAATTTGCAAAGTTTCGAATCGACATCTCAAAACTGAAGGACTAGTTCCTGTATATACAGACAGTCTGACTTGGCTAAATCGACTCAGCTTGTCACGCTGATCATTTATATATGTATATACTTTATAGGATCTGCTACGCTTTCCTTTGGGCGGGTACAAACTTTGTGGATTCTTAATTTAACCTAAGTATTATAAAATATGAAATTAGTGGCAGCCCTGCTCGAAGCTAACTAACACAATCTTAAACATTTTAAGTTTGAAACACATTATGTCGTATTTCATACGGAAGCTTCCGAACACAACTTTCAACAGTAAGACTCTTTTGTTGGGAACTCATATTGCAACAAATAGTTTATATTAACCACTTCGTAGTATTAATCTCTTCAAACAGTTGGCAACTCTCGTAAGAATATGTTCATCTAGAAATAAATTCAATAACGCAAATATTCCTTGGCACTCTAAGAATGTTACTATTGCAGATGGGTGAAATGGGCTCACTGGCATGCGCACAAGGCTATATAGGAAAAGGGTACATGGTTAAAATATTAATAAATATATTTGAAAAGTGGGCGAGGCTTTTTACTCTAATATGGTTAATGCATCAGTAAAAACCGCTAAGACCTAGCTAATCCAATTTCGTAGACACATAACACCTTATCACCTCATATTTTAGCGTAAGAATGAGGGAAATAGGATAGTAACCACGCTCACCTCTCATATAATCGGGCTATGCCAGAAACTACTAACAACGGAATAAATGCCTTAGTAGTAACTACAGAGAACTCACAACGACTCATCTAGAACCAGCATATAGATGAACTCCAAAATACTGCTAGGTGCTAGTCAAGCGATGCGATCGCTGTTTGGAAACATGGATCCCAGAGCCTTAATTCTGCGTCTGCAGACTGCTGTGCAGTCCACCAGCAGGTGTTATGGGGTTTACGGCTCCATGTCACAGAATCATCGGCCCATACTTTTTCTTGTCTGAAAATTGGTTAATATTTTAAGTAATCTTTTATATTATATATTTTTATCATATGTTACGCCTACTCAAAGGTATTCGTTATAATTATTTTACAAAGATGGAACAAATGAAAAAGTACTTCTAAATCATAACAGGATATTGAATTAAACATATTCGCAATTTTCCACAAATTACGAAATGAAGAAAACAAATAGATATTATATAACAAAAAATTATTTACTATTTAATTATAATTTACTTTCATTGCGCTATAATCAACCCCTTATAATGAGTTCTCACTTTTAGAATTCACGGGGACCGATACACGGCACGAGTGAATCGTACCCAACTGGTGGAGTCCAGCACCAGTCGGGAGGGCTCATTCGCACATCCACGGACAGCGATGGTGACTGTGGCGTTTACATCACCGATCGGCATAATCATCACGCCGCCACCGATATACCACCATCGCCGCCACCATCTCTTGTCGGCGCTTCGTGTGAACTGCCAACAACGGTTGCTTGCTCTCAACCCGCCCCACCATCATTGCTCACCGAGTATCAACAGTCGACTGGTTCGCTCTTCTCAGTCGTGTCGGCGCCACCAGTACCGCTCGCAGAACTTGACGTTAAGCAAGTGGATGCGCTTAATAGCGGCGGATTCCACAAAGTCATGGGGATCGCTGGAGGTGTTGGTCTGCAAGCTGGCTGCGGTATGGGCTTATCAACGATGGGTGGCAGTGCACAAAATGCATATTCGACCACATCAATGGATGCAACAGCTTCCGCGGCAGTTATGGCGGCAAGCGCCACAATCAATTGCCCAATGGACGGTACGGCTACGATCGCTGGCACCACCACGCATGGCATACAACGTCGTCCGGCAACGTTGCCCATTAATACGCCATACTGTCCGGCATCGGTCAGTCGCACTTTGCATTCCAGCCTCTTGGAACATCAAATTACTGAAATTGATGAAGAGGATAATGAAAATCTGTTGACTGTCTCCAGTATTACAGCGCGTCCATTAATCGCCAAATCGCGTGAGATACGTTCGAATCGACAGCTGCAGCTGATCGAACAATCCGCGAAACGTGGAGCTAAACAAACGCGACGCGCTAATGTGTCCGCACATGCCGCCGACGGCAGATCCGCCGATACGGATCAGTGTGTAGCGGACAAGCGTACAACCTCTGCTTCATCACGCTCCTCAGTTAATACTGATCCACCAGATGGTGGTTACGGTTGGCTAATTGTTTTTGGCGCATTTTCAGTGCAATTTTGGGTAGCCGGCTTGGTTAAGTCGTATGGCGTGCTCTATGTGGAAATAATGGAAACATTTCCGAGTTCAACGGCAACCGTTGCTTCTTGGATACCCGCCATACTATCAGCATTATGCTTAGTTTTAGCGCCAGTCTCTAGTGCACTATGTCAGCGATTTTCATGCCGTTCGGTGGTTTTCGTTGGTGGTATATTCTGTGCATTGGGTCTTACACTGAGCTACTTTGCGACTAGTCTGCTACATTTGCTCATTACCTTTGGAGTTTTGACAGGTAAGGGTGCTGTCGCTCTTTCAGTAAATCTCTTTAATATTAACTCATTTGCACAGGTATCGGTGGCGGTCTCTCTACAACACCCGGAATCGTAATTGTGTCGCAATATTTCGACAAGCATCGTGCGCTAGCAAATGGCATCTGTGTTTCGGGCACCGCTGCTGGTAGTTTTATTTTACCGGTGCTTATAAAACATCTGGCAGAGAAATTCGGCTTCCATGGAACGATTTTAATTTTGGGCGGTTGCATGTTTCATGTTTGCATCTCAGCCACACTTTATAGACCCATAGAAGATTACAATAGTGAAAGTGGCAAGTTAAGCGAGGAGGAGGAAGAATCGGCGAAACCGCTGAATGACATCAACCCCAGTACAACGGGTATGCTTACTGGCTCTACATACTTGGACACATGTGATGCTACGCTCAATAATAAATTCATCGAACATCTGTTCCTTGAAGAATCAAAAAACCGACTTAATGATCTATACTCTGGCAAGCAAAGTGGTAAGTATGGTCTTAAATAGAGTTTGAAACTTTGTAGCTCATATTATCGCCTTAGCAAATGAAAAGCAAGCTGCCGCTGGCCAGGAAAGTGATGACGAGGTGAAGGATGTTATTGGTGAGACCACATTTATCAAGCCAATGAAAAAGGTACGCAGTTCGGGCATTATGCATTCTGTGGAAGATCTCAGCACCGACTCTACTTGGGTTTATCGCAAGAATTCCGGCACCGATTCAAATCGTGGTAGCCGACGACGTCGAAACGTGTTTGCGAATGACGAAATCATTTCGAAAATACAAGCACATCTAGAGAAACCACAGTCTCCACCGGCCGTAGTGACACGTGGCCTCAGCAAAAGCATGGAGATACCAACACCAGTTAGTAATTTTACTGATTTGAACAAACGTGGCGAGCTGCATGATCTCAGCGGTGCTATAGTAGCTCAACCACCAATAGATGCTGGTGTCAGTGATGGCGAAGACGATGATGATGATGATGTACCACGCACCTGCTGTGAGCGCATCGAAATGTACTTGGACATTAGTTTATTGAAAGATACTACATTCATATTGATGTGCTTGTCTGTGACCTTGATGTCGGTCGGTTGTCCTTATATGCTTTACTATCTCCCGGCACATGTCATTTCAATTGGTGAGTCAAATCAGAGCTAATGTTTAAGAGAATAGTTGTGGTCATTCTTCTGTGATAAAATCTTTCTATTCGAAACGTCGAACATATAAAAACAAGTATATATGTGAACAGTATGATGAGCTGAGTCAGAGGAAAGGCAGAGGAAATTGTTCAGATCGGATCGCTATAGTATATAGCTGCCATACAAAACTAAGTTCTGTTATACAATCTTTTGTATTTGTAAATTTTATGTGAGGATTAGAGATTCAGAACTACTATTGCTGAGTGGTTCTGTAAAGAGTTGACTTCGTTTGATCTATGTTAAAACCCATGCACTTAACAGGTACATGACTGGTTTGAGTGTAGGCCTAATAATCGAGGTTCGAAACCCATCCACGTTAGTTTTCGAAATTATGAGACAACTGTTGTGAAATAATAGGCTTCATCAATGATGAAGAACTCGCTGATAAGTCTTATGGAATGTCGGCGCATATTTAATAATATTGAGGAATAATTAAAGGATTTTTTGAATTAAATACTCCCGGCATTTCTTGTTTTACGGAACCTATATAGCGGTATACAAGTTTACTTTGTCCGACTAAAATAATAAATTTCCAATTATGGCGGATACTGTGACCTCATGATGAACACAACTTTTTAAACAATAATATTTGAAATTTTCTTCGTGATTTGAGTATATTTTAATACTTTACACACACTCTTTACTATTATTCATTTAGGCAACAACAAAAGCCAGGCCGGTTATTTAGTCGCCGTGAGTGCTGTATTGGATTTATGTGGACGTTTAGGACTTGGCTGGTTATCCGATTTGCAACTTTTCGATCGCAAAAAAACCTACATATTCTGGTAAGCAATCAGTTTTTAAACATACATATACATATGTATATACAATTTTCTAACGGTAAACACATTAATCGTAGTATACTAGGCGCTGGCATTGCCGTACTTACAATACCGTCTGAGGATACGCTTTATTTAATTGGACTATCCGCTGCTGTTTACGGCTTCTGCTTGGGCAGCTGGTACGTGTTGATGCCGGTTTTGTTGGCTGATATCTTCGGCACGGATCGTATTAGTTCCAGCTATGGTTTGGTGCGTATGTTTCAGAGCATTGGCGCAATTTCAGTGCCACCGTTAGCCGGTTTTCTGCGCGACCTTTCTGGTAGCTACGAGATATGTTTTTACTGTATGGGCGCTTGCATGGTGTTGGGCAGCATACCGTTATTGGTGTCGGCGCTGCTTGAAAGCCGCGAACGTGATCCTTTCGAACAACCCGATGAAAGTGATGAAAATTCCACAGTATCTTAAGCGGTTTTTGGCGGAATATTTACTTAACGGCAATTTTACTGACTGTTTTATGGTTTGTGTAGCACTTGCAGTTTAAAGAGCTTATACTATTCACTAGTAGTTATTGAACACTGTTTCGCTGTTGATTTAGACTTCCAATGTGTTTTGAAATTCCTATTAGAATGTGTAGTACATAATTTACTCAGACAAGTAGTATATCAATCAATAGTAATTACATATTTACATACATACATATATGTATTTCAACATATTACATACTCGTATATACTAAGTTGTTGTACTAGTGTAGTAGATCATAGATTGCTGGAACCTTGTCGATCGAAGTTTTCTAACCGAGATCATTTGCATATGAAAGTAGTTTTTAAGGATACTTATGTTATTCCTGACTCAACTGAAGTAAAACGAATTTATTTTGGAAAATTAAAGTTTAAGCCAGTTCACTCAGAATCGTAACTTACCCACACACTTAAACTGAATAGTTCGATAACTGCTTTTAATTTAGTTGTTAGTGGCATCGTGCTCGCGCAAGCGTCGGACAAAAGTATACATGTTAAAAAAAATCATTTGAAACTCATCAACTGTTTCCGCATTCAGCGAGTATGTTTTAAAGGCACAAACAGTCACCGACGCAAAACCGTGGACCGAATCAGCTGATACGACCTATCTTATAGGCGCAATGTAAATGAATAGTCATCACCGCTTCTACCGTCCGCTTCAACAGATCGTGCGGTAGGATATGCACGAAAATTGGATTTTTTCCATAGAAACGAGTGAGCTGAGAGTGAGAGAGCAATCTCTTGCAACGCATCGCGATTGGCAATATTTTGTAGTAATTAAAAAATTAACTTGAATATATTTGAAATATTCTTAAAATAACTCAAAATCACAGTCGAATTCACTTATTTATAAATAGGTAAACTAATTTTAATAATTGGATTTTAGTTTTAAGCTTTTACATTATGATTATTTATAACTAAAACACTAAATGTGTGAAAAGTCGTGTATACAAATAGAACAATAGACAAGATTGGTGAAATGAAAACAAAAGAGAACAACTGATTTCTGCGTTGCAACTACGGGCATAACTTTTAACAAATTTGGTTTGATACGGGCGGTAAGTACGGAAGGGAGGAATGTCGGTGACTGTTTGTGCTATAAGAAATAGGCGACCATGGTTTAGTATTGAAATATGTGAAGGAAATAAATACTGGCGTATTGCTAAACAACCACGGCTAGAACATTTCTAAACATTAACAATAAAGAAGATGGATCTTGTGTTTGACAACTGAAGTTACAATAAGCATTAAATAACTTCAGTAATATTTTATCTGAGTTGAGCATTCGTTTGCCACTCGCTTAAAAAATTAAGCCTAATACTATTTTATAAATATTTGTATTAGAAATTACAAGCGGCTGAAGCAAAGAACTCGTCCCTCCTACAAAAAAAAACTAATCCCAAATATCTAGAAACTATCTTTGGTGTTGATAAGAATATCATTCTAAAATAAATAGAATAATATTGTCATATTATTTTACATTGATATCAATTTTTTCAAAAATAAAATTCTTAAAAATACTGCGTTGAAAAAGTTTACTGAATTCAGACCAAATTAAAAAAGAAACTTAATTCATTATAAAATTGTTTTTTAATTGCCATTTAAAAGACATTTGTTACTTTAAGTTCCTTTACTTGCTTAGCGTGAATTTGACAGAAAAATATGACAGTTCATTTCGTTTATGACGTAGCATATTGCAAGTTTGTCTCTATAATTCTTGTCTATAGTAGCATGAGCTTTAAGGTGTTATATCCACTTGCAAGTCAGAACAAAAGCTTTTGGTGAATTTTTTTTGGACAGGCATTATATTTAATAAATAAATACAATTAATGTACATTGACGGAATTTATTATACTTTATTATATCGGTGATTCATTTTAAAAACTTTTGGATTCACTTGATCCCATAGCCAATCTACTGGAGGACCTCCAAAAAAGGGTGTCTGGCGATGAGAAAGATTTTTATACTCTCGCAACATATTGCTACAGAGTATAATAGTTTTATTCATCTAACGGTTGTTTCTATCACCAAAAAACAATATATAGGGTTATGTACAATATATAAATGAACAGGATGACGAGGCGAGTTGAAATCCGCATGTCTATAGCGCTGGGGTTATATGGTATTTTAATGAATATTTACAAATATTAAAAACATTTTAGTTCTTTTGCTATACTCGCATGTGCACTAGTTCCGAACTAGTTCAATTTATGCGTTGATAGAGCATTGAGCTTTTGAAAATAATGAATGAAAGCTTTGGTTGTAAGAGATTGTAGTTTTAGTAAATAATTTCGTTAAAGTTTATTTATAAATGCTTTTTAAGCTTATGTGTTTTAATAAAAAACTTAAGCTGTAAGAAAAATATTAAAAATTGTACTGCAAGAGATAATTGCTCAAGATTTCTAACTTCTTTAAAATTTCTTTATGTTTGAAACATATAACAAACTTTAAACATTTAATTTTTACTGCTAAATTTACACATTAGTTTGGTTTTGAAATATTGAAGAGTGGAGTTTATAATTTATAAGAAATATATATATTTTTTTAGTCACATACATAAATAGATTTAGTTTTGATAATTACATATTGTTTTTAAAACATAAACATTAATTAAATGTATGTAAAAAATACACTTGATGTAAACCGAGTTTAGAAAACTGCATACAAAATTGTCAAACACCATTGTTATATAACATTTAGAATTAAAATAAAATATTATATGTAATTGCCAACATCGTTTTTGGCAAAATATGGTATGTGTACCCAGTAACACTAACTGCTTTTAAAGCAAAAATGTTGTACAACTATCTGAGGCATAAATTGTAATTTTAATTACTTAATATAACAAAAATAATTTTAAAAAAAAATGTATTAAAAAAATTTAAAAAAAAGTACTGCAACTATAAGAGACAAAACTTAACTAAATTTACTGTAGGACAGCAACTTTCGAGGGTATAAAAAACATATACAAAATAGCTACGCTTGAGCGAAAATATATATAAGAACCAAGTAGCCTCGCTTTAATGAAAGAGTAACATTGAAATTAATTTGTGTCGTTTGACGGCCGTCAACGGCATAATAATTAGAGGTGCTTATTATCACCATTCAAGACTTGGATCTAATAAGCTTAAGCTTTACTGATCAAAATAGAGCTAGTATGCCGAAGTAAATAAATAAAATTTGGTCACGTAAAATCGGTTTTCGTGAGAATTTCGGGAATGCGAGAGAGTTTCGCATTCAAATCATCACCGAACGCAGATAAAAAGCTCTCTTTATCTCGCGAAACCAGACTTACTTTAATGCAATTATATTTCGGGCATTTGAGCAATCAAAGTATCCAGATTTGATCAATATATACGCAACATATGCCTGGTATGAATGTCAGCATGCTACAAACGACTTCTTTGCATACCGACTTTAATCAACTTATATAATGACTTGGATATATGGGTATCAAATATCAAAAAGTTAGTAGCGATCGCTCCTCAGCAGGTAATGCTGAACCTTCAAGCGTATTTCTTACAGCAAATAAAAAAATTTGTGTTAACATTTAGGAACCAGTTTAAAAATTTTAAAATTGTAGGTTTAACCTAAGGATTACAACTCTTAGTTGGGATAAAAGAAGCTTTCTAGTCATCAGGTAAAAAGTTTATCATCATATATATATATATGATACCTATATATGTATAATATATACTGACGAATACCAGTACTATTATTTCGTATACACGATTAACTATGTATACCATCTTCGCAACGTGGTAATCGTCAAAGTGAGTAAATTGTATCAGAATTTTACGCTGCGTAGCTTACTCGTGCTCTATCAAATATATATATATAAATATATAAAGATTTGGTCAAAAAACTAGAATCAATGTTATGAAACATTTTTATCAACTATTATTCATCGTATGACGCATTAGGCGTAACGTAGCATCGATAATGTCTGCCATCAAATAAAAAATATATAAGACTCAGCTGCCCAATGCACATTTCTTAACTTTCCTGCAGCGTCATTATGTGACAGCTACGTCACTTTTCAAGGGTTACGTCATTAAAGCTATTGTCTCGCAATTTCCGCAAAATAATTTAAGCACTTGTTTCTGCATTTAGTTCCTTTTTAAGCTCCGACTTATAGTCTGACGAATCGATTTAGTTAGTTCACGAAAAAGTCCGTCAGTTTTTAAGATATCGATCTGAAATTTTGCATACATCTTTTTCTCGACAAGAAGCTGCTCATTTATCAGAATCTCCTATAGCGGACGCTTGTAGGATATAACTGCCATACAAACTGATCCAATTCAAGCTCTTGTTTGGAACTTTTTTTATTTGAAAATATATCATTGAAGAAATTCGGCATATACTCGTATTAAATAATATCTAAGGCAACGCTACAATCTGCGACAAAATTGCTTAGATCGCAGCACTCTAGAATATAGCTGACATACAAACTGGCCGATCAAAATCAAGAAAAAATATTATTTTACTGTTTTATGCTATAAGAAATGCAGCTGTGAAGGGTATTATGGCTGCGGTACAACCGAAGTTTTTTATTTGATTGTTTTTTTTTTTTTTTTTGTTTTAAACGATATTGATTTTTAAACCAATGCAATTTTAATAAAATAAAATCTCTGTAAGCAAATAAACTGCGAACAACGGTAGCGCACAAAATTTACTTCTGCTTTAGTATACATTTCAACTTTGTTGCTATTTTTATAAACGGCGCTGTACGTTATCATAACTCCTACAATATTAATTTACAATAATTCAAAATTTTCGTAACTGTATACAAACGTGTACTTACAAACATACAAATATATGTACGTATGTATGCATGTGTGAATATTTATGAAATTTAAACATTTTGATTAGCGTAAATCAATATTGGTACAATTTCGAGACGTGACCAGATTTCCAATGAAGCCAGTGCGGCTGCATAGCAAGCAGAATTATGTCATACGAGCATGCGTACGAAGTTGAATTTGTTAGTGCAAGAAAATATCAAAAAAAGAATAATTTTTTTATTGGGTTTTGTAGTTAAATGCAGTTGTTACAAATTATGGAAATTGACTGTTTTTATACAAGTGTTTACATATATAACATATGTGCTTACAAGTAAGTCTCATATATAATATAATATGCATATGAAATACACATACACACCTTTATATGTATAATTGTAATATGCATGTATTTATTATAAAGGTCATGCGCATTCTTCATAAAAATGTTTAAGCCTATTTTAAATATAAAATATAAAAATATAATAAAACAGAACTGTTTGTAGCAAACGATTTAATTTTGTACCTACATACATATTTATAATGTATATTTGTATGCATGTGTGTGCATGCGCTATGAGTGCCATTTTTTGGAGTTTTAAGACATGATTTAAAGCAAACGCATTTCTATAACGCATTATTACAAATTTACTTACTGGCAAGCGCATGCATACATACATATATACTTATAAGCATATATGTATTTGTATACTGAAGAAAAATTTAAAAAAACACTACATTTTTTCAATCGTAGTTTAAGTTGTAAATATGTACTTACAAACGCAATATTAAGATATACAAACATACCAAAGCGAAAAATACTAGTAAACTAAATAATATTATAACTAACATATATACATACATACAGTTATGTATTACATAAATATATGATATGAGTATCTAAACTAAAAAAGAAAGCTAATTAAATAATATTGAATGTCAAAATGTTGTTGCTCTGGTTTCATTTACTTATTTTTAGTGAATATATAATTAAAAGCAATCAAAATCATTCGCCATAGGCAGGAACAGGTAGTAATCACTGCGAGCCAGGACCAGACTGGAATGTAGATGTATGTAGCTGCATAAGAACCTTTCAACTAAACACTCGCAGCTTCTGGCGATTCACTATGGGCGTGTGTGACCTGGCGCTGTCCTAATGTAACACAATTCCAAAGACAAAGCAACACACTTTTCATCAACAGTAATCGAAACAGTGCATATATGACGGTTGGACTTTAAAATTAACATTTTTTTTTCCCAATATTTTCGATCATTGGAGTTCCTTCATAACACCTTTCATATTTTCAACCGCTTTGCTTGCGTTTCGCCTCTATCGAAGTAGAACTATAAAATTTTGCGTATTTTCTCATTGCTGCTTTCCATTTTTGACTCGTGCTCAAACAATAATGAGTCGATTTTTCACGAAACTGAGAACTGAGAAGTTTATTCAAGTACGAAATCTTATCTTTTTAATACCTTATAGCCTAAACTGATACACTTACACAACGCGAGATACAGTTGATTAAAGTCATCTGTTGAAAAAATAACTAATCTCTTTTTACTGAACCTTACATTACCGAATACCAAAAATTAGTTCATAATTCGTTTATAAATTACAACTAAAACCGTTTAGCCTTCCCATTTAAGCAAAAACAACTAAAACTACACGTGTTTTGCGAAACTATCATGATTTTTTCGTGTTCGTATTTGAATCACAAATTTCTCTTTCAAAATTAAATAAGCGAGCCAGCAATTTTTCCGAAAGATGACGCTATGCGCGAAATACTTCTCCAATACATAATATTTACTATATATGGTACATCAGGAGGAATACAGTTTACAGATTATTAAAAGATTTTAATTATGGTAAATTCTATGACTGTCAATTGAAATATATATATGTATGTAAGTAGTGAAAATGCAATTACTTTTGTTTCCACTAAATCGGTATAAGGTCCATCAGAGCGCCAAAAATCATTATATTCGTGGGCTTAAGGGGGTATTCTAGTCTAGAGACATGAATTATAGGTAATTTTTAATGTGTCATAAAAAAAAGGCAATCAATATTTCTATTATTACTATGGATTTTTTTATCCGTTATTTATTAATGTTACAAGAGTATAGAAAAAACTTAAAGAAAAAAGTGAGAAAAGAAAAGAAGGGTTTCAAAAATGGCACGAGAGCATACACATAATTTCAACCCTCCTAGTTATCTGAAATAAAAAAAGGTTATCAGTCTGCAATGATGACGCAATTGTATGAACTAGCGAAAAGTAAAAAATTACTTTTTTGGCAAAATTGCGACTGTGTGAAAAAAAAACGATTTTTTACACCATTTTTTTATTTTCTCGTATTTTTTAAAAATAGTAAAAATTTAATTTTGGGGATGGGGCTAGTTCATAGAGAATATAATAGAGAATAGAGAGAGACTTCTATAAAGAAAATTCTCTGAAAATTTCAAATAAATCGGTCCAGTAGGACTCGAGAAATCGTGTGTATCGTATTGAAAAAGTCTGGTATGAGAAAAACGCATTTAAAGCCCTTTGTTCGATTAGTAAAATGTGTATATCTCCGAAAATAATTTAAATTTTTAAATATTCTCTCGTAGACATATTCTTAAAGAGTTAAACTTTAATATGAAAAAAAAATCGTTTTATTTTAAATACTACACTAGAATACCCGCTTAAGAAAAGCTAAGACAGACTTCATATATTTTTGGCAGTTCACCACATTTTGATCCAGAAAAATACCCATATAACATAATTCCATTAAGATATATAAATTATTGACTGATATGTTTAAAGTAAATTTAACCAGAAACATGGTGATCTTTATAACATAGTAGGTGCTTGTGGGCAAAAAAAGTACGAAGGCAATATTCAGAGGACAAGTCTATAATACCCTTCACAGTTTTATTTATCTTAGTCTAAAATGGTATAAAAAGACCTTTATCTTGATTTCGGTCAGCCAGTTTGTATGACAGCTATATGATAAAGTGGTTTGCCATTGGTAGTTCCGGCAAATGAGCAGTTTCGTGGTGAGAAGAGGGACGTGTGCAAAATTTCAGAATGATATCTCAAAAACTGTGCGACTAGTTCACTTACATACAGACAGACAGATGATCATGGCTAAATCGACTAAACTCGTCAATTCAAGTTTCAAACTTCGAAGATTAGTCTAGATTTTTATTAGAAATCTAAATTCCCACATCCGCTTAAAATCGTTTAGAAAAGGACTTTTTTGATGACGTGATGGAATAATAACTACAACTGACCACTTTAAGTGAGTAAGTTTAAGATTAAGTTTAAGTTCAATTAAAAAAGTAAAAATTTCAAATGGAATCATAATTTAATGCGACATTTAGTACAACAAAACAAAAAATTAACAAAAATCAACAAATAATGAATTATAAAAGTAAGTTCGTCTGTAATAAGAAGCTTAATACATAATATATATATATATATGTATGTATCTACACCGTCTAGCGGAATGTATTTAAAATTGTACTAATTCAAAGCACTAAGTACTTGTTGGAGGATTGATGAAAACTATTTACAATAGCGAGCGCACGGATAGTAGCGCCACGTCATGCACACTAACTAAGGCACTAAGTTGTTAGTTTAGAATTTCTCCGCCGCTGGTGGACCATACTCGACGGCTGGTGCCGGTGGTGGTCCATATTGTGAAGCTGGCTTTTGTTGTTGCTTGTATTTGATAAAGTAAACTTCTGGTTTGCTGGGCTCAGTTGGTGCTGGTGATGGCAATATAAGTGGCTGTTGTTCCTCTGGTTTCTTCACCAACACATAAACGAGAGTCTTGTGTTCATCCTGCACCGGTGGTGGCAATACCTGTTGTACCGGTGCTGGTGGATTTGGTGCTTTAATGAAAATGATCTTGTAATGCTTCTTGGGCACGGCGGTTTGTATGGGCTCCGCTGACTGGAAGACTTCTGGCTCCTCTGGTGGCACATGTACGTATACGTTCTTGGTGACGATTGTCTCAGGTGCTGGTGGACCGTAGAATGGTGCTGGTGGACCATAAACTGGTAGTGGTTGTGGTGGCTGTGTGGGTGGTGGCCCGTATTGTTCCGCTGGCGCTGCTGGTGGTGGACCGTACTGCTTTTGTGGCACTGGTGGTGGTCCATAGCGGGCGGCTGGTGGCTCCGGCATAGCCATAGCCATGGCGAGGCTGCAGGCGATCACAAATAGCCAATGCATTTCGTTGTGTTTTTTATTATTTATTATATTAGTTGTAATCTGTTGTTTTAAGCTTTAACGGTGCTTTATGTGGTGCGCTCGAGGAATCGTATTGAATTGACATAATGTTTTGGGTCACAAAATGCTTTTATATGCATGCAAAATGCGGCGATTTCGGCATTCGGAATTTCAATTTCATTCGTTCAAAAAATGGCGTAATTTCGCCAGAATGGCTTGCATGCGGTAGACTTCGTTTTTCGGCGCTTTGCCTGTTTTTATTACATTTTACTTTGTCCACACTGTGGGCTCAATTAATTTTATTGCTATTTATTGTGCGTATGTGTGTTTGTGTGCATTTAATTTTTGGCATAGATTTACAAATCGTTACGATGCGCGTTCGCACGCCCGCAACGCGACTGCGTCCACTATCGCTGTAAGCCAGCGCCAGCGTCGCATTGCGAATTACGCGATTCATGCCAGCCAGCCAGCTGGTCGTACGCTACACGCATACGCAATGCGATTTCCGAGTTGCGCCGAGCGTCAAAACAATAATAAGAATAACCACAATCACAATGCAACCGACGACAATTAATGAGCGCACACGACCAAACACACACACACACATATGGTAGTATGTGTAAATAGTAATCGAAGTACTGCAATTACAAAACTTATTTGATTTACCCTTTATTTGCGTTTTTTTTTTCGCAGCTATGTATTGACTTTAGTCGCAGCTTCGTCGTTGGCCGCGCGTTCGCTGTACACGGTAGCACTCGTACACCCGCCCAATCACTTTCGACACCTTTTTGGGCTTCCCGGCTGTAAAGCCTACGAACTGCCAACTGCCAAAATTGCATGCACTTTTGGTCACATTACGTCGTCATATGCACTCACTCCCTCGCTCTTGCTGGGCGTCTGGCTGTGCGTTCAGGCGTCTTACGGGGGTCCGGCTTCGGTCAATGCATTACACAAAGTTATGTAATTATCCGTAGTAGGGCGGCAGTGAGTGATTGTGCATGCGCACATATTTACTTCGGTCAGGGCTATTAAGTACGTGCTAATTTTTTATTTCACATTCCGTTTAACATTCAACAATATTTAGATATACATACATACCTATGTATATGTGCCTTTTATTGGTCACGTCTTTTGCCTCAAGGACGAAAAAAGTAAAAGTGTCTTCGCCCGAATTCACATTCACTTGGAATATATCTGGTATTATAACATATTATACTTCCGATTTCCAGAGAGTGAGCGTCTACTGAAAACGGGAAAAGGTACTTACAAACATACAAATACATATATGTCTTTATGTCCATCTACAAGTATTATATAGGTGACATGTTTGCAATTCTACGCGCGTGTTGGTGGTCAACAAGTCGAGAGTATGTATAGTTAAAATTCTCAGTTTTTCCTATTAATAAACACACCCACAGAATTTAAAGAAAAAACATGAAAAAACGTTAACGTCGGTTGCATCGAAGCTATAATACCCTTCACAGAACTTGATACCGATCGTTCAAATAAATAATATATTAAATTATAAACCATACTAAATTTCGTGAACAAATCTCGTCAAATGAAAAAGTTTTCTATGCAAGCACTTTACTCCGATTGTTCAGTTTGTATGGCAGCTATATGCTATAGTCATCCGATCTATACAATTTCTTCGGGGATTGCATTATTGCCTTAAGCAAGAATCCATGTCGAATTTCGTGATGATACCTCGTCAAATAAAAAAGTTTCCTATACAAGTACTTGATTCCGATTGTTTAGTTTGTATGGCAGCTATATGTTATAGTGATCCGATATCGGCCGTTCCGAAAAATGAGCAGCTTCTTAGTGAGAAAACGGCAGGTGCAAAATTTCAGATCGATAGCTTAAAGACTGAGGGACTAGTTCGCGTATATACAGACGGACGGACGAACGGACGGACGGACGGACAGACAGACGGATATGGCTAAATCAACTCAGCTCATCACGCTGGTCATTTATGTATTGTATATATTTTATAAGGTCTCCGACGTTACCTTCTGGGTGTTAAAAGCTTCGTGTCAAACTTAATATACCCTGTACAGGGTATAAAAACAACTTTATCAATTTTTCTAAAACTTTAGGTGTATATTTATACATTACAACTTTAGGAATACACAATAAATTAGAAAAAAAAATATATTACAATAAATACTTTTAGAGTTAGACCCAATCTCCGACGGCGCTTCAAAAGGTTCTCCACTGCTGCAGTGATTCCGGCCTACTCTGTGGATGAAACCCCACAAAAAAATTCTCTAGCAGATATCGACCATTCGTAAGAAATCCAAAATTTACAAAATGGCGGCCTTTTAGAAAAAAGTTGAAGTTTACACAAAATTTTTGTGGTTTTTGACCTGTCAAAGGTAGGTTATTGTATGGAGAACTACTTATATAGACAACGTGCTGAAAAGTTTTGTTAGTGATCAGATCATTTGACACCGAGTAATCACTGCAACAATATAATGTAAAATAATAATAATATATGAAAAATATGCTTTTTAAGAAAAATGTGTTTAAAGATAAACTGTTGAAGCTGATTTAACTGAGCAGCTACAATTTAAAAGGCTGTAACTTAAAATCAGTTTGGGATATCGATTTAAAAATTTGACAGGTTATTTTTAAAGGAATAACCTAACTTAAGTAATCAATTCAATTGAGTACAAAATTTTTTTCTCCGTTTAGCTATCAATCTCAATATTTCACAGTATTTAGGCAATTGGATTAAATTAAAAGTTCTTTTAAAAGCAAACCTCAAACTGATTCCCCTCGAAAACATCTGAATGAAGTACAATATATGAAAAAGTTCAGAAACTGCATTGGTCAATGAGCCTAAGCAAGGTCAACAACACCTTCCGAGTTAAAATAGGGTTGTTGACCACGCAAAATGTAAACAAAACTGTAATTGACCACACAATAGTTCATAGACCACAGAGAGTTATTGACCTAGCCAAATGCAAACAAAAGGATTATTGGCTTCAGAATGGGTTGTTGACCACGCTAAAAGTAAACAAAAAGTTCATTGACCTCACCAAAGGCTTGAACTGCTAAAGTTCATTGAACTAAAAACGGGTTGTTGACTTCGCTAAAATTTAGCTAAGCTAATATGCATATGTCAACTTTCAACTAAATATCGAATCAATATTCAGTTTTTTGCGTGATATTCTCACATATAAACTGCTTACTGTCAACTTAACACATAAAAGTGTCAGTTTATACGAGAACACTTTTGTTTACGGGCCACACGCTATTTCTTCTTCGTAGTAGTTAACTAAACGGACACTCCAAAAGGTGTAAGAAGACATACATTTGCTTAACCGTTTTCTGCAAGCATAACAAGTTTTGATTTCTTTTTTTATTATACGAGTTTAAATGACTGAAATGATGAGCTGCTATCAAAAATTAAAAATAAAAAAAATGCTAAAAATGTGCGACTTGAAATAAAATATATTTACTAAAATGTAATTTGACACGGAATGAAGCTTTACTCCACCAAAGAAAGAAGCGCCAATCAATTGCGCATGCGTCAGAAGACATGTTACAGCAAGGTTGCAACGCCAAGGCTGTCAATCGCTAAGGTTTGTAAATAACTACTTTTTCCACTAGCAGCTGTGCTTAGTTCAAATACGAAACTTGTTTGACTTTTTTCACTTATCCCACGCTAAGTACGATAGTAACGCTACCGTATATGTTTATAGCTAGTCTCGACTTGCTAGGCTAGTCATGAAACTATAAATTTTATATAAAGTTCAAGTGTAACACGACACCCTAATCATCAAAAAAGTAAAAACCAAAAAAAGTGTTTCACACAGCAATAATTCTTTCTTGGGAGTGAGTGTACTTACGGAGTTAAAGCAGAGCTTTACTGCTGTAAAAACTGAGCTGGTCGAAGACTAAGCTTAGTATAACAACAACACCGGAGCGAAAACGACTTCAGAATATCAACATTTTAATAATTGTAATCAGTATATTGGAAAAGCGCGCTGCAGTTCACAAAAACCAGTAATCAGTGATATAGTCTTAGATACATAAATAAAATTATTACAAAAAGTAAATTCTTATGTGCGTTATTATGTAAGTATAAGTTAACAAATAAACAATTAGAGTTTGCGCGTACCGGCCAATGTGAATTTAGCGGAGATGCTCATAATATATAGAAGCGTCTCACAGTGGGCCAGATTTTCAAAAAAGCTGGCCAAAACTCTAATTAATAAGATAACGGTACAAAAATTAGTATACCCATGTTTTTTGATGCGCTGACTTCGAAAAACATAGTTTTAAGATGATTGAACGAGTTCTTCAAGGTCATTTTAAGGTAAAACATTAAAAAAAATCGAATTTCGAACTAAAAATTAGTATGCCTATGTTTTTTGATGCGCTGAATTTGAAAAACATGGTTTCAAGATAATTCAACAATTTTCTAAAGTTCTTCTGAGGTTAAACGACTGAAAAATTAAGATTCAACACTGAAAATTTGTGTACTTAAGAATTTGATAGCCACAGTAAAGAAACATATATATATAGGCTACCTTTATACTTAAATTGAAAATTTGCCCTCGCCCAATTAGTTTCAATTTTATAAATTTACTTACGCGCTTTACCACGAGAAGGTATGGGGTGGGACTTTTAAACGCATTTCATTTTTTTTCTATTTTTTTATTTTTAGTTTTTTTTTTTACTTTTTATATTTTATATTTTTTTTGGTATTTTTTAAATATTTTTATTGTTTATTTTTGATTTTTTTTTGATTTTTTTAATTTTCTAAATTTTAAAATTTTTTAAATTTTAATGAACTTTGTTTTATTCCTCATCTGAGGTTTCATCGTTTTCCGATTCTTCGTTTTGTGTGATAGTTTGTGGAATATCAGGCATTTTCAAAAGAGCAATGACATCAGCTGAAAATGATTTAGAATTTTTTCTTGGAGTTTTTTGTAAGCTCGAAATTAAAGGATCTGATGAGACAAGAAGAATATTTAATAAATCTTGGTTTGTATGAGTTCGTGAAAACTTCCTTGTGTGACTTAGCCTGTACATTTTATAATTTTTGTTACCTGACTCCTGTGCTTCTTCTGATAACTGCCCTTCAACTGGATGGATGAAAAATCACGAAGTCGCAAGTTGTCGCAAGATTTTTTGATTTGAGGTCACACTCTTAAGTGCCCTTAAGAACCTGACCGTGGTACTGCGCGGAAATGCACGGAACACTTGTTGTAGAAAAGGAAAAATGCCGTTTATTGTTCCCATTTAATTTACATGTAAATTAATAAAATTACGAAATAAATAATATCACATTACTAAGAAACTAAATAAGATACATCAAAATGCTTTTACATGCTTAAAGTCAATAAAGATTAGAAAATAACTTGTTTAAACCATTTTTGTTCACTTTTATTTTTTTGAGTTTTGGCCAGTTTTTTTGAAAATCTGGCCCACTGTGCATCTGTGTTAAAATGCGGAAGCTTTTATTACTCATTATCAGCAAGTTCTCTCGCTCTCTTTCATAGGAAACTCGAAACGAGTTGCCGCAACAACTAATGACCCTATGACAAAAACAAGTAAGCAGAAACTGTAAATATGGATATGTGCATTGCAGGTAAATAAGCAACAGTTGAAAGTGCATAGTAACCGTAAAAAAATATACCACTCATTCAAACTAACTGGCGTTGCAACCATGCACTACAAGTATAGTGTCCTATGACGCATGCGCAAATTATTGGCGCTTCTTTCTTCGGCACAAAGAAAGTGAAATCAAATTTTAATCATTTGCGTACATATACTCAATAAATATGTATTAGGGTGGAGCGAAACAAAAAACAATTTTTTTTGCTTAGCCTGAGAGACAAATTTGTAGATTATAAAAAAAGAAAAATTTTGGAAAAAAAAAATTTTAACTCACTTTTAAAGTAAAGTTTAGTGTTAAAATTTTTATTTCGTAAAAAAAATTTGATAAGTGTTCTAGAAGCTGTGGAGAGTCCTATTTCTGGCCAATTAAAAGTAATCAACTTAAAAAAAGTTGTTGTGGTTATTATTGGAGTTTTAAAAAAAGTCTCAAACGACAACATGCTTTCCTTAAGCGTTAAAATTAAATTTTGAGTCAAAAACTGTCAAATTCGGTAATTTTTATATAAATATGAGGAGTTTAAACCAAAAAAAAATTTATTTTGTACAAAAAAATTTTTAACTCGAAATTTACTTTAAAAGTGATGTTAAAAAAGCCTCTAGATGTTAAAAAAAAATTATTTTTTTTTTCAAAAATTTTCTTTTTTTATAATCTACAAACTTCACCCTCAGTCTAAGCAAAACAAAATGTTTCGCTCCACCCTATTATGTATGTACTCATAAGCAAGAATTTCCATGACATACTTAATTTGCTTAAGCGAAATATGATCCAAAAACCGAATGAACGTGCAAAACGAGTAGCTACTTGTAGAGAAAAGCAGGTGTGTAAAATTTCAGATTGATAGATTAAGATATGTATGGTATATACTTTATAGATTGTCCGACGTTTCATTCCAGGAGTTACAAAATTTGCGCCAAATTTAATTTCAGGGCATAAAAATTGTGTTTATTGGTGCAGAAATTTTCATGGAATTGAACGGGGAAAAACCGTTGCGTATTGATTTTTTATTGATCTATTGATAGAAAGGCTTAGGGCTTATCTAACACGAACTACGGGAAAGTGTACATGGAATATTTATAATAACTTGCTATTTAAAAATAATATTTTTCCAACAGTGGAGTATATATTTACAACATCTATACCCTACATGTCTAATTTTATAAAATGTTAGTAACTGTTACTACGTGTCTGATATTTTCACGCATATGCTGACTTAATGCATACCGCGTTCTATATAACTATTAATATCATAAATAAAAGAGTTTAGTTTATTTATTGGTTTATTTTAATATATTTTTTTTATAAAAAAAGGCTAAACACACAAAAAATGTAGTGTATTATTGCATTGCGATCGATTTGTAGCGTATCAATACAGCGAGTAAGCCTCGCACATATCATATATGCTTTTAGATAACACACGCTCTTATCTTTTCTTATCTTCCAGCAACTTTTTTTGTTGTGCATCAATAGCTAGTTAGTGAGTTGAAGTCATTCCTTTGAAACAGCTGTGAAAATGTTTAAAAAGAGTGCAACCAAGGAACCAAATAATTCCAAAGATACTAAAAATAGCGCGCTGGTGCGTCAGGATCCGCGCATGAAAGTGCGCACTGCCACTGCACATTCGGAAACAACGAATACGACCGTAAAAAGTGCAACAATTTTCGACAATGAAAAGAATAAAATGACTCATCAAACCGTAAGGCAAACGGTGACGAATCAAAAGACTGCTCGTATCACTGAGATCTCAATACGTCGTACACCCACTAAAGAAGAATTGGCTGAGCTATTAATGACGTCTGGTACGTTTCCGAATTTCGCCAATTCTTCAGCGCACTGGACTAAACAGGAGACTACCGTCACGCAAACAAATGGTGGCACACAGACTTCTTATCTACAACAGCAAAAAATGAAATTCCAACAGCCGACCGCAACGACAATGGCGTCGGGAGGCTCGTGGAAAGATTTCACCAGCAGTCAGCCAACAACAATGTTAAACGTCCATGTCGACACCTACGCTCCACAGTCAATGCTTAGGGCTCTGCCAGCGCTAACGAGCTTAACGCCTACGACTAGCTCATCATTGATTAAACCAATTCACAGTACAACAACAACAAGCCTATCTCCTCTTGTAAATAGTTATAGTCGCAGTCAAAGTGGTAGCGGAAATAAGTTAACGATCTCGAAAATAGGTACGAGCTCAAGTGATAGTAGTATTGCAAGCAAGAGAGCAGCATTTTTTAACGCTAAACCAGCAACAACAATAACTCCACTGTCCAACACAGTTACAGGCTATGTTTCGCCTTATGGCAATAGCTTATATAGACCACGTGACGCGATTGGTGACTTACCAAGCGCGAAACCCACAACCACAGCCAGTCCAATGTATCTCTCACCAGTTTTGGCCAACACAAAACCGCTAACGACAAAGCCTTTGGCGCTAGGAAGCAGCCTTATGCTAACGACCACGCCCCGAACGCAAACTCTAACTCAGCCGCAAAAGTCACTAAGTGCCAGCGCGGTCCAAGGCAAGTCTAATCTAAAGCCAGGTTACGCTGTGATTTTCAATACCGTGGACTTTACGGATAAGACGCGATTCGACAAGCGTGATGGCAGCGATTATGATGCGAAGCTTATAAAGGAAACATTGTTGAAGTATAAATTAAATGTGGAGACTAAAAAGAATCCAACAGTGAATAATATCAAGGATACGATCAAGAAAAGTGAGTAATTTCTTAACATCATAAATAATTAGACCATATTTGATTTACCTATACGGAGGAATAGGCAATAGTGGTTTATTATAACAATCCGCTATTCGGGGCCAGGAGATAATAGCGGTCTATTATGTCTATCGTATATTCGGCACCAAGTGATAATAGCGGCACCTATCCTTTCTTTGTTTCGAGAAACTTATAATTATTTATTGACATCTCTGAAAAAAATCTCGATTTCAACTGAACTTATTTTCAAAGTAACGAGTGTCGACGCGACCCACATCTCTGTTGCCATTTTGAAGCTATTTTTATAATGTAGCTCTCATAAAAACCCTCGTTCCACAAACTGGGACGGTCCGTTTTCACAAGCTTCACTTGAGGCGAATTTTTCATCACCGTTTGCCATAGACAGCAACAGTAATCAGTTGGTGCGAGGTCCGGACTAAAAGTTGGATGCATAAGAACTTCGCTTCGTTTTCGCCTTTACCGAAAAAACTATAAAATATGGCAAATTTTGAGTTAAGCAGTCACACAATTGTCTGAATAGTTCTTTTGTACCCCTAGCTCTCATATATAACTATTATTTCGCATACTGATGCACTTCTAAAAACAAAATAAACAAAAGATATAGAAAACAACTTTGTATACACATTACTAAATTTTTTTATTTATTTCTAGTGACAACTAAGAATTTCAGGAATTATTCTTGCCTGGTAATTGTTATACTAAGTCATGGAAAAGCAAATGATTCTATTGCGGCCACCGATGGATTATATAATTTAAACGAACTGATACTTTACCCAATACTAGATATACCAAGTTTGAAGGATAAGCCGAAAATATTCATTATACAAGCGTGTAAAGGTGACCTGGTGCCAGGTGAATATAAAACAGATGCTTTAACGACACGGGGACCTCCAACTGAGATACTAAAATGCTACAGTACTTTTGAAGGTATAAAACTCATAAATTTAAATGCAAAACAATGTACGAGTACATTCATATTTGATTTTTTATTAAGGTTACGTTTCATACCGAACCGACTCCGGCAGTCCATTCGTCCAAGCCTTATGCGATGAAATAAAGCTTAAAGGAGATAATACCAATATAGAGCAGCTCATGAAGAACGCCATAGCAACTGTGAAGACTAAAACAGGGTAAGTAACGGTTTATAGTCGTGGATTTGCAACATTAAAGTTATAAGTTTTGTTGGAATTTTGTTACTTCAATTTACAACATGTGTGATTTTTCGCCAAAAATATATGGAGACTATCCCTTGCGAGTTTCACACCCATTAAATACTGTCTCATAATATACGTGATCTTTTTATTTTTGATTAATCAGATATATTTAGTTCTGAAAGCACACTCACTCAGCTTTTTGTTATCAAAAAAATCTTAATCCTAAGATTTAAAATTATACCGTTATCATTTCAAATGTTCTCTATTTAACATTGGAAGTTTTAAGTTGTAAAGTTTTCAGGCCTTCGACAATCCTAAATTGAAAAAAATATTTCATTGATCTTTATTATAAAATTACTTTTAGCAATTTATGAGAACAACTACATGGTTAATAAATTAAAATAATAATAGTAAGTGCCGGTTTACACACGGACTCTTTTGTCGCCAAAACCGGTTTTTCGTAAGCTAAACAACGACCAGGAAAGCAGAAAGGGAGCTCGTGAGCGACACAAAAAGAAAATTTGCCAATAATGAGCGGCAAAAGAGTCTGTGTGTAAACCCAGTCTAATAATGAAGATACTTAAATAAAAAAAAACTAATCTTTATAATTTATAATTTTAAACTAAACGAATTTTGATCATTTTCTGTTTTTCTTCAACAGTTCAAAACAAATTCCGAGCATGACTACCACCCTCACAAAGCCATTTGTTTTTGGCCATTACGTATAAATTTATTATTACTGTTACTAATTTTAATATACAAACATTTTTTAACTTTTTGACTGCTGGCGCCATTAGTAAGACAATAATGTACAATAAATAATATTGTTCAATATAATTTCACTTATATGTAAATATGTATAAGAAAATTTGCTATTTATGTATATTAGATTATTAAAGTCAATTGAGACTGTTGGTCATAATTATAGGTTATGTGATTCATCATTTTCAATGTAATCCTGAAACGAAGAGCGATCTCATCATATTAGCGAATAAAATGCTCAAAGTTAATTTGCAACCAACAATCTTAATAACAAGCTTACTTCTTAGAGAGTTCTCTCCAGAATTTCAAAAAACTATTTTACTTACTTTCTATGGTTTAAAACACTCATTTTTAATAAAAGGATTCATCATTTACCGTCTCGTAGCTGACCTGTTGCAATCATTCTATCTTATGCACCTGAACAGACATTCGTCGCTTGTAAACTTTGCTCACAACAACAATTGGAAGAGGAAAACATATTTTATTTGTTTTCAAAAAAGATAATTTTACGTTTGGACAAAATATTGGTTTCTGCTCAAAAAAAAAAACCCTTTCTTAATAAGCAATGGTTGGATAAATGTTACTGCAAATCTTAGGCATCATATTCAACGGTCAAGTATTGGTTTGCTGGATTTCACCGTAACCGTTTAAGTGCAACACCCCCTTCTGAAAGTCCAAAGTGGTAGTAATAATAGAAAACTATATTGCCATTAAATACCCAAAGTCATGCCGGTTACTTACCTATGTATATCGATTAATTCAACCACCGCATGGCCAATTAAAATTCATTACCGTGGGTTTGAAAACACCTGTTGTCCACAAAAAGAAATTTATATGTACATATATACAAATTTGTAAATGCTATTTTCAAAGACATAGACGCGCCCTATTAATATTCCTCGATTCACCGTGTAAAAAATCGATTGTAAAATTGCATGAATTGCTTTTTCCTAATTCAGATCTGCCTTCCAGTAACATTTTTTGCTTTCTGACTTTAAGAGATTGGTCGCTGAAAATAAACCTGAGACTGAGACATACTTCGGCGAAAATATGTTTTTTACTTCGAAAATGGTAATGAAAAATTCATATTTCTACAATCGATTTACTATGTTTAATTATAAAACCAAAAACTATGCTTTTCTTTTAAACGTTGCGGTTGTTTAAAGTCTGGTTATGTATTGATGTTTCAAATTAGAAATATTTGTGGGCTTGGCAACAGACCACTCTCCGCTAAATCCATTTGACTCTACAAAACAATTTGACAACGTATTCTTTGATTTGCATCTCAGTTAGGATATCAAGCGTGTATTCTTCATGCAAAAATAACCACAACATTCGACAAGTAGTTAGCTTCCGAATATTTGCGGTACTTAAAGGTACTAAGGTTCAACATTTAACACGTGATAAAATAGATTATGAAACTGCTGACTTTTATTTGCCATTTCTCTGTTAACTATATTTCATCAACGCACTCTTATCAAAAATTTTACATCTGAGCGTAAAGTTGCACCGCAGCTGCTGCTAGTCTGTTTGAACAACTGATATAACTTGTTCGATACGCTACTCTCAAACGCTTGGAGAGTTTTTTTTACTCTTGCAACATGTTGCTACAGAGTATAATAGTTTTGTCCAACTAACGATTGTTTGTATCACCTTAAACTAATCGAGATAGATATAGGGTTATATATATATAAATGATCACGATGACGAGATGAGTTTAAATCCAATTGACTGTCTGTTTAATAGGTTTAATGTACATATCTACCGAACCACTTAAGCTACATCGACAAATTTTTTCAGCATCTCCTACGACAGAGTCGTTCCCATGACAGTCGGGTCTACGTAACCGGAACGGACCCGGATTTATTCCGGGCAAAGACTGTCAACTCGGCAGAATTCTGCCGCTACAACAACAACAACAGAGTAAAATGGGTTGAAATCGGATTATAACCCCGTCCACTCTACATATAACGGTTATGATGAAAACTACTAAAAGTGCCATAATTCAATAAATGAAAGCGTCAGTGAGACTAAATGTTGCACCTGAAATGATAAAATCAAGTTTTTTAAGAGCTCGTATCAAAATTGGACAATAGGCGTGGCACTGCCAATATTTATGTGAAAACCCATATCTTGGGACTTGCTCAACCAAGTTCAATCAAATTTGGCGCATTACATAATTTTGACATTCTTATGTAATGGTGCGAAAATGGAAAATGAAAATCGTATAATAACCACGCCTACTTTCCTTATAATAAAATTTAAAATTCCATCTGATTCTTTCAGTTTCCACTATGTAGATTATACACCAATGAATACAATGAGATAAACCTTTTCCCGAATAGTGCCTTTAAGATGTGTCACTTGATGACTGAAAATTGTCAAAATCGGCTTACAACTATTCAAGCCCTCAAATACCGAATATGTGGAATTTCTATTGCATGCTTGTTATCGAAAATATCAGTTAATCTGCGAGATTGGAAATTAAAAAAAAATCTTTTTCTGATAATACTATGCCCGCATGTCAAATATGGATAGAATCGTATCAATATTTAGCGCCTTAGTGTTAATATACAAAGTTTTGCCAACGCCTGAAAGTAAGTCACCGGCTTTCATACTTGCAAATTGCAAGTTTATAAAATGTTCGGTTACACCCAAACTTAGCTCTTTCCTACTTCTTATTAATTAGCTTATACCAAAAACAAGCATTTGAGAGCTCATCTTAAGAGCAAACTTATGTATAGCCTGGTTTAACAAGAATATATAGACTGTTCAAATATTTAAAGTTATCTGTTAGCACTGTGGTTATGATCGCTAGCTTTGATACTAACTCATGTAGAGCTGCATTATTGTTGATTTTTCTTGTACTTTCCGACTCAAATCACATCTTAATCACTTGACATATTTATCTTGGATTTTCCACACATCTGGAAATTACATTCGCTTTTGTTTTTGTTTTCACATATCTTTGTAAGCACATATACTCGTATATGACTACATACAAGTACTCAGATATCTAAGCTCATCTGTTGAATTGTGATTGGCATCAACATGCACATTTCTATTAAACATCATCATCAATAACAATTTGTGCAATTACGAATGAATTAAATATTTACGACCTCAAATATTTGTAGATGCACTTGCTTACAGACACCTATGTATATAAATGTACGATGTACCGCATTCGTTGATAGATGAGTTATGCTCGTCAACTTTGACATGTCTAAGAACAATTTGTTGCACGCAAAACACTTAATATTTAATTTAACCACAGCTTTCATATATATGGGCATATACAATGTAAACGCCTGTGTCATTGCAACATGGTTTGCCCTTCAAATACTGTTTTTAAAATTCATAATTTTTAAGCGAATCAATATTTATTCTAAGGTCTCATAGAAGAATCTTGCATTAAGAAAACTGTCAATGAAACTGCCCGTAGAAGATAACTCTGTGAGGACTTCAAATTTTGTCTTTCAGGTTTTGCCTGGCCCTGACTTTGGCACTGAGCGATTGCTGTTAAAGCTGTCGGTGGAGTAAGGCTTCACATATGTATTTACAAATTTTTCGATACAAAATTTTTCTAGGTAAAGGCGTGAGAGCGTGTTATTTACTCCTTCGTCGAAAACCACATACTACCACGTCATTTTTCAAACACCCTTCATCTCCTATATCCTAAAGAAATTGTCATTGGAATAACTTATAGAAGGTTAATCTGCTAGGCATTAAATTTCTTTAGGGGCACTGATCTGACTCTGAGTAATCTTTGTTAGAACTTGCGTTGTTGTAAAGATTCATATATCTACAAATATTTGTGAGTGAGAGCGTGATACTTAATACTAAATACTACTTCGTAATTTATCGGGTGTCCTTCCTCTCCTTCATCTGAAAAAACTATCGTTGGAACTATAAAAGTATAGAAGATAAAACTGTAAGAATTTAATATTGTTTTTGCTCAGAGCCATTGATTAGACTCTGAGTGATGCTCCTTAGACTGACGATGGAGTAAAGATCCTATATTTCTGTACAAATGTACATGTGTAAGGTGAATTGAGAGTAAGAGCGTGATATTTTAACCTTAGACGTAAAATAAATACTACCTCGTAATTTTTCAGGCAACTTCGAAACAGTAAATAGAATGAAGAGTAAAAATTGTAATAAGTAGAGATAGATGTGTCCTACTGAGCGCTAGAAGTCTACTGAACATAACCTACCCTTGTTGATCTTGCATGAGACACAGTCTAACAGAAACTTTTAAGATTTTCTCCATCTAAACTAACATTGTCCTCCAACATTTTTATTTTTTTTTTTATTTGCATGCAACAACTTTTTCAATAGTTAAATTACTGCGTTTTGGAGCTTTTACTTGCGAAGCTTTGGAAAACTATCTTCTGACCGCTGCTCAGCGCTCAATTACACTTAAAAGAAAAATTATATAGTGAAACTATAGCAACTCTGACAAATAAATAAATAAAAACTACTGATATGTATAAAAAATAAGAAAGTGAAACTCGAAAACTGACCCTTGTGACTAATTACCAAAACTTTTTTCCATGTCGATGTAGATATCAAATATTTATATCAGCTTATACAAACGAATTCAGTTATCTTATGTTGATTTGAAAAATCTCCCTTAGTTTCTGTTACTTACACTCAAAGTTTATTATCTAAACTTTGCGTAAAGCTTTAATTTCGTCTGCACTCGAAACTGTGGTAATATAAAACGTTGAAATTAAAAAGTACTTGGCTGTAACATTATCTTTATTGAACATTTAAGTGCACTCAAATAAAAGCTGTTAACAGTTGTACTTATCAAATATTTATGTTTTTGCTATTTGCTTTGTTAAACAAAATAGGTGTTTAGTCAATTTTAATACCACGACTGTTAGCAGTGGATTACTTCGCCGAAATGTGTGAATATTAAATCTTTTCAATATATAAATATATATACTCGTATGTGAGTTTGTGTGTTTAGTATGCGAACAGAATCATTAGAGATCAATCTCGTAAAATGTTTTCGTAAAAAAGTGCTACTAACGCCATGATTAGCTACTGGCAAAGAAAACCGTATCGAACTCGTAGTTTTGTTTTGATCACGTGTGGACGAGGGCGTGTCCGCGGTTTTTAGAGTAATTGAAAAATAGCGTATGTACTCAGTCAATGACTCGATTCTTGTTTTTAGCAAGGAAATCGCGGAGTAAAATCAAAAAACGCATGGATGCCATGTACAGAGACTCTTCTGCTCAGACATCGACCGTCAAAACTCAGTTTGACGAGTTTCAATGTTGTCGCAGATGCCCCTAAAACGGTTAACACTGTGGCTAATTTGATGGAAGTTCACGTTCTCGTATTGGCAAATCGCCGATTGACGATGCACGAAATAACTGAGACAGAGTTTTTGCACCTTTTGGTTGCCGGCGACGAATGACTTCGATTGAATGCGGAATAATGCAACAGCTCACAACTCCGCCGTCGTCATGGCCAAATCGGTCGAATTAGGTCACAAACTCTTACCATATCCACCGTATTCTATACATTTGATCCGGTGCGACTTACTTTTTTCTAAAATTTAAAAGCGTTCTTTACTTTCAAAACAAATCGAGTTAGATATAGTACGATGAGAAGATGAATTGATTTCCGGATATCAGTCTATCCGTCAGTTCATCCAGTAAGCGGTAAAATGAATATACATACATACATGACAACAATCTATAAAGTATACAACAACTTTAATACACGGAGCTTGCAATTGAATCAGGAGAAATTTTATACACCACACCCTAAAAAATTTGATTTGAATCAAAATTGACAGTGTCTTGGTGACACAGTTTGAAAATGGAAAAATTATACTGGAACAACGTCTACTGCCAGATTCTTTTTTTCCAGAGAATAGGAATAAATTAATATTGATAATCATCAATAATTATCACCCAAGCGATTCCAATTAATAACTTATCGACAGTGTCAGACTGTGTTCTTGGAAATGTCAATGATGAATATTCTCAATTTTGAAAACATTAAAACAAAGAAGTCTGAATTACTTTCAGAGATATCGACCTTTCTAGTTCCAACATCTATTAAAATCAGAGTTTAATTGTTCTCGTACCCATTTTCTTCTCTATGGCGCGCGTCAAGGAAATCTTATAGTGAGAGGAATTTTTTATTGATCAACGACATCATTTCTTCCTTCCTCGTTCCACGCTTGAGCAGCAAATAAAATATACTCGTATATAGCGTTTATATTCTTTCCGGCCTGATAATGAAATTATTTTTGTATTTCTATTACAGATAATGGAATGGAAAATTAGCGAGCGATTCTTCAAGCAAATAAAAAACATATAAAAATATAATATAAAGTTTGGTCAGCAATAAGAGTTAAATTCCACTTAAGCTATTGTAAAGGGCTATGCAATCGTAGTGCATACGTAAAATAATAACAAAAATAAGAAAACCTGTGCCAAAAACAAAAATATTATTTTCGAAATTCAAGCTGACAACTCTTTATAATAACGTTTGAATATTTTTCATGGTAGGCTTGTATTGATCTGAAGTTTTTCAAATATTTTCGAAACAAACGTAGAATACCAACACTGGTTTAGACAAACACTTTATAAAAATACAATGTCTTCAACTTTATTTTCAAAAAACTATTTTAATTACTAAAATTTTTAAATAACTAACATAAACATAAAACATGACAGATATGTATAAATGTCATTTAAATGTCACAGAGATCGACATTGTCGAGTACTTATTGGAACACCCGTTATTTTATAATTTGACCGATGATATTGAAAATGCTTTTTTGAGAATCTTTATAATGACTGGAATTAACGAGAAAACGGGTTTTTCAGTTTTATTTTAATTAGTGTAGGGCAATCGAGCAAATGGTACATATACTCGCATACATATTTAATTGATGTACTCGAATGTACATATGTATGTAGAGTTTCCAGGTATTTACGCTTATTGCACCTTAATAACTCAATGACTATCTAGAATTTCTTTTTATCTTATCCGGGTTGCATATAATGGTATAGTGAAAATTATGCCTACACACACCTGCAACCTTTGTGAGATAACAAAAGAAAAACAAATGTTTCAACTGCAATTTTTTTTTACACGGTAAAAAAAATTGTATATCGCATAGTACACATCGTTTTACCTGAGCGCCAAGCAAGCCGTTGACCAATTGCGATGGGATTTTCGCTAGAAAATGCACGTGTAACCAATAAAGCGACTATTTTTGTAAACAATTGCAAATGACTGTGCAGCCAAATAAAAATAGAACGAGAGAGAGCATGGAAAAAGAAATGACCACTGATATATACATATAAATTAAGAAATGCAAAAACAAAAAAAAAATAAAATAAATTGGTTAAACTGCTTGTTGAGCACATGCACACAAAGAGAGAGTGCACTTAGCAGTACTGCAGCACCGCAATAGACCAGCTGACGAAGGGCCGCGTTAGCGTGCATTACCTCGCTCAACGTCAAGTGCATGCTACATTATTGAGATAACTGCACATACCTATATGCTATACACACCTATCTTTATAGAATATATATGGTTTGCGAACAGCGGCACTTGCTATTTACCTAGAAAATTTACACTTGCAGCAGCGTGTGGGAGCATGCATGCTTGCTCTCTTGTGCTCAGCGCGTTGCATTGAAGAATTGCTCTATAAATTTGGCATACATTTTGCCTCTTTGAGACGAAACTTTCAATTTCATTCATGCACAAAGCATCTTTTCTCCAACATCATTCGCATTTTCCGCCGCTTTTTCACAATTCGGTTTTCAGTTGGATCCACGCTGTCGTCGCGTTAAAACATAGGCGACTTACGTAGCAGCGTACGTGTGCGACAGACATTTGGTTGGGCCAGCTAAAGCAAGCTTCTTGAAGCCGTTTGTACGCGTCTTACGTTGCCATACGCGCACAGTACGTGAACGCAAGCAGAACAGCCGCCGTGAGTCTTGTCGCCACGTGTTAATCGTCGATGAAATAAAGCAAAGCAATTATAAAAAAATTTAAAGATAAAGTTTTTCAAAATGTGTTAGTGTTTCATAAATGTTTTGCTTTTAATTAATATTTAATTTTCTATTGAGAAAGCAACAGTTAGCTAAGTGTTTATTAAATAAACTTAAGTGCCGAAGCGGTGATAAACAGTGAAATTTAATTGCGTCATTAACAATGGATTTCGATCAAATATTGGAGGAAATCGGCGAGTTCGGTCGATATCAGAAGACCAACTATCTGCTCATCTGTTTGCCGGTAATGTTTGCGGCAGCGAACAGTTTATCATATGTGTTTACCGCTGGGACGCCGGCTTACAGGTAAGCGATTATAAATAATTTGCCTATATTTACAAAACTAACGCATGCATATACATACACACACATTTGGTACGACTAATTATTTTTAAACAACCTTCACAAAATAAATTCCATGCAAGAACTTGCTAAATGCTATAGTGATCTTATTTAAATTTCTTTGAAGATGGCATTATTGCCTCATATTTTACAGGGTCTCTGATGTTTTCTTTTGTCAGTTACAAATATTGTGGCAGACTTAATATACTTTATTCAGGCTATAAAAATGAACTAGAACTTTTTGAGATGTCTAGCGTGACCTTAATTTGACCTGGAAGTAGATTTAATAAAAGGCATTTGATTTGTTACATTTATTCGAGAGTTTTCACGACAAATTGTTTTGAATATCAGTAAGGTCTCATAATATCGTCTTGTAATCTCTTAAGAAAACAATTAGTATGGCAATGAACAAAGCATAAATAAAGACCTTCTTCGCCGCTGGGACTTTTATGTCGACTTTTCAGGACATTTAGGTATCATCATATCGATTTAATGAAGTAATTTTATAAGAATCTTTCCCAAATCAGACAAGATCTCGATTTATCGCACATTTATTTCTACCCTCATAATTTCACAAAATATTTCACACGCACTTTAAAATACCTTTCAATCTCACGCAATCTTCACAAATCACGACTCTGATTTGTACTAAGTACGTCAATTATCTACATTTATATTGTATATATACGCGTGTGTGTATGTTTGCTGTTTCATGAAGATGCCTGATACCACAATGTGATGATCCCGTCTTGCCTCAACTACACGCACATTGGTTGACCAATGCGACACCGGGCTCATATGATAAACAAGGACATTTCACACCGGAAAATTGCTATCGCTATAAAGCAATCGACAGCAACATAACCAACGAAAGTCATGTCAGAGAATGTCCGAAGGATGCATTCAATCAAAACATACGCGAGCGATGCAACTCGTGGGTATATGACGATGAGGAGCGAACAATTGTGCAAGAAGTAAGACTGTAGCTAAGTTCAAATATTATTTGTATTATTCGATTTAATATGATATAGAACTAACTTACCTAGTGAGAGAAAAGAGATTTTTGTTATTTTATATTTTCGAAAGTTTAGACTGAAATCGGCACGATTAGTAACTCTTGTATCTTAAAATTTGTGGACCCTAGAAGTTGTTTTTATTATTTATTATAGCATTAAATTGAAGCTTTAATTTGTACAGTTTGAATGATATGATTTTGACCAAATATACACCGTTTTGTTCGATAACTTTTTAAAAAAACATACACTTACAGTGACAGTCGATTTTCACAAGCTTCACAAGAGGGGAATTTTTCACTAGCAAAATCATCCGCCAAAGACACTTGGTGCCAGGTCCGGACTGCAAGGTGGATGCATAAAAATATTCCAACCAATCTTCTGGCGCGTCACTATCCATGTGTGGGGCGTGACGTTGTTCTGACAGAACAAAATTCCTCTCCCATTGGCCAAAGCAAGCCTGGGCGATTACTTCCTTCAGAGGTCCAAATTAAAAGTTTTTCGGTACATAGCAAACTCTTCCAGGCCGCATGCCTTGCGTTTCCGCCTTTATCGAAGAAAAACTCTAATATATGTCGTATTTTCTCTTTGCTGGTCTCCATATTTGGCACGAGCTCAAAAAATAGTTAGTCAAAGCAATCACTAAACTGCCTCTCTTATACAATGCGAGATATGTATTACTAGAGCCATCTATTGAAAAAACAATGGTTCTCTTTTTACTAAACCTGTTATTAAAAACGATAGTCATTCAATGCGTCTTTATTCTAAATATAATATGTAATTTTAAGGAGTTGCCAATTATTTTCAGCAATAATTTGGTTGGAAATATAATTTAAGGCAGTTGGAATTTTGAATTCCCATATTTAAAAATACATAAAACGTTTTCAGAGTCCTTAGTAGAATGAGAAATTAGCAGAGTGTTGCCATCAGTATTTTTTTATTATACTATTTAACTAAATATCCTCTAAGTGCTATCTACATCAATAAATATCAAAAATCATATTCCGCACAGTGGCAACTGACTTGTAAAGAAAACGTTTGGAAGCTCGCTTTTGTAGGCACTATGCATTTTGCGGGACTCGTTGTGGGTACAGCAATCTCCGGATATCTAGCCGATCGGTACAGTAGCCAGATAAATATTTTAACTAAGGATTACTATTAATTAAATTAAAAACAATATCTACAGCTTTGGACGGAAGAATATTTTCATACTCTGTAGCGTCTTCATGGCCATCACAGGCATTGCACAGGGTCTCGCATGGGACTACAATAGCTTCTTAGTTTTCGCATTTCTCAATGCAGTCGGCACTTCGGGTGTATACCCATTAGCATTCATTATAGGTGTGGAAATGGTGGGGCCCAGCATGCGTGAGATGTCCTCGATAGTGCTTAACTACTTCTATGCCGTTGGTGAAGCGCTGGTGGGCGCAACCGCTTGGCTACTGCAGGACTGGCAGCTACTACAATACGCGCTGTCGGTGCCGCCGCTTTTCTTCATAGTCTACTATTGGTTCGTGCCGGAATCGGTGCGTTGGCTGATCGCGCGAAATGAGCGTGAAAAGGCGGGTGTGATCATAAAACGCGCTGCAGCCATCAATAAACGTGAACTCTCGCTGCAACTGTTGGCCAGTTTCAAGACCGAGAATTGTGTACCGCCACCAATGCCGACGAAATCGACGGATAACGGTGCGGATTCGGAGAAGTTGCGAGAAAATGGAGTTGATGGTAAAAATGAAATTTGGCGAGCGGTCTGTGATATATTCAAGTCAAAAACTTTACTGTTACGTTACGCTATAATGCTTTATATATGGTATGTATGGGATTAAACTGAATTATTTTCACTTATTTATTAATTTGTTTATTATTTTATATATTATTTATTTAAAGGGCCATAAATGCGGTTGTTTTCTATGGACTCTCATTGAATTCTACAAATCTGAGTGGAAATAAATATTTGAATTTCGTTTTAGTTTGTCTGATCGAGATTCCCGGTTACACGCTCGCTTGGGTGAGTTATTTATCTAAAGTACAGTTATTCTGCATTTTTTCAGCACACTTAATTTTTTTTTTTCGTTTCTTTTATATGCAGATATCCTTGCGAAAGTTGGGTCGACGTTGCGCACTGTCAGGCTCACTCTTTCTTTGTGCCGCCACTTGTATAGCGGGCGGTTACATAACTAAAGGTAATAATTTCTGTATTTTTTTAATAAAAATTAAAAAAACTGACAAAACTTCGTATATACCCTAAATTTATTTTTAATAAAAACAAAAAAAAAATTTTTTTTCCATCATTTTTTTTATTGATTGTAGCTCTATTCAAAAATATTTCTCAATTACACTATACAAATTATCATAAATAAAAAAAAAAATGATTGTAATAAAGCGAATTTATCAATAAGAAATTTTGTTCAACCTTGCATTTTAAACTTGTAGTTTTTTTCGAAAAGACAACAATATCAAAAAAAAATGAATAAAAAATAAAAGAAATCTGTCCAACCTTGAATTTTAAACTTATAGAAATTCTGCCCAACATTTAAATTTAAATGTTGATATAAAAAAAAAACTTGTGAATTTTAACAAATTTTAAAAATTTTGTCAGTTTATGTTATCTTAAATCAGCATTATATATATAAACATTGCTAATATATTTATTTATAAATATCTACTTATGTGTTTTCTTCAAATAATGCTTTCGTAAATTCCAATCGTAGTACAAACGAACTTGGAGACACGTAATTAAATGCAATTTAAAACGGCTTAGTGATTAAATACATTTTTTGGTTAATATTATATTATTTAAAATTTTATTGAAGGTTCAACTGGCGCTATAGTGACCCTATTCCTAATTGGAAAGTTAGGGATCACATCTTCATTTGCTGTAATTTATACATACACAGCCGAAATGATGCCAACGGTGAGTTGAATATTGAGTTGTTATTGTATAAAATAATATTTATTATTTTTTTTTTAATTTTTATTGTTATGATTTGTTTATTTTATTTTTATTATTTATTAATTTTTTTATTTAATTTTTTTTTTAAGTATTTGATTATTTAGGAATTTTCATGTTAATTTACTTTGTTGCATTTTATTATATTGTATTATTTTTATTAAAATTTTAATCTTATGCTATTTAAATAATATCATAAATATTTTTATAATACTGAAATTCTTAATTAAAAATAATTTTCAAATTTCTAATTTCAAATATCGGTTTGAAAAATAAATTTTAACGCCAAGTTTGTCTTTGAAAATTATCATATTCAATACTCTACAGCAGTGGTCGGCAAATGTACACACTTAAACAATTTACATTTTTTTCAATTTCTAATTCTGATTTAATTATTAGTTTTTCATTTAAAAGTTATATAACAATACATTTTATTATTGCATATCTGCCTAGTACAAGATGTATCTTGAGCTGTTGAATATTATATTACATATGTATTTTTCAATTATTACCTTTTTAATGTTCCAAATAGTATTATTATATACTAATAACACTAAACAGCTGTTAATTATCAACTTTAACGCGCTCTATTTACAGTTAATACGTAGTGGCGGCGTCGGTGTTATGTCTACCTTTGCCCGATTTGGCGCAATGCTCGCCCCTTTTGTACCGCTTTTGGTAATATAAAAACACATCTTTATTATATACTTACATACAAATGTACATAAGAAATATATAAACTAATTTTCTTTGCAAATATCTTAATAAAGGGAACATATTACGAAGCCTTACCGCTATTACTATTCGGAGCTGCATCCTTCTCAGCAGGTCTTTTGGGGTTGTTGCTACCAGAAACATTTCGAAAGAAACTACCTGATACGGTGTGTATACATATGTAACTACATTATTATGTACCGGTTATTTAACAAGTTGATTTTTAATACATTTTTTTTTTAAATTAAAATAATTTTTTTTTTATATAAATATTTATTTTCTTTAATTTTATTGTTTTACGTTTTTTTTTTACTTTTTTTCCATGTATTTAGCAGTTTTTATCATGGAATTTTTTAATCGATTACATTAAAGAAATAAACCTACAATTTTAAGAAAACGATATTCAATGCAAAATTTTGCGCTCTACAATAAAGATCTTATTAGTATTCCAAAGAATCATTCGTTTAAAAGTTATGCGCAGTTAAATTTATACATCAATTGGCTCTGTCAATTTTCATTCATACAATTGCCTTACAAATTATGCGTTGCTCATACGACGCGGTGTACTGTACGGTTACAGTATATTTAAGGCATAACTACAAAACATTTAATGCAAAATATCAAAGAATCCTCTGTTAAATACATGGAAAAATGTAATTTGAGCACGGTTTAAATAGAAAATAAATAGCTGAAAATTCAAGGGACATTTGCAAATAATGAACACCCTAAGGTACATATTTAATCCAATTTTTTAAATTTCCACTCGGTCTTGTAACAAGTGTTTTTAACAGCAATTATCGTTAAATACAAACATAAATTACTTAACGCATGTTTTACTGCAGGTCGCTGAGGCAAAACAACTGAGCAAAGGCAAGTCTGATAAGAAACCAGACGCTGCAGATGTATCGGAAGAGCAAGTCGTTGTGGCTATTAATGCTGACAGTGGCGATGAAATGCAACCCAAGTATACAGCGCGACAGCCTGAACCGTAAATGTGGCTTTATTTATTCTAATTTATTTCTAAGAGCAGCTTTTATATTAAAAATTTTTATGTATGAAACACAGCATATTACCATATATGTAAAAAGTACATATGTATGTATGTACTATATACAAAACCACAGCTTTAGTGCTTGTTGTGCTATATTTTGCACTATCGACGTATTGAAGCAAAAATTATAATTAAAAGTGGTTTTTTAAGATTTTTGTATGTAAGTAAAAATATATGTACCTATTTTTGTATGTCAGTAAAAATATATGTACCTATTTTTGTAGTTATTATAGTAAAACTATATATATTTATTATAAGTCAGCTTTTTCGGCAAGCTAGTACAATAGTATGTAATAAAAAATGCTTACAAAAATTTTTGTATACTTACATATATTCACATATATATGATACTTATGTATGTACATCGCATGCATACAATAAAAACAAATTCAAATATTTTTTAAATTTATTTTAACGTCTTATTCTATTTTTTCTTACAAAACAATCAAAGCAAATTTTTCAAAGATTAAAAGTGGTTTTTATACATTAAACTTGCGCTTCTACTCATAGAGCTCGCAAACTGTGTTTCTTACTCGCCAAATATCCCCGAAAAAGTTTCCGGCTCCACAATAACACCATAGTTTAGCATCAGCTTAAACGACTTAGTTTTATCACTATATAAACGTATCTTCTGATAGAGATTAAATGCTGTGGGACGCACTTTTGCCCACTCAACATCCAAATCATTAATGTCTATAATTGCATCCATACGCTTGCCCCAAAAATTCACATAAGCCAACTTCACTTTGTTAAGCTCATCGTTAATATAAATAAAACCGACTACATTACGTACAAGCAAGCTAAATATGGTTAAAGTTGCCAGTCCGGTCACGCCAATAGCGCCTACAATGACAACGGAATTGGGTGTAATAGTGCCAAATTGTGTTAATGTAAAACTAATTGGTAATGCAAGGGCTGTCAGCAATCCTTGGTATATTTTCAGACGTTGAAAACCGGCCGCAAGGCGTATAAGTGGCAAGTGGTAGATGGTTGTCCATTGTGGTGTCACACTTTTATTGCTTGTTGTGGCAGTTGTGGTGTAATTTAAGGAAGCAAATGCGGATTTACGCGCAAACGATTGCGCAAGTAGAGCTGTGCTGCCGCAAGTGGAGTATGTGCTGGTTGAATTTATTTGCTTCGATATAGTAAGCAGGGATTTGCCTAAAGCATGTGTACGTATTAAGAATCTTACACTCATCTGTAAGTATATATTGTATATAATAGACATTTTTATTCACATTTAGAAAACACTCAACGCTTACTTTCATTTAATTATTTATTTAAATTTATAAATAGTACACACACCGGCACTAGAACAGCTGTTTAAGTTCGACGACGTACATGTAAACAAGCACAGCTGTCAATTTTGACAGTTGTTACGAGTCGAAGGCCACTGAAGATTTTCGATTATCGAAAATATGCGGATATGTGGCGGTAGTTGGCAGATTTGAATTTCGAAACTAAACCGGAAAGGATCGCGTAGTTAAAATGAATTTAAAATTTACTAATGAATTATGTATATGTTTTGTGACGAAAAGTCCGTGACCGGATAAAATCCATTTCTATTTTGGCAACACATATTATATACTTGGGTCGGAGCAATTAGTCTTACAATAGACAGAAAAGAAAATATGAAAAGGAAAAGAAACGATAAATAAGGACGACTGAAGCAGAGACATCAGCTAAGTTAACTGAATATTTGTGAAATGTTTACAAAAAAACAAAAAATAAATGTCGGTTGGATAACAAATGTTCAACAAGATCACTTCGAAATTTTGAAATTGTGCAGCAACATGGACTGGAACTTATGTATATGTATGTATATTTTCTGGAAAAAAAATCTTTCACACTGTACAAATTGACAATATTTTTTTTAGTTTTGAGTGTCTATACAAGAAGACACAGCACACGACTTCAACCGGGCATAGCAGACTTTACTGTCCTTGCTACAGATAACCTACATATGTTTAATGTCATTATGTTAATAAAGCGAAAATTATGTTATTCATCAATTCATATTTTCGCCGTATTTACCTTCACTTCAACAGACATATCATGAATGATGAGGTCAATGACGATAATTAGGTGAGAACTTCATATATATCTAAGAGTATGAACTCAAGTATGTAGCTACTGTGATCACAAAACACAAATCCAAAAAAAATTCCACATTGCTTTTAGATCAACTATGCTCAGGCATAATTTGTGTGAATAATAACAACAAATCACGTGCCTCGCAAAAACAGCATAATTCTCAAACGATGATTTGGCAAGTGTACCAAGAGCGGCGTTGTCGTCAGATCGCCAAGCGACCAATAGTCATCTCTCGTCCATCGGTGCGGTCACAACAATTCTAACGGGTAAATTAGAGCATAAGAAAAGTGCACCTTCAAATATATAGTATTTTTTCCCCGATGATCAGTACCTGCATACATTATTCATTGTACTAATGCTGATCAAACCAAAGATCAAAGATTTTCGTCGCGTTCGCAATGCTAATTAATTGATGTTACAAGTGGTAGTTGTAGTAATTTGTTGTTGCATAAAATGTGTTAATTGCAGTAAAAATATTTTGCAAATATTTAGTAAAAACACAATAATAATGTGATAGACATTAGTCGGTGATCGGTTGTGTGAAAATTCAAATGTCATACTATTTTTAGTATCGCCAGCAAACTGAACTAATTCTCTCAGCAATGAGCGATGAGCAACGGAAAAGTCCTCAAATAGGGGGAGAAGTGTACGCAAGCGACATGTAATTTGCGTTTTCTCGACAAAAATGTTGATTGAATATGATTACAACACAAGTAGTGTAATACCAATAATTTTAATATGAATGAGAGAAATGAATGAAGTGAATTAAAAACGAATATAATACAGCAGAATAACAAAAAAAAATATTAAATTTGACAATTATGCAGTTATGTGGTGAAAAACTATATAATAATGTATATAATATAATATTGTTTCTAACATAACCATTTAAACAGTGTCTTGTTATTATAAACGACTACTAAAAGGCCCTACGAAATATATAGTTTAATAAATTACATCTCGGAAATTTTTCTTCTTCTGATATTTAATCAGTTAAGTCATTCTTGGCTAGTAACACCGATCTTTAAAGCGGTTATATCCGCTTGTGAATTTCAAAAAATCGATTTTTTTGTATTTCGCATATATCGAATGTACATATATTTGAGCATATGCCCCGAAAATTTGAAACTAAACCGGCAAATAGTTTCGGACATATGAGCGTATTTGTAAGAACTTTTTAACTTAGTGTAATCAACTACCAAAACCTTAAACGTGTTTTACTCGAAGCGCTATTTGCAGAGTCGGTGAGGAAAATTTCTCCGAAACGGCTAAACCGATCGACTTGGAACTTTTCGCACGACTTTTAGTTATGGTTGTCAGATAGTAATATAGGAATTATATAGTAAGATAGGAATATGATTTTTGATAATAATTTCATTATTTTAAGTCAGTCTGGAGCATAATTTTTTTCACAAAAATTTACTTCTTTTTGGAAAGCCATTTTTTTTCTAAAAATTAAAATTTTAACTCGTACTTTGATCATTATCTGTATTCATTTGTAATAATAATAATATTTTTTGGTTTTCGGACTTGAAATAATTTTAAGCAGCAAAATTTTTCTCACTGAAGGTCACCTTTCTTCAGAGGGGGTGCTACTGCGCGATCAAGTTTATCCAAAAAATTTTCAAAATGCATTGTTGATGATTAAAGTACATTAAATTCTGTAAATGCACATTATTTTTCTTTATTTATTAAATAAAACGACTTTTCGAAAAAAAGTTTCAGCAAAAACGTGGATATAACTCCTTAAGACTACCAATGGACATGGATGGATGCAAGGACAACTTTTCTATATTTTTTATACAAATTTATTCAATTTAAACAATAGACTCGAAAACTAAAGCTTTTATTGTTGTTGTTTTTTAGTACTTATGTGCAGGCAGTGCTTTAGACGCTGCTGAAACGGCATTTATTATTATAATGTAGTCTCAGATTCCCACTCTCCAAAAATTCTACTAAAATCCAGCTATAATATATATATATATAATGCAGTTTTGTTTTACAAATAAGTATTTTATTATTTTGCCCACAGTATCTCTTTATCTGGAGGTTCTCCAGTACAACCCAACCAATCTAGTCATAGACTTAAGGAATAGTTTAAGTAAAGTCGTATAACAGCAAAATGTCCATGACAGCGCTGGGTATCAGCACCGGTTTTATGATCGGCTACTGTGCGCTTGCCCAAATAGCACGACGTCTCGCCAAACGTTTTGTCGACCGCGAAGGCATTGTGCCGGTGCTTGTTAACGAGGCGATTGCTGCAGCAGAATTGTGTGCTTGTTGCTTCGAACTAATAATTGGTAAGTGTTGAGCTACATACAAGTATAAACATAAAAAAATGGTCTAGGCTCTAGAGCTTTATGCGCATTTATTTGACCTTTAACCTATACTCCACTTAGTGGCTGACAACTTCGGCGTCGCTGCTTACGCAATCTTTCTATTTATGCTAACCGTTTGGTGGGGCAAGGTCTGGGGTGACGCATCCGCATGCCCATACACACATATGGAGGACCTGGTGGAAGGCAAGACATCCTTCAAGGAAGTTGCATTGCGTACATGGGCCGAGTTAATGGGTGGTTGCTGTGTCTATCGTATAGTTCAGGTTTTCTGGTGGTTCGAGTTTGCCGAAACACATAAGGGGCGCGCTTTTGAGGAATGCAATGCGGATTTACAGGTAAGCATACGTTTTTAATATTTGCTGCCGTTCCGTTCTCACACCGTCAGCAAACAAAAGCTTAATCGAAGTTTCTGAAAAACTCTTTAGTTTGACAAATGTATTCGTTTTGTCGAAAGTTTTTACATTTTTCTTTCATATTGCCACTGTATAAAATTTGACTCGCAGATGAGAAGAGTCGATTTCGATATGTTTGTTCGAGTTTCTGTATATACGCGTATAAGTCTCTCAGTTTTTGAGATATCAAGCTGAAATTTCGTGTACATCCTTTTCTCTCCAAGAAGGTGGTCATTTGTCGGAACTGTCTATATCGTACCACTATAGAAAATAGCTGTCATACAAACTTACCGTTGAAAATCAAGACCTTGTATGAAAAATATTTTTTTTTTTGACGAGATATCTTTACGGAATTTGGCATAGATAATTGTCCAAGGCAACGCTGCGATCTCCGTACAAATTGTTCAGATCGGAACACTATAGTATATAGTTGTCACATAAATTCACCGAACAAAATCAAAGTTAAAGATTTTTCTATACCCGTTATGCTATAATAAATGCAGCTGTGAAGGGTATTATATGTAGCTACAGTGCAAACGTAATGCTGAGGAGTGAACGGAATTAGAAAAAACTCTGCAACATAGAAGGGTTCTATTATTGAAACGTCTACAATTGTATACCATAAAGGTAGTGCGCGCTGAGGCCTCAGACTATAATAATGCAAAATATTTTCATCTCTACTACACCATCTTACACGAAGAACTCTAAAACACAAACCAATCCCCTAAAATATTGTTCGTGACTACCTGTTACTTTCCAGGTACACCCCTATCTCGGCGCCGCTATCGAAGGATTCGCCACACTACTTTGCCGTCTCGCCTCGAAGGCGCTCAGCGAGAAAGATCCGAAATTCTGCAGCATCATTGACTCGTTCATCGGCACCAGTTTAGTGGTTGCAGGTAGGCAAGAAGCATAACAAACAGTTAACACAAATTAGAGTTTAGCTCAGTCGAAACATAATCAATGGAACACGTGAGATTCGTCTCAAGAAAAGTTTACGCTTTTAATTATATGATGTTTTCAGCGTTCAACTACTCAGGCGGCTACTTCAATCCGGTGCTGGCTACCGCACTAAAATGGGGCTGTCGTGGACACACCAATGTGGAGCACATCATAGTCTACTGGATTGGCGCATGCGTTGGAGCGCTATTATCGGTGCCGATATATAGGCTGGCAGTGGTGAGGCGATTCTTGCTGGGCGAACGTAAGGAAAAGGAGGAGTAAGGCCGTTAGAGGAAACGAAGTAACGCAGTTAGAGAAAAAGGCGCAATAAGGCAGTCAGCGAAAAAGAAGACACCACGCGGATGTACCGTTAAGTGTAAACTTGTTCATCGAAAAAAATACTCACACGAACTGTATATTTTTACGAATATTTGAATATTTGTTGCTAAAGTAGTATTATTGGCTGTTTTTGTTTTTGTTTTTTTTTCTGTCACAAAAGGTACGGTTACGACAACAAAAGATGCACATTTCTTGTTATTGTTATTGTGTTGAATATTTTATAAAATTTTATCTTACAAATACATATTTGTAAATACGTTAAATAAGTACAAGCGTAATGCGAAATCAGCGAAAAAAAAACAATTAAGTTTTGTAACTATATATATAAAGTATATATTCGAATATACAATATTCGTGGTGTGCTTACAAGCTAAGTTGCCGCTACTGTATTTGTTGTTATTGTGGCAGCAGTTGGCTTTCGCTTGCCGCGACGTTTACGCGTTATAAATAAATTCACAACATGCTCCGAAACCTTTTCGAAACGGTAATCACTCGAACCGAGCGAAATATGCTTCGTACTCAAACTGCTGTCGCTGAGCGAGGTGTGCGTATTAATGCCGCTACGATTGGTCTCATCTATAGTTATATTCAGATCGGATGCGAGAAAAGAGTTGGCGCTAATATCGCTGAGGAAGCTAGACGTGGCGTTAAAATCAGACAGCGGTTTTGGGTTGCCAATTGGCGCCGCAGTGGGTGGTAAGACAATAACGGGTTGCGGCGCAGTGTCAGTTACAGCTGTTACAACTGCACTACTTGCGACTACAAGCGAATGCGTAGCTGACGTTTTGTCTGCAGTTTCGGGCGTAGCGGAACCGATTACGTGCGTTGCAACTGCACGTTCCTTCAAAGTAGGCGACAGTAGTTGTGTGTTAGCCTGGTTGGCGACTGCAAGCGCATTCGTAGACGACGTTTTGTCTGCAATTTTAGGCGAAGCGAACATTAATTGCAAACGCGAATCGATCTCTTCATATTCGGCATCCTGACTGACGTTCATTGGTAAGGAGGTCGGTGTTTGTGGCGCAGGCAGATTGTCATTCGATTCATTGGCGCGATCATTTTGCAGAATATCGATAATATCTTTATTTTTACGATCCAAATCGATATGTTTAGCAACATGAAGCACTGTTGGCACTGCGCTAGGCAGCGAGTGGGCTGCCTCCTTCTCCTCCTCCTCATCACTATCTTCAATACGCATTTTACAGCGTTTGCGTCGTTGCGACTTGGACACAACTTCTGCATCATCGCTGCTTGTACTCGTTTGCCGACGCTTTGGTGTTGGGCCATATTTGGTAGTGATTCTTTGTATATTATTTGTTGTTGCTGTATTAGTGACTTTTGCAATTGTTGCAGCACATTGTGTGCTGTACGCATGCGCTGAAGTGACGACTTGCATGCCGTCGCTTGCAGAAATTTCTGTTGCCGTCAATTTTTGTGCCATTTCTTTCTTTTCTACATCAGCTTTGGCTCGCTTAACGTGATTATCAGCTTCTACTTCGCACTTTTCACTTGATTTTTTATTCTTCTTCTCAACAAAACAATTTTTATCGCATTCTTTCTTCTGTTTCAAATTGTCTGCTGACTCTTTGGAGAGATCACATTGTACAGCCGTTATTTCGCAGGAAACAGTAGCTACATCGAGCTGTGATTTAGAGCGTATATTTTGCGTAGTCTTACACTTCTTAGTTTTGTCATCTAACTCCTGACGCACAAGCGCTTTCTTAACGGTAATTTCATTTGGAATATTCGTGTTGAAATATTTTTTAGTTTTGTCATCTAACTCGCGCGTCCCAAGCGCCTTTTTAACCGTATTATTTTCCTTCTCAATACTTTCTACCTTTCGTGTTTTGAGTTCACTTTGCTCAGACTTTGCAGCAAGCTTTTCTTCACATTTAGCTACCACTTCCTCATGCTTTTGACTGCTTGCTTTATGCATTTCCACATCATATTTTATATTGCGGATTTTTGTGTCTTTTGCGTTTTCTTCGTGCTCTACTTTTGTATGGCTCTTTCGGCGTTCTTGAATTTTTGTGTGCTGCCCCTTCAACAGATGTGTTTGGTCTCTCTTATCACTACTGCGCTCACGCGTACTTCGCTCTTCTGTCGGCGGCTTATTGTGTTCCTGTTGCTTTTCGGTGACGCATTTTGTACCAACTGAAAAGCTTTCAGTGTTGTTATCTTTATGAGCTTTGTGTTTTTCAGTCTTTTGTTTTACGGAGGCTTTCAGGTCCGTTGGTATTTTATCGTTATATTCGACGGGATTTTCTGTTTCCAAAATATCCGTTGTATCACCCACCTTTCTTCTTGCCCAATTATCGATTTCTTTTATAATACGCTCACTTTTCTTTTGGTTCTCAAATTGTGTTTTCGTTTCTAACAGATTCTTAACGATATTTCCATTTATCTCAAGTACTTTACTTTCCTCCTGCATTTGTTTTGTTATTAACTTAGTGGTTTTCTTTTTCTTATATGGAATTATTGCTTCTTCTGCTTTAATACCGAGTTTCTCTCTTTTAGCCTCGAAGGTCTCCACATTCCTACTCTCTTGAAACCTACTACCATCGGCACTCTCTTCTCTTTTCCTTTTGGCAGAAATTTTCGGTATTTTAAATTTCCACAAAACTTCGGCACGCTTCATATTCTCAATAAGCAAATTTCGTTCGGTTGAAATATTTACGGTATTCGAAAGTTCTTTCGATTTGGTTTTTGAATTTTTGCTCCGTTGGCTGTCGTCTGCAAATTCTTGCACTGTCTTAGGTTGTAACTCAACTTCTTTTGATTTCACCACGCCTTTCGTGTCTAAGGTGGGTATATTTTGAGCTTCAGTTTTCTTTTCATTTTCTTCTATATAACTATTTTTCGGCTCTTTTAAGTTGTTCACCACGCCCTTCGTCTCTAAGTTGGGTATATTTTGAGCTTCAGTTTTCTTTTCATTTTCTTCTATACAGCTATTTTTCGGCTCTTTCAAGTTGTTCACCACACCTTTCGTCTCTAAGTTGGGTACATTTTGAGCTTCAGTTATCTTTTCATTCTCTTCTATATAGCTATTTTTCGGGTTTTTTAAGTTATTCACCACACCTTTCGTCTCTAAGGTGGGTACATTTTGAGCTTCAGTTTTCTCTTCATTTTCTTCTATATAGCTATTTTTCGGCTCTTTCGAGTTGTTCACCGCACCTGTCGTCTCTAAAGTGGGTATATTTTGAGCTTCAGTTTTCTTTTCATTTTCTTCTATATAGCTATTTTTCGGCTCTTTCAAGTTGTTCACCACACCTTTCGCCTCTAAGGTGGGTACATTTTGAGCTTCAGTTATCTTTTCATTCTCTTCTATATAACTATTTTTCGGCTCTTTCAAGTTGTTCACCACACCTTTCGTCTCTATGGTGGATATATTTTGAGCTTCAGTTTTGTCTTCATTTTCTTCTATATAGCTATTTTTCGGCTTTTCTTTTGATTCTTCTGACATACCGTTGGGTTTGGCACTCTCCGTCTCCTTAATAACAGGACCTGTACCACTATCCGTCATGACAGAAATATTTGTTGTAGTAATAATCGAGTTATCGCCATTTGACGTCAGTTCTACGTTTCTGCTGCATTCACTCTCTCCTGCTAAGTCATTTACAATTGACATTATGGCATCAGTTACCATAAGTTCACTGCTCTTCCTTATGCCATTTTCAATTATATGGGAACATTCATTTGTATTGTCTGTAGACGTAAGCAATTCTACGTTTTTGTATACAATCGACTCAGTGGCGGTTTTTTGTGCAGCAACCTCACTTCGTGCAATGGTTTTTTGCTCCGTGATAGCATCAGGACTTTCATGTTTGTTTGGTGTGCTCTTCTCTTCGCTTATAACTGACTCACAGTTGCTTTTAAGATCACCTAAATCGACTTTTACTTCGATCGTCACTCCATTTGTCGTGTGCACAGATTTTAGCAGTTTTTCAGGTTCTTGAACAAACTCTTCGTGTGTGATACATGTTTTTGTCGCTTTCATTTCTTTATGCTTAGCAATTTTATCTTGTTCAGCAATTACATTTTGCTCACACGACACTTTTTCTTCAACATCCATTGCGCTTTTGAATAATATGTTTTTCGCATTTTCACCGCATGCTATAGGCTGAGCTGCATCTTCGCCTACAGGCGCATTAGCCGAATTCTTGCTGCTTCGCGAAACTTCGTCTTTACTCTCATCAAGTTGCTGTGATTTTGAAATATTTTCTTTTGACTCTACCATTGAATTTATCTTTCGTTCACTGTCGTTTGGCAACGCTTTTGTCAATAAATTGCTGCTCATAGCTGACATATCCTTATTTGGAGCAGTTGTTTGACTCGCAGTGGCGAGGTCCAAACGCAAACAGCTTGTTTGATCCTTTTCGTTGTGCTTATTAGGTGTGGCACTAACAGCTGATATTGTGTCCGTATTTTTAATTGCAATTTGTTCAGATTTAGTGTCGTTTTGCACTTCCATCTTTTCAACTACAATATCAGCAGTCTCCAAAGCTTTACTAAAAACTTCATTTAAGATGGTTTCTGTAGTGGCTATTTCATCGATTTTTACTGTGGGTTTTGAGTTGGCTATATCATCGATTTTCTCTGTTACGGTATTTTTTGACCTTAACGATTCCTCACTTTCATATTTCATTTGCTTCAATGCAGCATCGTTCGCAACAGTCTTATCATTGTTCGCAAGCTCTGTGTTTTCGACAGCTTCCGAAGGCAACGTAATATTTTTATCCAACAATTTCACATTTTCTATGCTATGCTGGTCAGCGTACTTAGTTGTCTCTGAACCACTCACTTTTTTCGTCATTTCATTATCAAGTGTAATAACATTTGCATCAGCAGTAAATTCACCATATAACTGTGGTGAATTATTAATTGTCTTTTTCTCGCGTTGTATTTTTGCATCCATCTCCTCTCTCTCTTCTATATCAACACCTAATGCATGAATAAAAAAAAACTATCTCATTAATTTTTCTTATAAAGTAACTGTATTACCTTGATTATTATTATCTGCGGCGTTTGTTGTGGTTGTCGGGTTCTTCTGTAAGCTTTTGTTAACCTGCTCCGGCATTGGAACAACCATCTTAGTAATGCTTTGTGTTGCATGTTGTTTTGTACCGTTTGTTTCTGCAATTTTCGCAAGCTTTGCTCTTTTAGCCGCGGCGAGTTCCCGAAGTCGTCTTTGGTGTGCGCGTATCTCATAAATATTGGGTAGACGTATATTTTGCAAAATTTGTATGCCACCTAAATTATAACTGTTATTATTATCCCGCTTTAGTCATATTTTTATATAAAAGTTACCATTCCTTATATTTCCATTAGTTTTCGTTGCATTATTTACCGTTTCATCTTCATTGGTATCAGCTGCTTTATCAAACTCAGTCTCTTCCTCGTCTTCTGATAGCATAAGTGTTGCTAGCTTAGCATAATTTACCGTTTCTTCAATTGCGTTCACACTAGTAATCGACTTCTCAGCTGAACTTTCGTCTGCTGCCTGATTTTTTGTACTGGAAATAAACTCCTTCGGTTCGATGCCAACGTTGAAACTTGCACTAGTTTGAATGTTTTCCAAATCTCTGTTATAGCTGTTTGCCACAAGTCTTGCTTCAGTTTTATTGTGCCCGTTTTGTTCTACTTTTATTGGTATATAATATTCTTCGGATTCTGTATTCGTACGTTTGATGGTTGAAGTTATTGTTGTCGGCTCGCTGGTATCGGTATAATTGCTTGGAGAGGTTGTTGCCGAACTGTTGCTACTCTTTAAAAATTCATTTACATTACTCAATGTATTGCTATTTACATCGCCCGCATTGGTGGGTGTGCTACCGAAGAGTTTGTCAAACAAAGCAGTTTTCTTTGGCGTCGTCATACCGTCTGCAGATATCAAGCGATTTGCATTTTTATCAGTTTCTTTGCAAGAAAACTCATTTTCTAGAGCTGATAGTTTTTCCTTGGTCAGCTTTTCCTCTGTCAGTAATTTTTCAAGACTTTGTGAGTCTTTGGAAGCTCGCAGATCCTCATCTAAAAAATCCCTTTCCTTAACAGTTTCAATATTTTTCGTGTCTTTATGTGGTGCTTCACAAAATTTTTGATTTTCATTTAATTTCTTTTCCCTTCTGTTCTCAGAAGTATTCGGTGCTTTATCACGCATATCTTTACTTTGCGTAAGACCATCTGAGTTTTTTGAAGATGTTGCAGTTTCATTTCTAATCTTATCAGCACGAGCTCTCTCATTCGTTTCTTTTGATCTTTTATTTGTATCTTCGCGGTGGTGCTTGCTATCATTACGTTTGTCATGACGATCGTCAGAGTTATCAGACTTGGTTCTTGTCTCTTTGCTATCGCTTCGCCGGTCATGGCGACGTTCATAACTCTCAGATTTGATTTTTTCCTGTTTGCCGTGGTACCTAATTAAATAAGAATATGCGTTATCTCTCAATATAGCAATAAACAATTATGAAACATACCTTGAACGATCGCCCACCCTATCATAGGCATGTTGTCGTCTGCCATTCTCTGTACTGTTAAATGATCCTTTTTCGTTTTCACTCTTCAAAGTTTTATTTTTAAAGTCGCGTTCGTCATTATTACACCGATCAGCTGTTCTACGGTCATGACTATGACTATAATCTCTAGTAGCGCTACGTACTCTTCCATCACGTTCAGTACTACGCATCGTGTATCTGGACAGATGCTGATCCTTCTGGTTGTTGCTTCTGTTGTATTTTTCACGCTGAGGATCCCATTCGTACTTACGTTCAAAACTTTCATTGCGGCGTTCATTCTTTTTATATTCATCGGGTATACGTGTATTTTCACGACCGCGTTTATTGTACGATGTTTCACTCGGCTGTTCATGGTTTATGGCTTCAACATTTTTGCTGGTTATTTGCGCATTTTCATTAGTATTTCTTGCAACATCGTATGTAGGTAAAACTGTTTCATTTTTAAACCAGGTATTTGGGTTTTGCGACGTGCTTGCAATATCTGTATATTCCCTTCTTGGTTGCTTACGTCGGAAGCAGATATCATCCTTCCTATTGATTAAAAATTATATCACTTAGTTATATGAAGTTAAACATTTTCTACACACACTTACTCTTTGCGCAATTGTTCGATTTGTTTGTCCTTGCGTTTGATCTCTGATTTTGCTGTGTCCAATAAGTTTTGAAAGTTGATACCTATTCGTCTAATTTGCTTTTTCAAATCCGCATTTTCCGACTGCAAAGTTTCAATCGTTTTTAGGGTATCATTATACTTTGCCTCCAGCGAAACAAGTTCTGCGGTTTTCTATGGAAGAAAGGATTAATGTTCATTTACATGAGAGACTAAACCCTAATATATAATATTTCTTACCTTTTCTTCCTCTTGCTGGAATGTGTCCAAATCTTCATAGATATCCAAATCATCTAAATCCATTGATATATAACTTCAATTATCTTTAATTTATTATATTTAAAATTATATTTAAGCGCTGCAGAGGATAAAAATTTGCTTAGATTGAAGGATTTGCAACACAATAAAAATATGTACGCTGTCACAAAGCAACAAAAGTAAATTGTTTTAGCTTAATGACAGAGTTGCTTTAAATATCAATTATCGAAAAGATTTATGCAATGCACCTGCTGTAACCAAAAATTGATTAAAGGAATATCTTTACAATTCAACCTTTACAAAACAAATTTCATACATATATTAGTGTGCATAGGTTTGAGATAACAATATGTATATTTAATTTAATATTATTCTTGCATATTTTGTATTTTTAAATTTAAAATTTAATAGCAATCAACAGCCCAAATAATTTTGTGTATCGATATTTAAATTCGCAATAAGAACTCAACAGCAACACCGGCAACAGCTGAGCATTTGGCGCGTAAATTGGATTCGAACCTTCAAACGTCAGCAGCTGTTTATTTATTTTATATATCGCATGCGATATATTTTTAATAATTGTTTGATTCAGCATTTGTTGCATTTTTTTATAAGTTTCTGTGAATAAACTATTTGTAGGGCGTTGCAATCGCAAGCATAAACAATAAACAGCTTATTTCACAAATCAGACAAAGAAGTGCAAGCATAACTTTTTATTATTGTCGACGTGATGGATCCAACTATTTCAGTGTCCAAGGTTTGTATGGCTTAGATTTGGTTATTCCATCATAAATAAGGTATTATTTCCCCGACCTTTAGGGATGTTTTGTTTTCAAAGGCACGACAAGCGCTAAAAGCAGTGGGGCTACGAAACGGAAGCACAGCGACGATAATGTAAGTGCTTTGAGGAAACAGCTGACCGGGCAGCATTTCTACACAACTTATGCTGAGACCTGGCAAAAATTAGAAAGTCATATTGAACAACTACAATCGGAAAGCTATGCTAAAACTTTGGAAGATGTAGTGACTTATGTGCGAAATGAATGTAGTACTGATGGCTGTTTGGACACAATTGACATGGAAGAGATAGTACCTGCTGCAGCGCTTTTAACTGGTGAGTGAAATTTGACATTAAAATAATGAAATTAGTAAAGATTTCCAACATCAATTTTAAAGGTGTAAACCAACCTGACCACTTGGAACAATTCGCCACACTAACGCAGCGTATTTTGCAAAAAATGTCGGCTTCGGTTTGTATGCTACAATCACGTGATTGCGCTACACTAAAATCCGCAGTCGAGACAATGGTATATAATTTTATAGAAACCACAGACCGCTCAGCACCAACCGAACTGCTAGATGAAGACACGGAACAGCGCGAAAAGAAGCGTCTACGACGTACACAATGTAACATGCGTCAATTGTTACACTGGTATCGTCGCAAATACATAAAACCGCAACAGCAAACTGGGAGTGAAGTAGACGATGCTGCTGTAGGTGACTCAGAAGAGTGTGATTCAACGATAAAACGAATTTCAAAGCGTCCTCATGCTTTGGTTGTAATCTTGCCGGATTTCGAATGCTTTAATACAACAATACTTCAGGACTTTATTCTAATGCTGAGCGCTTACTATACACATTTACCGTTTGTATTAGTCTTCGGTGTGGCAACTGCTGTGTCCGCCGTACACAACGCATTGCCTTATCACGTGACAAGCAAGGTCAAACTTTGTGTGTTCAAAACACAAACGGCACCAGTTTGTCTAAATGAGGTAAATAAGCTATAGACATATTTTTTTGTAGTATACCATTTTATTATTTATTCTGAATTACAGATTCTGGAACGCGTTATACTTTCACCTAGATACGCCTTTCATCTTTCCGGCAAGGCTTTCAAGTTTCTAACACACATTTTCCTCTACTATGACTTTTCCATTCATGGTTTCATTCAAGCCTATAAATACTGTTTAATGGAACACTTCTTTCAAGGCAATGCCTACGCGCTGTGTGCTAATTACACCACATCCTTGAGTCGAATCAAAGCTCTAACACATGAAGATATTGAAAGCATACGTCGTCTGCTCTCATTTCGTCCGTATGTGGAGAGCATCAACGATTGCAAACGTATTATCGCCATACTTACCGACGATAGCTACTTGAAAAAGAAGCTGCCACAATTATTGCGCGACTGTCATATACATTTTATGTTATTACGTATATTCCTTGAATTTCTCACTGTGTTAGTTGGCGATTTACCTAAGTGCCCATTGGGTAAACAGCTTCGTGAACTATACTCCTTTTGTCTCTCGAAGGAGTTGCGCGACCAGCCAGAATTTAAGGAATGTTGGCAAATGCTTAGTTTTATGTCAAAAGATGAATTTGTCGCAAAAATTTCCAAAGCAATTTCGGTGACTGAGCAATTTATGAGCGCCGAAATCGTTGGTTTAGAACTAGCCGAGGATTGCCAGACAACGGTCAATAACAAATTGCAAGCATTGAAAGCTCTACTAACGCGCGTTGCAATGGCTGGTACGGAGGATAAATCACCGACCAGCACTGCCGCACCGACCGCTACACCAGCAACTCCAGAAACCAGCAAACAAAAATTCACATCCCGTCAAGATCTGAAAGATCATTTATTGCAAATGTCCAAACAGCAAAATAAACAAACTTCGGAATATGCACAAGCTGTTGCACAAACGTTGTTGCATATACAAAATGAAATTGTAGTGAGACATTTGGCGCCGCTTACACGTGCTCCGCCCCTACACGAGCTCTTCGTTTTTAGCGATGTGTCCACAGTGCGTCGTAATATTATAGGCGCGCCACGTGCGGCACTTCATATGGCGCTCAACAATCCACACTACTACCTCCAATGCAAATGCTGCCAATTGTCTGAAACCAATCAATTACTGGCCACTCTGCCGGATTTATCTGTGGCATATAAACTGCATCTGGAATGCGGCCGCATGATTAATCTCTTCGATTGGCTACAAGCTTTTCGATCTGTAGTGGACGACATCGATAATGAGCAGGAACAGGTGGATCCGCAGATACAGTAAGTTTATAGTAAATAAAGTTCATAGCGAAAATCGGAATTTTTATTATCTTTATTTCTGTTGTCCGAAAAAAAATTTTTTTTTGTATAAAATTTTCCTTAAACATAATTTTAAATATTTTTTTTTAATATATTTTTAATGTTTTTTATATTTTTTTTATATATTTTTTTATATACGTATACATATATTTTTAAAAATAATTTTTTATAAAAATTTATTAAAACAAATCGTATAAGAATTATTATTTTTTTTTTTTAAATGTAAAAATATTTTTTTGAATATAATATTTTTTTAAATATATTTTTTTTAGATATATTTTTTTTATATATATATTTTTTAAATACATTTTTTAAATATATTTTTTTTAAATACAATTTTTAAATATATTTTTTTTTTAAATACATTTTTTAAATATATTTTTTTTAAATACATTTTTTAAATATATTTTTTCTTGATTTAGTTTTTTTTTCAATATATATTTTTTGATGTTTTTTTTAATGTTTTTTATGTTTTTTTATATATTTTTTTATATACGTATACATATATTTTTAAAAGTAATTTTTTATCTATACATATGTATGTATATACATTTAAAAAAATATTTTTATGTATTTTCTTATACGATTTTTTTTAATAATTTTTTTTTTCTATTATCTAATATACAAACCTTTTTCATCGTATATTTTACTTGTTTTATTGCAGAGCTCGTTTCACGCGTGCGGTGGCCGAACTTCAATTCCTGGGTTATATAAAAATGTCAAAACGCAAAACGGATCATGCTACGCGATTGACATGGTAGTCTATCGAGGTAGTTACTTATTGTTAGATTTTGGGTTAGAAATAAGTTTGAGAGATAAATATAAAATTTGAGGGATACACACGCATTTAAATTTTATTTCACAAAATAATTGATTGAATTTACAAAAAAAAAAGAACAAATTTGAAATATAAATAGTCTCGACTGCTTCTTCTTCTTTTGCTTTAGCTTAAATTGAAAAAGGCATTTGTGATATTATTTACCGATATCAAATTTGTTCGTGTAGCTAAAGAACATATTTCTCGAGTTATTTGAAGAAATGCTGCCGATTAATTATTCTAAGTGGCATAAAAATCTGGATCAGGACCACTATAGTGAATCGATATCCAAGAGTGTTTAATATAATATTACATCCCTTGTATGGTTGAAATCCGGATTTTACGTACAGATCACTTTCACCAGATTCTGCATGGAACCCAAAAGTGCACTTCCATACCAGGGCAGTTAAAAATAATTATAGCTATCTGAAGCTCTCAAAGACCAAGTGTCTTTAAACAAGGCCGTAGAGAGAAAACTGGGGCTCGGGGATGGTTGTAGTGAATTGTTGGCGAAAAAAATCTAAAAAAAAATTTGGAGAGCACCGGGTCTCCCCGAGAACATCGTGCTCGTGAAGAATTGTACCGATCTCCCCCCATCTCTCCTTAACTGCCTGTAAACCTAGCATGTTTTTGCACTCTAAGCATACCTGATTTGCGATTTAACTTCAAAAATGATTACGTCATATATGTGTGTATATATCGTACTCATCAAGAGTGGATATCGGTAAATACCAAATAATTTTCATTACTTCCAAAACTCCACGCTTGTCCCTCAAGTATTCATTTCATCATTTGTGACTTATAAAATAGTTGTTGAAGCAACGTGAAATCCTTTCAAAGCTTTCAGTTTGCTTAAAGCTATTTAACGCAGAAGCGTTTGTTTTAACAAAAAGTCACTCCATATTGCTTCAAGTATTAATTTCGTTTTTTAAGGTGGTGACTCACCACATTATGTTATACTCACCACATTATATTATACTCACCACAGCATACTTACTTACCATATTTTAATATACTCAACACATTTCACTATACTCACCACATGATACCATATTCACATCATTATAATTTCCACAACAGCCGGCACTACCTTACCGAAATCGACCTGGATTTTATCCGCCTAACGGCAACCTCACCATGTTTGTTTCTATAACTAGTGGTGTTAACCCCTTTAAATGTGTCCAAATTATGGAAATAGCACCCTATATACACTTAACCTCGATGTCAACACCTCTAAATAGCACTCCACTAGACCTTTCTAGCAGCTACTAGCACAAAAGTACAGACAATAAATATAATTTGCTTTCGGTGAAAGCAGGCTGGAAGCAGTCTGGTGTTGGCAACAGCCTCTTTGCAGGTTCAATTCATATAATTCAAGAATCAGCAACCACTTTTGTAAACTTTTCTTACTTTCTTTGCAGTTTTATTAATAATTTAGTTATTTTCATATATTTATCATTACAATATACACAAATCTATTTTCATTGTGCTTTGTGTGTATGTATGTATTTATGTACGGTATAACATTTACACTCTTTTATTAACAGTGTATGCTTGTATACGTATGTTTGTATGTATGTACTATATATATATATGTATATAATAAATTATTAATTGTATGTATGTAGTATACGCCAGTTAGTTTATATATTATATAGACTTAAATAACTATGCAATTTTAAATTTACTTCAAGTTTTGGCTTTCAACATAACCTCAATCTTTTCAATAATGCACTTTTGTTTAGTATTCTACAAATATTGGTTTGAAATCAAGGCAAGTTTTGCGTTGTATGTAAACAATAAGTCTTTCGTTGTACATTTACTTGTTAATAGTTTTATGCTTTTATTTTTTGGTTTTATGCATACAAGTATATATGTATTCCCGCATATATGTATGACGCAATATTATTGAATAAATAAAGCACATTGTAGTAGTTACATTTCAATTGTTTCTTAAGACGGTTTTTTTTTCTTAATATAATATTGTTTTTTTTTTGTTTGACGAAATTTTATATGTAAAATGGTTTGATGGGCTTCTTGGAGTTCCACAGTGCAGCTCAGATGACTTTAAATGATTAGTAATGAATTAATTAAGATAATTACAACTTTTAGTAAGTAATAAAAAATTATGCATATAATATTCCAAATTTTTTCGTTTTTTTTTCAAGTAAATCAACAGAACTGAAAACTTTTGTAACAATTTCTTTGAAAAGTTTGGAATACAAAAAATTAACTTTTAAGCATGTTTTGATTTTTATTAATTTTTGAGTTATAAATTTCAGTTTTTATTTATTATTATAGTTATTACAAAATACTAATTCAAAAATACTCAAAAAAAATGTATATAAAAATTAAATAAAAAACAAACAGAAAAATATACTAAATAAAAAAAAACAAATACTAAATAAAAAAAAAACAAATACTAAATAAAATAAAAACAAATACTAAATAAAAAAAACAATACTAAATAAAAAAAAAAAACAATACTAAATATAAAAAACAACAATACTAAATTTAAAAAAAAATATTTTATTATATTTTAGAATTTGGAAATAGTAAGAATTGTAAGAATTTCTTTGAAAAGTCCGGATTAAAAATATATTTCAATTTTGATGAATATTCAAGTAATAAGTTTCACTCTATGTTACGTAAATTCATATGATTTATTTCAAAATACTGATTCAGAAATACTAAATAGAAAACCCAAAAACTCAAAAAACAAAATGAAATGGTAAACAAACAAAAAAAAAAACATAGAATAAAAAACACCTAATTAAAAAACAAATCTTAAAAATATTAAATAAAAAACATCTAATAAAAAAATAATTTAATAATACAAAACAAATGATCAAAAAAAAAAATATACAAAAAAATAAAAACTTAAAAAAAATTTAGATAACTTTTAAGATTTGTTTTTCGATTTGATACCAATGCAATATTTTCAAAATTTATTCCATTTATTTATTTACTTGTAAGAATTTTTCTGTTTAATACTAAAAATACTACAAAAAAAAACAAATATTTAATAAAAAAAAACAAATTTTATTAAAACAAAAACAAATATTAAATACAAAAAAAGTCTAGATACAAAAAAAATATTAAATAAAAAAGAAAAACAAGCAATAAATAAAAAAAAAAACAAATCTAAAAATATAAACAAATATGAAATAAAAAAATACACCTCATAAAAACAAATACTAAAAACAAAAATTCTAATAAAATAAAGCAAATGTTAAATAAAAAAACTATACAAAAAAATAAATAACTAAAACATAGAGATTAAAGAAATTTTAAGAATTTGTTTTCTATTTCATACTAATGCAATATTTTGAGAATTCATTTTCATATGTATACATACGTATGTATTTAATTATTTTAAGATTTTTTTGTGTTCAATACTAAAAAAACAAAACAAACAAATAGTCGATTATAAAACGGAATATAAAAAAACTCATACAAAAAAAATTAAATTAAATACAAAAAAAAACAAACATTAAATTTAAAAAAATAAATATATAAACAAAAATTAAGTAAATTAACAAAAATTCTGTAAATAAAAAAATAATTAAATAAATAAAAAAATAAAAAAAATTAAATAATTGCAAAAAAATAATTTAAAAAAAAATTATATAACAAAAACCAATATTAAATATAAAAAAATTAAATAAATAAAAATATAAAAAAAAAATTTAATAAAATAAAAGTAAATAAAAACAAACATTAAATAATATAAAAAAAAAAATTATTAAAAAAAAATTAAATAAATAAAAATAAATAAATAATTACAAAAAAAATAATTAAAAAAAACTATATAACAAAAACCTATTTTAAATATAAAAAAAATTAAATAAATAAATATATAAAAAAAAAACATTAAATAAAAAATATGAAATCAAAAAATAAAACGGCAATAACTTTGAAGAATTTGTCTTTAGTTTACTACTACTGCAATATTTTGAAAATTTATTCCATTTTTTAATTTACTTTTAAGAATTTGCCTCTGTTTAATACTTATGCAATGTATTAATATATTTTGAAAAATTACTGCATTTTTTTGCACTGCTTATGTCCAAAGCTCATCAAATTAAGTGATACAGCAAAAACAAACGTAAAATTATGTACAAAACGGCACTATTTTCAAGTTAAACCGAACAATAAAGTTTTTATTAGTTGTATTTTGACGTACGAGTACGAGTAAATGCATTCTTCTTTTATTAAAATTAATATCAAATATCGTATTATATATATTTTGTTATATATAGTAGGCACAATTCCAGACACTTTTAATAAATAACTTTCATTTAGTATATTTTCGAAAAAAAAAGCTTGCTTGTCTTTATAATAGTTAAGCTAGGCACGCAATTTATAATTTTTGGAAGCTTCTTTTCTTTGGCTGCTTATTGTTATATATATATTTTGTATATAGTAAAAAGGCAGCTTACGACAAAGCACTTGTGCATTTTATACTTTCATATGCGGTTGGGCATTTTAGTGTTTTAAAGTATTTATGTAATTAGTTGTATAGTATAAATATCGGAGGGTTTGCAAAATAATACATTTTTATGTTGAACAATAGTGTGCGGGGAGGGATTGAACTTTTTTTTTACTTGTGAAATATGGTATAAAATACAAGGTGGTACGAAAAATTGCGCTTTGATAGCTAACTGTTAATTTATGTTTGAATAATTTTTTTTTCGGTAATTTTTTTTCCAAAATTATTTTTAATTAATAATTGAAAAATTAAAAATTCAGCAATACAAAATTTAGGAGTACGGGAATAGTGAAAAATTACGAAATAAAAATAATTTTTGTTTCTTGGCTGTCTAAAACCCGTGGAAACGTATAAAAAACACAGTGTAAAAAAAAAAATTAAATTAGTATTTTCAATGTTCAAGTGTTCATTTGCGTTTTTATTAGTTATAAGTAGCGCAACAAAAACAATACTGTTTAGTATGTATTTGAATATACATAAAAAAAAAAATTATCTGATCAAATTTAACTCGGACTAGCCCATTTAAACTGCGCGTCACAAACCGAATTAAAAAAAAAATTCCTAGATAGGTACAACCTTGTATTTTTTTTGTTTGTGTGACGTTTGACATATGGCTAGTCAATTAGTATGCGTTTGGTAGTAGCTGTTTGTACACGACGCGAAAGTTTTATCCGGCGATTTTTATTGCATAAAAAAAAATTTAAAAACAAGTTTGCCTGAAATTTTTTATTTCCAATGAAATCAGGACTACGAAAACGTTGAAAATGTTACAGAAGTATTTTAGTAAGTCTACTTTATCGCGAAAAATAAATTTGATAAATTTAAAAAACATACTTTCGAAAAAAAAAATTATGCGAGTGGCACAAAGCATTCAGTGAAAATCGTGAAGTCCACGAAAACTTGGTTCATTGCCTAATTTGAAGGTGAAAATAAAGATTTGTATCTATTTTAAGTTTTTTTTGCTTCAGTCCGGTTCAAATTTGATCAACAATATTGTCTGGTGATTTTTACCAAGCAAAACAAAGAAAAAATTCAATGAGTTTGTTTGAAATTTTGTGTTTCCAATGGAAGCACGACTACGGCAACGTTGAAAATGAAAACACGTTGCAAAAGTGTTTTGGGTAGTCTACTTTAACGCGAACAAAAGTATTTGGGTAGCACAAAGCAATCAATGAAATACGTGAAATCAACGAAAACTTGCTGAATTACCTAACTTGAAGGCGACAATAAAATTTTTTTTTATTAAAATCCAAATACGTGAAATTTTTTTTTGTTAATATTTTTTTGATAATTTTTTTTGTCAATTTTTTTGCCAATTTTTTTTGTCAGTCCATTTCAATTTTGATCAGCTGTATTTAAGGCAAACTCAGCTTATTCATACCACTGTATTACATATTTTTACAAACAAGTTTATTTTAACAAATCACTTTCCCGCACACTATTTGAATTTTCACTGTTCGCTGGCGCAAAAATACTAGCGTTTGTAGAGTGCTGCAGTAGCGTGTAAATAAGCGCGCACTAAGCTTGCTTGCTTGCATATAAATAGTTAAACTGTAGTTAGGTGGTTTTGCTACACATATGTGGCATGTCATACGCATACATATGCGCTTGTCAGTGTTTTAACGCCTAAAATTATGTTTACTTAAAGCAAGGCATACAATGCGTGCAATTAATTAGGTGGTTTGGCATAACTTTCAACTTAAACTAAAATGTTTTGTTTTAATATAATATGTTTATGCTTAAAATTAACTATGCTAGCTGCTAATAGTGCATATTAGCATTAAATAGTGTTTTGCAGACAATGTCTATAGCCATGTTTGTTTACAGTATATACATATATATATGTATATATGTGTGTGTATTAACATTTATGTATTAGAATTATTGAAATAATAATTTAAATTAGCGTAATAAATAATATCACAATGAAATGTTTAGCTGTTTAACTTATTTATGTATATAAAAATTATATTAATTTAGCATAGAAATAAAAAAGAACAAACAAAACACGTAAGTAAAAACAAATACAACTGCGTTTAGCGCCAAATGGTGCACGTGGTGGTATTGGTGTGGTGTGCAATATTTTTTTTTTGTTTACGCATTTAACACCACAGCCGTCACTTCTTTCAATACGCTTGCTCACTAGACTAGTTGGCGGCTTGAACACTGGCGTGCACTTTCTTACACGCCACAGCATAGCGGCAAGTCGGCAAGTCGGCAAATCGACAATTCGTATGGCGTCGTGAAAAACAGTAAGTTTATTTATTTACAGCGCAGAGAAACAGATTTGTACTACTAGAATAGCGCGACACAAGGCGGCGTACGCTAACGCTTATGACACTTTGTGTAATTGCCAGAACAGTACACTTTGTTATGCAACGTGTAGTTACGAGAATGTAAGTGGGGTTATGTAGACAAGAAATATGCTTGCTAGCAGCAATATGACACAAGCTGCCACATGTAGCACAGATTTCGCGTGGCTAATTGCAACTTTCCCAACAACTTAATGCAACTACAACGGTATATATTTGTATTACGGCTGTGTGTATGGGTATGTGTGTGTACTATAAATTTTATGAACTACAGTCTTATTTTTTTGGTGTACTATCATCACTAGTTGTGACACATACACTGGCGTGTATATGTGCTACAACTTTACGCTTGGTTCCAGTTGTGTATTTAAATATCAACGGTTTGCGCATGCGCCGCCGTGTTCGTGGCATTAGCAGCACTTAAATTGGTTTTACAATTGCCATTGAATGCATTGCGATTATTTGACGAACCGGTGGCGTGTCCTCCGCCATCAAAACTATTGCCGCTGTAGTTGGTGGGAAAGTGCATGTTCGCCGTGCTCGGTAAACGTTCGTAGCGTTGCTGGCGTTCGCTATTGTTTGTAGTATGCGCACGTGTATTGTCATTATCTGTACAATTGGTTTTGTTTAGGAAATGTGTACGCTCGTTTGTCGCATCAGTGTCTGCGTCCGCAACGCTTTCTCGTTCGGCTTGTGTGTCTTTGTCGTCGATGCGCATCGTAGCGGCCCGGTGTCTATCGAAGTCCAGCAACTCCACATCACATTCTGAAACGCCCAGCGCATGCGTAGCTGCATAAAGCAAATCCGCATCGTCCATATCGCCGCCATCGTCCGTTGGATATGAGTCGCCTAAGCCGTCGTCTCGGTAAACATTGCCACGACGTGCATGTGTTGGTTTGTCGCCATTAACTGGTGTTGTAGCGCGTGCGGTCGTACGTTGCAGGCTACCTGTTGTTGTTGTTGTTGTTGGCGCCAGTCCGTTTATGGTGAAATCATCTATGCTACGCTTAACCGCCGTATCTGAGCCGGTACCGGAATCCTTGCTAGACAGCTGATCCTGGTTATGCTCAGCGGCAACGCCTGTGTTGTCGGCCAACGAAATGCGCTTCAAATACGACAATGTGAAGTGCTCAGCATCGTTGTCAATATCATCGCTGGCATGTTGCTGCAACAGCTGCTGATAATTGGGTGTGTGCGTGATAATCAAGTTTTGATGTGTTTGTCGTTGATTAGCATGTTCCGCATTAACGCCATTGTTGACTGCGTCGGCCTCCAAGTCACCCAGACTGTTTGGTCGTTGCCGCTGCGCATCTATTTCTGACTTATGCAGCAATGTGCGGTTGAGTGTGGTGAGTTGTGTTTGATCCAATGCGCTGCCACGACTACTGTTCAGCAGTTGCGTGCTGGTCGAGGCAATGCGCGCGCCACCAGCTATGAGGCCAGCGCTACCCGAAAGCAGACCACTTGGCGCGCCACTTGTGCTATTTGCATTTTGGCAAGCTTCACGCTGACGACGTTTGAATGTTTTGCGACGCTGGTGCAGGCACAGCGCAAATATTACCAAAGCAATGATGAGCACACAAAGCGCAGCGACAATGACCACACCGAAAAATATCATATTTTGACTGAGCTCTTCCTTAACCACAATTAGCTCCGTTTGCACGGTATACGTCTTTGAGTTGTCGCTAATCTCGCAGCGATAATGACCTGCGTCCGCCGACTCCGTATTCACAATGACCAAAAGTTCATGTTCGGAGGTGAAAAAGTAACGCTCCGTATCGGCGCTAAGCGTGCCCAGATGGAATGGCTTGTTGTCCTTGAACCATTCACGATGTGGCTGACTCAAATCGGCAGCCAATTCGCTCAGGCACTGCAAAACACTCGACTCACCCACTACAGTTTCTTTACGCACAATCGGTATGTTGGGCTGCGGTTTGTCTGTGGTGAGCAAAAGAAAATTGACATGAATTTTGTAATATTTCGAAAAATTGCATATTGCAATGAAACCTACCATTCACAATCAGAGTGGCATTGACTTTAATTTCACCCGCGGCACTTTCAGCTGTGCATGTATAAATGCCAGTGTCAATCGGCTTCGCATTGGTGATTACGAAGGCATTCTCTTCACGTATGACTTGCAAACGACGTTCCGTTGCCGCCGGAAAGTCACTGCCACCGAACTTCTGCAAGGCTATTTCCGGCACTGGGTCACCAGTGGCCGAGCAAACCAAGCGCGCTGTTTCACCCGAATCTATGGTTAGATTTGAGGGCACTTGCAAAAAGGTTGGATGTACTGTATGTAAGAAAAATATTTATGATAGTTAGAACTTAAAAATAACTAATTTTTTAAATTGCAATTTCACCACACTAAAGTTGAATAACATTTAATTATGTTGTTACTTACTGCCTATAGAAATTTTGAATCTTTGCGAGTAAGTGGTGCCAAAAGCGTTGGACACAACACATTGATAGCGTCCTGCATTCGCATAGCTAACATTGTACAACCGCAAATAGCCGATAATTGTGGTCTCATTGGTGCCTTCCGCTTGGCGTATGCGTGTTTCCGTTGTGCTGTAACTGCCGCCACCACTGTGATGCATTGCGAAGACGTGTCCACGTTCGCGTTCACGTATATTTTGATTGTCATGACGCCATTTAATTTTCAGCTCATCGGCGGCCGCTAACGATGCCGCCGTTGGTGAAACGGCGATGCACTCCATGCTGATGTTGGCGCCGCGCACAGTCAGTTGACTAGTAGGTTCCTGTATGATGGTGGGCTTCGGCGAGTTTACTAGTTGCAAAATGAATCAAAAAATAATAATAAAATAAATATTTTGGCGTTATCTTGCTTGATTTGATGAAACTCACCACACGTCAAATCATTGCTGCTCAAAGCTAGCAGCTGATGATCGAACAATTCCTCCGGATAGCCACAAACTGCATTTTCCAGTTGTACTTGCGCGCCATTGCTTGATTGCTTGTAGTGTCGCAGCCAACGTTGGAACCAAGTCAACTCACAATCGCATATGAAATTCAACGACTTAAAGCTTAGTTTTTGCAAGTGTGGCATGTGATCGAAGGCGCCCGCCTGTACGGTGGCCAAGGCATTGCCGCCCAAATTGAGCGACTCCAAGCTGCCCAAGCCGCTTAGCGATTTACTCATGATCTGCTTCAAATTGTTGCCATATAAATCGAGTTTCTTGAGCTTGCGCAACACCTTGAAGGCTGGCGTGGCGCCCGGATCCTCGATGATCCAAGCCAGTTTGTTGCGTCGCAAATTCAGATCCTCTAAATTTTTCACACAATCAAAAGTATTATCGGCCAAGTACTGAATTTTATTATGCCCCAAATTCAAATGACGCAAACGTTTCAGACAATCTAAATGTTGCGGCTTGAATTCGCTGATGTTATTGTGCGATAGATCCAGCGAGATTAGCGATTGTGTGAACTCCCATGTGTCGGACTCAATGCGCGATATGGAATTATTCGATAAACTTAAGTGGTGTAGCTTGGTGAGATTGTAGAGTCCCTGTCGGCTAAGCGATGTGATGCCGTTGTGATCCAATTCGATAGTTTCAATCGCATGCATCACATAGAAAACGCCATCCTGCAGTGTGCGTATATTATTGGATTTGAGGAACAGCTTTTGCAGCGATGAGAGTCCACGAAAGGTTGACCAATTGATTTCTAAATGGTTGTTGTTTAAAGAGCTACAAAATGGCCAATCGTTAGACATTGGTAAATTGTATTAAATTTTCTCAAATTTACTCACAGTTTGCGCAATTTCTGTAGTGTGCGAAAGACACCGGCAGGCAGTGTCACTAAGCGATTGTTGTTTAATTCCAAGTCCAATAAGTCACCAAGCTGCTGAAAGGCGTCCTCATCAATGCTGCTAATCTCATTGGTGTTGAGTATGCTAAAAAGTAATTAAAATATTATTAAGATTACTCTTATTGACCAGCACTACTTATATTTAGGTTATATGCACTTGGAAGTCAGAAAGAACGCGTTTTTTGTGAATTTTTTTGTTTTGAAGGGCACTACTTAAATTGAGGTTATATGCACTTGCGGTGTTTTTTTTTTTTTTTTTTTTTTGAAGAAGAGTCATTATCTTATTACCAATGTCTAGATAATCCTCCGAAAAAAAAGTGTCTGGCGGTGTAGAAAATTTTTCTGCTTAAAAATATCTCAAATACCAAAACCAGAAAAATTTACATTTACTATAAATAAATACAAATAACGAACCAAGGACTAGTCGAAATTTTGATTTTTGGCAGAATGGCGGCTTTTCGTGTCGAGTCGATTTTACACTTCAGAGTGTATAAAAAAAAAATCGAAATTATTATGAAAAATCGTATTCCTACGATCATTACCTGACAAATATATCTAAAAGGTCGTGTAAAAAAACGTTCGGTTAAAGGAAATTTCCCTCACCGACTCGGAAAACAACGTTACGACAAAAACGTGTTTAAAGCTTTGGGAGCCGATTATACCAAGTAAAAAAAATTTCTACAAATACGCACATATCTCCGCAACTATTATCGGATCAACTTCAAATTTTCAGCGAATATTCTCAAATATACCATATATAATATAAAGCCGATATATGTATGTATGTACAAAACAAAAAATCGATTTCTTAAAATTCACAATTGGTTATAACCCCTTAAAAATACTCGTTTATGAAAGCTGACTTTTAATATTTTTTTTTTAAATATAAACATATTACAAAAAACAACAATTTTACAAAAAACAAAGCATATATAAATTTATTGCCACTTACAGATGCCCCAAACGATTATTGCTTGGAAAATAACTGGACTCCACGGCATGCAAAAAATTTCTGGACAAATCTAATGTTTTCAAACGCGGTAAAGCTTCCAGCGCCTCACTGCTGATGCGTTGTATGCGATTATTAGCTAAGTTGAGCTGCTTTAGCGCGGTAAGTCCACTGAAGACGGGAACGCTTTCCAGTTGGTTGCGTTTCAAAGTGCTAAGTAGGTAAGTAGACGCGCGTGTATTGATGATGGATGGCGATATGTGCAGCGTGAGGAAATATTATAAGAGAAATATAGAATAAGTAATTGCATTAATGCTAAGAAATGATATATTGTATACATATATAGTATTCATGAAAGTCATGAAATTAATTTAATATAATCAAATACGTGACTATGATATCGTACATGTCTACATTCATATACGTATGTACATATGTATGCATATATAAGATACAGCTAGCGGGTAATTAAAGTTTTTTGTGGCCAGACAATTTATTATAGTAAAATTTAATGCAATTTTTTTTTAAACTTACAGCTGTATTAATTCCGTTAGATTCTTTATCTGCAGCACACTCGTATTGTTTAGTTTATTGCCCACTAAATCGCTGAAAAGGAAATAAAATATATACATATATTATTTATTTTTGTGGCTTTAAGCAATTAAAATTGCTAATTAGTGTAAAAATAAATTTTATTTAAGTTATGCGAAAATTATCATTTATACAAAAAAATGCAAAATTTTCATTTATTTGTATTATTTTATTCTAACTAGTATCTCAGTTTTGGAGATATCGAACTGAAAGTTTGCACATTTCTTTTTCTTCGCAAGAAGCTGCTTATTTGTTGGGACCGCCGATAACGGACCGCTAAAGCATATAGCTGTCATACAAACTAACCGATAAAAAATAAATCCTTGTATAGAAAACTCTTTTATTTGACAAGATATGTACACAAAATTTGACATGACTTATTGTCAAAGCGAACTATACAACGTCAGAACATATCGTACAGATCGGACTACTATAGCATATAGCTGTCATACAACCAGACCGATAAAAATCAAAATAAAAAGATATAAACTTTGATGCTATGAGAAATGCACCTGTGAAGGGTATATCATATGTAGCTTCTGTGCAGCCGAATTTAATGTCTTTTTGTTTTTTATTACTTTTTAGTTTTTTTTTATTACTTTTTAGTTTTACGACAAACAGAACTTATACGGTAAAAATAAGCGCCTAATTACTTTACTATTTAATATGTTGTCGGTAAACCTTCAAGGAAACAAATATTGAGCCATAATAATAATTGCAATAAAATGGTGGTTTCTCATTATCAGTATGCTAATATTTAATACAAAATAACGACTTAACAACTCGTACTGTTTTCTTTAGCACTTACAGTCTTTGTACGTAGCCTGCCAAAGTAGGCACACGATCCAAAAGTTTATCATCACAATCGAAATATGCATCTAGGCATTTGCATTCTTTTGGACACGCGGATGTTGCGGCTACCCCAAATAAACGCCCACCACCGTTACTATCATTGGCAATACCGCCAATGGCTCTTGTGTTGACCGCAGCCGCCTGTGCTTTCACTGCCTTCTCATAGCGTTGACCATCATCGGCCACAAAACCAGCTGTCTCCAATGATGTGTCTGCATTGTCCACCTCAATGTCGGCTAGAAAATGTTTGGGTACTAATCCTGCAGTTAATGCGGTCGCAATTGCGGCATCTTCGCCACCGACGCCAACTTCCATTCCAGCGATACCCCCGCCGCCGCCACCAGTCACAGCCACATTGCCTTGGCGATTTTTTGTTAGCATCGCAAATAATTGTTGCTGTTGTAATTGTCTTTGTTGTTGCAGCGCTGATAGCGGCGACGAGGCGGGTACAGCGGCTGCTGCAGCCATATTCATGTGACCAATTAGCGACACGGGTGCGAGCAACACAAACATTGTTATTGTCATACTGCTGCTGCTCAATATGCTGGTTGTTGTAGTTGTTGTTGCTGTTGTCAAAGCTCCTATCATAATTGCAGTGCTAGTCGTGACGCTTGCATTTGTAGTTGTTGTCAGTGCCGTTGTCGCTGCCGCTGCCGCCAGTGTTATCAACAAAGCGACAGCAGCGACAATTAGTAGTAGTCGATTGATTTTATGCAAATTACAATAATTAGCGCTGTTATTTTCATGTTTTATTTGCGCTGCAATTGGCATTTTGCTCCTTCGCCTTTGCTTTGCAAATTTTGCGTGCCAATCACTACTGCTGCAGACTGGGCTGCTATCGTCATTGTTATTGTTGTTATATTTGTTAATAGTCGCGGTATTCGCTTCCGTTGTACACCACTGCACTTGCGTCGACTGCGTTTGCTTCGATCGTCGTTGCATTGGAACATTCTGATATTCTTGTAGTTTTTGTTTTTGTTGCTGCAGCTGCATTACTGTGCAATCACAATCAAATGCGTTGTATCGCATTTTTCTGATTATTTAGAAATTACTCGGTCAATTTGTGTTGCTTAATTTAATGAAAGATTTTCATAAGCCATTTCAAAAGGTTTCAAATCTCTCACAGTGGCTTCGGTGTCAAATTTCCGCAATATTGTCATTTTCATTCAATTCTGCATAATCGATAGATCGATAACATTCGAATAACTTTCAGTGTAAGGCTGCAATTAAAAATAATAATGTATTATTTTTGTGGTTTAAAATTTATTTTGTATATATATGTACATTTAAGGAAAAATACAAAACTGTTTAATTGGGGTTATTATAATAAAGGCTGGTTCGTAAAAAAATTTTGAATTTTTTATAATACCACACTAGCTTTGATTAAGAAGTCAGAGGTATCCACTTGTGAATTTAAAAAAAAAACGATTTTTGTTTTGCATATATTGCGAAAGTATACATACATACATATATATTTGAAAATATTCTCCGAAAAGTTGATCCGGCAATTAGTTTTGGAGATATGAGCGTATTCGTGAGAAAAACTTTAAACGCGTTTTTTTCGTAATTTTTTATAGTGAGAAAAAATTTCAATAAAACGGCTTGACCGAATGTGAACACAGAATTTGTGTTTAACAACTTTTAAGTTATTAACGCGTTATATTATAGATAAATAACTAGAAAATAAGGCCATTTCTCCTCTCAAATTTTTAACTTTCAACACAGTTATTTTAGATCTATACAAATTTTCTTGAAACTTAATATAAGGTGTAGTTTAATAAAATTCATTATTTTTCCAATAAATGACTTTAGTACTCTGTATATCGAAGTGGCTACGCTGTATAGCGTTAGAAAGATAAGATTCCATACTAAAAAATTATCCACCTTATAGTCCGGAACTGATACCAAGTGATTACTCGTTACTGTCTATAGCGAATGACTTTGCTGGTGAAAAATTCGCCTTCAGAGAACCTTTTAAAAATAGATGTTATAGTTTTTAGCCAGTATGGACGAAAGCGGCATTATGAAATTGTGTAATACTTGTAATACTTTGAAAATATGTATTGTGTTCATTGATAGAGAATCGCCATCGCACAAACGGATGTTTCAATCAAAAAATTTAGCATTATCAAAATGGCAGCACACTTTGTCACAAATCTTTTGAAGTGTTTGTTTTCCTATTTTTTAACATTTTCGAATTGTTGTACAAACAATAATAAAGCTAAAGTATAAATTTATCGATAATAACAACACACACAAAAGCGCGCAATGGATAAATGCAAATTAAGTCGAGCTTGAGATCATTGTGGAAGTCAATAAAAAAACGAGAGATCAATTTCGGTTCGATTGAAAAATAATAAATACGCGATATACACATACATACATACATATGTAGATATTTACCAACAACATTGTACGTGTATTCGAAAGAAAAAAAACTAAAAATAAACAATAGCAAGTGCAAAAGTCCATAGAACTAAGTGGTAACATGGAGTAGAGACAGCAGTACAGCACGTTAGAATAATAAACAATGAAAACAATCAAAACAAATAAGATCAATGTACTTGGCGCGGTCGAAATAATTAGCAAATTAAGAGCTTAATGGCATACATACATTCTTAAATACCTATAAATATACATACATACGTCTGTATGTAATACGAGTGAATACCAATGGATCTCACAGAATGCTGAATGAAAAAGGCAACAAGTCAGCGATAAGAAAACGGAAATATTCAGGTGTCAACTATCGTAGCAAATTTTTAACTGGAAAATCTAGCTATTTCTTACATTAACCCTTTTGCTGAATTATTTCTATTTATTTAAGCTTTCAGTTGAAGTATTAAATTCATGCAAATTTAAGCTAACTGGAATTAAAATATAAGATCTAGTCAAAATAAATAAAGTTTTTTTATGAGAAATAAAAAAAAGTCTATATTTCATATATCGATGGGTTTAAAGACAACATCGTAAAATTTTAAATCAATTTTTAAATAGTTTTCGAGCTACCGCCTTCTAAAGTGTAGCCGCTCACTTCAATCAGCTTAATAAATTTAACTTTAAACGCATTTGTCTCCAAATGTCTTTTTTCGAAACTACTGCTGTGATTACTCGTATTATATAACTCTCCATAAAATGACTTGCCAGTTTAGAATGACCCGATTTAGGTCGAATATGCACCGTTTTGGCCCATAACTTGTGGCCGTTTCGAGGTAATTTCAATTTTGATGAAAAATTGTTGCCAGCAGAAAATAGCTGATTACCTAATTGGCAACTATCAAATTTTGACAACGCAAAATTGATATACTTGGCAATAAAAAATATTTACAAATATACTTTAAATAAAAAAATGAACAAAATACAAATAATAATACAAAACAAACAGCTGTTCATGAAGTTTGTGAATTCGACATTTTTCTGTAAGTACAACATAAATCTAATAGTTATCGTTGACGATTAAATAGCAAACGCTTACAAAACTGGTCTGACTCCAAAAAATAGGAGCATAATTAACGCAACTAATCTCTTATTTCCACAATTTTCTCATTTTCCCACTCATTGGACCGTGTATGCATGTAAAATGATTAACTATAGCTTTTTGTGCCTCGAAAATCATTTTTGTTTTTCCATTCACTTCGAATTAAAGCCGATGCAGCAGTTTATCCAAATGCTCAACAAGTGGAATGCATGTATTCTTAAAGCTACTAACTCATTATTTACTAACGTTTATATTCGTTTCCCCACCGTAAATCAATTATGGTGTTTCTAATTATTTGCTAAAACATTCTTGTGCTTGTATTTGAAGTTTTTCCCATATCTACAATACTATTGGAGTCTCTTTGGTTTTCTGCTCTTCTTGTTTGCTTTATGCATGTTTCGTTCGCAGCATCCATTTAGGGCAATGCCTACTTGCGGTGAGTCGGTTAGTTCGGTCAGCCTTTCTAAAAAAGGTAAAAACTTATTTTACACTGCTCTGCGGCTGGTTCGCTTAATTTGGCGATTCGCTTAGCATTCTTGTCGTCTTGCGTCTACTATGGACCGCCCGCTTCTGTCATTGCATATTTCCGCGTGTCAGCCACCTTTGAACGTTTGGCTACTACTATTACCTATAGCTTTGTACTTTTCTTGTTGCCGCTCGCTTGCTAATCATTTTTATTTTAGTTATTTGGTCTGTGAACTTGTTGCCGATGATTGGCAGTTATAATTTATAATGCCAATTTTAATTTGCTTCATGTCGCTTAATTATGAGTTAAAATATATATGTATGGTATACGTGCATAGATATCTGTTTATGCAGCTATTTATATGGACTGTGCCGCAATTTAAACATAAATTAAGCTAATTAAATATAACACACTTAATTGTGTAGGTTACGTACTTGTATCTATCGAAATCAAAGGTGAAACTACTTAAATGATCCAACAGAGCTCCGTAGGTGACTTCCATTGATGTACAGGAAAAAATCTAGTTTATAAGTTAGCAAAGAACCAACGTCCAAATTATTATTTGCTGTCTACGATTCACCAAGAGTTGGAGTGTAGCGAATGGAGAACAACAATAGTTTGTTCTCCATAAGACTTACTTTCTTGTCAAAAATTTAATAAAGAGTTCTCAAATTCAATCAATACAAAAAAGTATGAGATCATGATTTAAGAGTTAACTTCCTATTATTCTATCTCTAATTGATCTTTGCCTGCTGGTTGTGCAATTTGCCATACTCCAAATAATTATGGATATGTTTTTGAACTAAATTTATTTGCTAACAAAACAAAACCATTAACTTCGGCGGCAAAGATATTTACTTGATTTTTATCGATCAGTTTGTATGACAGCTATATATAATATATCGGCAATTCTAACAAATGAGTAGCAACTTGGGGAGAAAAGGACGTGTGCAAAATTTCAGATCGATATGATCATTTACATACATAAGTATATATAGTTATAGGGTATCCGACGTGTTCTTCTGGGTGTTACAAATCATGAAAATTCTTCCCACTCGCGTCAATGATGGCGGGATAGCCATATATTTGTTGGACTAAAAGACAATCTTTTGACATTTTTTTAAAATAATATTATTTTTAAAATTTTTCCGTTTTGCTCACGTCACATTCTGTTTTGTTAGACTCGTGTTTTTTCTTCTTATATTTTGCTCGTGTTAGCCAAAAATTCAACCCACCACACTTTCATCGCCGCGACATTTTAATGTGAAATTTGTTCTTCTTTTTCTCTACGCATTCAATCACTTTGCACATTTCGATATGCTAACTTTCGCTTATTGAATTTAATGTTCTAACAAAAAGATTTGCTTTTAAGTTCGCGCTGTGAAATAAATAGCGAACCACTATACACACATACATACATACAACTGTATGTGAATATATGTACAATATATACAGAATTCTAATTCTCAAATTGCGCACAGAACTAACAGGAGACCAACCCCACCTCCTCTTTTACCCGTGACCTTTGACTACACACTGACTAAAGAGAATAAAATTTGCGAAAGCAAACTTATGAACGAACCAAATGGCTGTGGCAATGTGGACAAGTCAGATGTAGCGACGTAAGCGGCCGCGTAAACCTGTGGCATTTTTTTTCTATTCAACTAAATATGCACAACAAACGTGTGTACATAAATATGTTTATATATATATATACGTATCATTTGTGTTCTGGTTTTTATTACGATTTTGTTTCATTATTTTTATTTTGCATTTATTTCTCGCGCCTTCAATATGTTTGGTTATACGCGTGTGTTGTTGCATTTGTTGTAGGTAAATGTTTTTATTATTATTCATTTCGTTTTTGGTCGTTTTGTGGCGAGTTTTGCCTCGGCTTGCCCCGCATTGGTGCTACGTTGTCTGCGACGACTAATTAGGTAACCGAGTATTTACAAGAACAACTGCAACGTGTACAATAATAGCAACAATAATAAAAAGAAAGAACAACGTCATAACATAAACTAACTCATGATAGCCACGACGACGACAACGACGACAACGACGACGAGAACTGCAACAACAGCAATAAGCAAGAGCAGCGCATTCTACGTAATACCACTTTATTTGCTTAACGTATTTACCTCTGTATGAATGCACACATTTAGGTATGTACAGAGAATGGAGTGGAGAATGCCAACAGTTGCGCTCGTAAAAAGGACAGCGACTTGACCTTATCATATTGTGTAGATAGATGCGAGCAGTATGTATGTTATGTT